CACGCTGTAGTTGAGGGTATGAGCAGTAATTAGGGGGTTAGGAAATGTAGTGGGGGGATAGGGGCTGAAATAGGTTGATGGCTACAATTTGGGAAAGGGGCTGTGGTGTGGGTGATATGGTTTGCAATTGGGGAGAGGAGCTGTAGTGGGGATGTTATGCAGGCTGTGGTGTGGGGGCATGGAGCTGAGGAAGGGGCAGGAGCTGAGAGGGGGTACAGTTGCTAAGAAAGGGTGGGAGACAGAAGCTGAGAGGGGGGATAGGGGCTGAGGATGGGAACAGGGCTGAGCAAAGGGACAAGGGCTGAGGAAGGGGGATAGGGGCTGAGGAGGGGGATAAAAAAAAACTAAAGTGTATTTCCCCCCTCCCTGAGTCTTACCTTAGGTCAGGAAGGAGTGGGCAGCAGCCAGCATACAGCAGCAGCCAGTGATGTCGGCCTCTCCTGATGATGTCAGGAGGAGGGGGCGTGACTTCCTCTGCTCTTCTCCCAGACTCCCCAGCGGTTCTGTGAGAAGAGCAGTGAAAGTCACGCCCCCTCCTACTGACATCATCAGGAGAGGCCGGCCGACTCCACTGACTGCACGCTGCAGGGAGAGAGGTAAGTGGAAAAGTCCGAGTCCCCAGCCAGAGCCAGAGGCAGGGGATTTGGAATTTTCCTTTTTTTACAGGATGTGGACAGCCCTGGATTTACGGCGGCCTGGGGATGGTAAGTATGTGTCTGGCTGCAGCTCTCCTGTCCTCCTGCGCAATGCTGTTTGAAGCATTGCCATGGGAACATGCGGCAACGCTCCACACAGCCTGTTTGCGGGAGGACAGGAGAGCTGCTTCCCAGATCCCTCCCCCTGCTTCCAGGTCCTCCCGATCCTTCCGATACGAAAGCAGAGTAGGCACCTGCCATTTTGGGCGGGCAGGCAGGTGCCTACTCTGCACTGCTGCCGACCGGCTCCAGTGCCCCCCCTCCGGCGACCTATGGCCGCCCACAGAGAGGGCTCGGCGTGCGGTGCCATAAGTTCGTCATCACTGACCTAGATCATGGTAATTACTCTGATGTTCTGATAACATGACCCTTGCAACCTCCTTTTTATATATGTTGTAGTAAAGATATACACAATATTTTTTACATAACCCACTTAGATGTTAGGTACTCTGACATTCTGATCTCCAGATAACATGCGTGGAAAACTGGTTGGCAGGAGAACTGCTGGACGGATATAAGCTTTTGTTTTAGGTGGGTGCTCTAAGATGCAACTGAGAGCTTTGATCATTATAGATGACCCCAAGTTGTGAAACCAGTCACATACATAGAAAGTTATATACAATATTGCAGTGTCTTACATATCAATTTCTTACAGTAGGATCTGCCACGATTGGGTTATATTGACGTTGTGGCAGGCTTATGCAATGTATGATCATATACTGTAACAGTGTGTCTATCTGCCCGCCTAAAAAGAAGAAAACTTACCTTATCTCCAGCTACACAAGGGTCTGCCAGTACTGGACCCTCATCCTTGACTGACATCATTAGAATTGGTGATTTCAACCAATCCAAATTATGTCCCCTGAGGAAGGGAGAAATGGGACACATGAAGAGGTTGGGAGGGGAAGGAAATGAGACAAATAGAGAGTTGAGGGGGGAGGAAATAGAACACATGGAGAGCTAAGGGGGTGGGGAGGAAAGGGGACACACAAATTGGCTGAGGCAAAAAAGGGGTCCGCCAGCCAGCCACACCAGTCTGCCAGCCACAAACAGCTAGCAACATTAATTAAGGTGAGAAGATCCAACTTGGGCTGGGTATCAGAGAGCTGATCTATTACTATTTTGTGAATAGGGGCCAGAGTGTTAGAGAGAACCTTCTCCATTGTAGTCTCTAATGAGGACTTGAGGGAACTCTTTCTAACTTACAGTTTAAAAATGTGTGCAATAAAATAATTAATATTCTTCAAAACATGAAAAAACTGTGGGTGTTTTGTGGGGAGGTGCTAAATACAGGATCTTTCCTGGATGCCAAATGCTCTAGGTACACCCCTAAGCTGTAGTTGTTCTGGTGACTATATTGTCCCCTTAACTCTGCACGCTTAGCTCAGGAGAGATATCTCCTAAACTAAGCATGATATAAATATGACCCCCATGTGATTATAAGAGAGGTTAACACCCTCACTCATGCCCCTACTAACCGTGCTGCTGGTATGTCGGTTAAACGGTGAGCAGCCAGACGAGCGACTGGGAAGCTATTGCTGCACATTTGCCAATTCATTAAAGGAGGGACCTGTGTCAGATCCATGGTGGGGCCCACAATAAAGATAAAATAATGGGGGGGTCTAATGTCCCCCTGGCCTCCGTTTGGATCTACCTTTTGGTCACCCCTGCACCACAGGGGGGTCCAGAAGTTATTCATGCACAAGGACCCTCTCTAACTTAGTTCCACCACTGCAGCCAATCAAATCTTGACTTTGGGTCCAGTCACATTTGGGTAAACAAAATTTAGGACAAGCACCAGATACTTGTAGAAATCACTGGTACTCTGTTACAGAAGCCCCTTCTGTCTGCTACAACCCTGTTACTTTGTTGCTAATTTTGTTGCTTTTGCCCGAACAACTATTGCAGACCATTCGTAAATACGAATGGCAGACCACCCGGTCCCTGGCGTGTGCCGCCAATTAACCCCGTTCACCTCTCAAAATACCGACCAAACTGTCGAATGGACGACCACCCTACTTGAGGAGTGTGCCTACAATTAACCACCCAGGAGCTGCGGTTTTGTGGTTAACTGCAGCCTAATTGATCATCAACGGGGTCGTCACTGTTCGTATGAGAGGGTTGAACGGGACACCGAACTAATTGTCAAACCAACTACCGAACGTCCGATCGCCCTATCTGAGGCGTGTGCCCCTAGTTAACCACCCTGAAGCTATGGCTTGTGGTTAACCGCAACATAATTGATCATCGACAGGGTGGTCGTCGTTCGTACACATGGCGGCGGCCATCTTTTAGTGTCGAACGTTCAGCGGGACCTGGTCGGCAAACGCCTGGTACTCTTTTCGGACACTATTTTGCACAAACCCCGCTGGGATCCACCTTGCCCTGTCCATTCGTGTATAAATCCCTGAAAGACATGCCATTCGACACTTTGCACCTACGAAGGATACACCGACCCCTTGCAGGACACTATGGCCAAGAATACATGGGCTGCTAATTGTCGAACAGCCCTACAGACACTTTTCATCCCCATGGCATTCGCATACCATTAATGAGATCTGAGGGCTTTTCGTGTATTTTGTGTGCTCAGATCCAAGCTGTCTGGGGATGGGTTGAATGTGGTATCTAAAGACTATAGTGTAAAAGTTATGCATTTTTATTCAGTTTTCGTGTGTCTATAAAAGTGATATTATTTAATGTACTGGGAGATAATTGAGTTACTGTAACCGTTGAGACCAATTATCTCCAGTGTAGGAGGGAGTGGTTTTGAAAGATGCACTTTGTTTCTATTGGCTCTTACACTTTGTAATCCTGTGTACCATCAGGTCCAGAGGGGTGTTCCTCTGGCCTGAAAATATGTATTAAAGTCGTGCATGAATGCCCATTAAACCAGTTCTTCTTACCCTCAACTCGCAGCCTCGACTCGTGTTGTAGGGAAAGGCGTTATACTAGCTTTACTTATGGCTAGTGGGATATCTACATTTACAGGATTAACGCTGGATGCTGTTTGGAGCTTGGCTTTTACTCTCCAAAATCGGGAATCAGGACATCTAAGCGGTCCAACTTTAGCTAGCCTGGAGGCAACCGTAACTTACTAAAATAATGGTGTGTCCACCCTTCCTTTGCTATCTCTGCTGGGATAATTATTAAACTGGTTTAGTCAAGAGAAGTTTAATTGTTTTGCAACTTAACCCCTTCGCAGCTATCAGCAAGACTTGAGAATCCACCTGAAGAGTTGTACTTTTACAACGCTGCGCTGACTCCATTTTTATTGTAATTCCAAGAGGCAATGAACTCTAAAATAGAGTCCCACACATGCAGGGCTCCCAAACTTGGATCTGTGATCACCTCTCCCCCTCCCTAGCAAAAACTTTTCCATGATGTATCTGTGTTGACAGTAAATCATTATCTTTTTTGCCCTGATAAGAAAACCAGGTGAATTTCAGCGAAAACTCAAACTTTTCCTTCGCAAAAATAAATATACACTTTCAGCTTTTGTAACAGTACATGTAATTTTAACACAGATGTACTTAGAAACCCGTTCCCTGCTGGCGGTATATTTCCACGAGTACTTCGTTCATATCAAGTAAAACTGAATGGCTGTGTAAGGGCACTGGCCGTTGGCTTTACAGAATGCTGCCCTTGTGCCCTTGTAGCAAAGTTGTACACGTGTGTAATGTGAGCATTATTGCTATAACATGATCATATGATGCAATCCTCTGCCTCTGATGGTTGTTATATAATGCATTGCTATGTAGCACTCTCCTATACCGTCACCTTGCAGATGACAGACTGGATTAAGGAAAAATTACATTGTTAAATGTTAATATCACTTACATTCCACAGCAAGTTATGAGAGGTCTATTAATCTTTCTCAACACATAAAGGACTAAAAAGTGTCAGATCACTCGTAATAAATATCCAAATAAATGTCATAGAATTCTGTTTTCCAAAATCTGTCATTCAAGTCTATCATTCTTCGTAAGTGCCATAGAGTCAAGAAGTCACTGCTGGTGCTTTATGCAATAGGGCCTCACCTATGGTCTCTGAAAATAGTTTATTCACATGATCTACAGCCAAACCACTCCCATAGGGATGTCACACATAACCTTGGGCAAATAAACTCGTCTATGTATCGAGGTAAAAAGAGAAAGTTATAGAGAGTAAGAGAAGGAGATAGAAGGGATAGGAAGGAGATACAAATATTGGAATCGGAGACAATTTTGGAGACAAGTAGTCAACAGGAGGACAGTGACAAGCAGACTAGAAAAGTAAATAAACAAAAACAAAGTGGTCACATGCCACATGGCAAAAGTTCAGGGCATTTCTTCACTTTTCTACCATACCCCTCGGTTAATCAGTGGGCTAGCAGGAGGAGGAAGCTCGGTACTGCGCCAGCGGGTTAAAATTCAAGATCATCCAACCCCAGAGGAGCCAAAGGATGCACTCGACCAATCAGAACCGTCGAAAGAGCCTGGTGGATCTAAACCATTGGTTGATCGTTCCTTGGTGCGAAGAGACATCCGCGCCTTTTTAAAAGAGTGTGGTGGAACCCCAGCAGAGGCACGCTATTGGCTATCACAGTTCCACGAGATGCACTCCACTTATAAGAAGGCTTTTGCTGTAGTTGAGGTAAGTTATTTAGGATATTGGAAAAATGTGGAGCGTTTATACACCAGAAAGATAATTACAATAGGTTGACAAAAGTGGTACGATAACTTATCTTATACATTTAACAATGTTTATTTTCGAAGTTCGAAAAATAAAATTAAATGTAGAAATCCACACTTCTTTATCCTGTAATTCGGGTTCTGCTTTTTAACTCCCTCAGTTATAGTTATGAGCTCTGCTTATTGCACCTATCAGTAAGCATTGGTAAAGCATACAGAGGAGAAGAAATTAAACACTGTTTCTATTTCTTCTCCACATTTGCATTGTGTGCCATGCTGGTGCCAAGACTGCACTGGAAAATGCTGTAATTTACAGAATTTGTAATCTAGATTTAAAAAACCAAATGGAACATCACATGGAAACACATTAACACCAGCTGTAGGTAACTAACAACGTTTTATTCAATGGTGCAGCCTCCAGAGAAGTGATGGTTTCTCTTTAATTTAAACATAAGGAGATGCAATGATTAAATATAATTTTAGGTATATATGTAATGTGTGCTTGACACAGTGTAATAAATCAATGACTAATACAAAGAAACTAGTCCTGCGCTCAAACTCCCATCACTCCTGGGCGGCAGCAACGACCATAATACACATCAGCCAAAATACATATAGTAAAAAACAAATAAAAAAGTTACCTGCGCTCTTTCCACATCCCAATGTATTTTTAAACAAATTGAGGTTTTTAGTTACCTCCAATGGCCATGAGAGGGTAAGCCCACCTGCCACATCAAGGCAGACCTCTTAGGTGGGTCCTACTCTAACCATTCACCTTGCTTCCTTAAGCTTCAGGCAAAAATATGTCTAATTAGACAGAAAGGGGTCTGTTTTATATACATCCCCACATGCTTATTAACCCTTAATAGGGAAGACATGGGATGGGCAGCAGCATTGCAATAAATAAATGAGTTGATGGCAGGAGTGTGTCGGCCACTGATATACAAATGGCTCAATACAGCAACAACAACAACAACAACAAAAAATGTGATTGTGGAACATAATCAACCCCTTAAGGACCAAACTTCTGGAATAAAAGGGAATGATGACATGTCACACATGTCATGTGTCCTTAAGGGGTTAAAATACAAACTTGCACATGCGTATACCTAAAACACTAACTGCAATTCCATTTACCCGGGGCAATACTAAGGGGTTTATTCACTAAATAACAAATTGTAGAGTACTGTAAACGACATTGCTAAAATAAAACCTTTCCAACTCAGTTTTGGACAGACAGATATTTCAGCCTATTAAAAAGTTTGATTTTAAAACGACGGTAGACTTACAGAACTATGACAAAAACAGATTCACTATTAAAATATTATCATCATCAGGACTGAGTTTAAATGGTTCACAGTGCAAATACTACATTGCAATCAGGCATTTTTTTTTTAGGCCACCTCTGCTGGGAGTGAAGTCCATGTATCCAAAACTCATTCTGCAAGTTAGCAAATTCTAGAATAGGCCGCTGGTGAAGGAGTTCAAAGGATGCTCTATTTCTCTCACCCTCCGTTCTGGGAAATACGGTTCTGGTTGTACTTTGCTCAATGTTTTAATGTATGTGACCTTACTGTCATATCCTTATCTGGACATTTTTAGAAAGAAATACCTCCATACTCAGCACTAATATTAGCACACAGAGACACCGATTCACACACAGACATGCAGATAACCTGCAAACACGGTATAACAAGGGCATCGAGTGGAACATTTTCTTGGTTTCCCTGGGAATTGCGCCACTTTTTGAACTTTGCATCAAAACTAGACTGTATAAATAACTCCCCAAATGCTAAAGGAAATATCACATTGATAAAACAATTAAGGGTTTATTCAGTAACAATAAATTGCAGTGAATTAAGAACCAAAATTGAAAATGAAGACAAAAATAACCGATTACTGTGTTATATAAATCCTAAATATTAAATCAATTATTGAATTTAAGATTATATGTAAGGGTTACTATAGACCTCATATAACTATAGACCTCCGATAGGCAATATTTACAGCCAATTAACCAAAAGTGTTTTTTCTTTTTAACCATATGGATCTTAAATAGTATCTAAACACAAGGAATTTGTGTAACTCATGGGTAGTCAACCTGGTCCCTACTGCCCACTAGTGGGCGGTTTGGGATTTCAGGTGGGCGGTTGTGGGTTCTGCAGAAAACGCCCGGTGGGCCTCGATAGCCATGGAGCAAGGCCAGCAGGGGATATCCTTTCATCTCCCCTGCTGGCCTATGCATAGCCAGCCTTGCTGTAAGCCCTCTTGGGCTGGTGAAAAGAACAAAGATCTCTTTCACCGGCCTGCTGGCACTTAGTTCCAGCAGAGGGAGGGAAGGGCCTGGGAGGCTCTGTGTTTTTCCCGCGAGCTGGCTGGTTGGAGTGTTGCCACGTTTTACCACGGCAACACTCTGATATAGTGCTGTGCTCGCAGAAGGACAGGAGAGTCCACCTGCAGCCGGAGGAGCCACCACTGGACCACCAGGGCTTGCAGCATTATATCCCCCCATCCTGGTAAAAGGTAAGAAGATGGGAGGGGAGACAATTAGATAGATTTTCACATCTCACCCACCTACGCACAGCATATACCCTATGCACCCCTCACATACACTCCACCCGTCACACATATACAGCACCTCTAGCACACACAGTGCACCCCTTGCACACACTGCCCAACCTCACACACACTGCCCTCTCACACACACAGAACCCTTCACACATACACATCACCTCTAACACACACTGTCCCCCCTCACACACACTGCACCCTTCATACACAATGCCCCCTCACATACTCTACCCTTCACGCACATACAACACCCCTCACACATACACAGCACCCTTCACACTACACCTCTCTCTCTCACACACACACAGCACCCTTCACACACACAGCACCCTTCATACACAATGCCCCCACACACACATACAGCACCCCTCACACATACACAGCACCCTCCACACACACACACACACTAAACCTCTCTCTCTCACACACACAGCACCCTTCACACACACAGCACCCTTCATACACAATGCCCCCACACACACATACAGCACCCCTCACACATACACAGCACCCTCCACACACACACACACACACTACACCTCTCTCTCTTACACACACAGCACCCTTCACAAACAGCACCTCACAGACACACACAGAAAAAAGTAGAATAGAAAATAGAAAAAAAGGAAACAAATAGGTGAATTTAAGTACATTTTTAAAAAACCTTTCTATAAAAAATAAATAAAAATTATCTCACTTGTACTATAAAATTAGTTACTGTGGCACTGGTGGGCGGTAAGGAAGTTTTACCATCAACAAAGATGCAAAACTGGGCGGTAGGTAATAAAATGTTGACTACCTCTGCTTACAATGCATCCAGTAATTAAACTTCTCCTACACCACTCAAATATATAGAGTCTGGGATCCACCATATAACCGTCCAGCCCTACGCATGCATTGAGCTTTAACATTACTGCCCTACGTGGTAGAATGCAAACACTTGGTAAAGAACTGTCTCACATCAACTCTTATTCCTTTCAGGTGGATGAGAATGTCTTTAGCTGCAAGAGGTCCCTTGTAAGCCTGGGGTTTGCACTTTCCTTTCTCCAGCGGATGGACATGAAGCCTCTCGTGGTGATGGGTCTACCCAGTACGTACTGTGCCCGTCCGTCTGTCCAAGAAACCAAGTCCTTGCTTGTCCACAACTGCCAAACCCTGGTGGACACCCTGAATAAAACCTCCGGCACTGCTTTGCCTTTCTTTAATGGGGGATCTGTGCTACGCTCTCATGAAGTGGATGGCTGGTATGGTTTGACAAAAAGTCTTCTTCGCTTTCCCTTAACCACCTGTTTGTGTCCTTGCCTCTCACAATCTCTTTAAAAAAAATTAAACTGAGATACTTTTCCCAGTCTTTTATGTGTATCTTTCTATATTTTACTGTGTATAGTCTACTTACATCATTTCATAGTATGTTTATTTCCTAATCGGATTTAGATTATTTTTATTATTATTATTGATTGCCTTCTGCATGTTTCTCTTTTTGAGTCCGTTTTACATTCCTCTTCCCCTTCCTGATTTCTAGTCCATTAACTTACACCAATGTATTTCTTTCCTGAAATTTTTCCTGTCCCTGGAAAAGATACATAATTTATAGTAGCAAACTCTGTTCTATTTCTAGTTATGGCTCAGTGTCAGGAGTGGATACTGAACTGCTCATCTGGTGCCTCGACTCAGGGAATATTCCCATCATCTGCCCCATTGGTGAGACTCCTTCAGGTCACTCAATCCTTCTTGACTCTTTAGAAGTAACTGCCAACATCTCCCGTGTCCTGCAGCCACTAAAGATCATCTTCCTTAACACTGTGGGTGGATTGAAAGACTTGAGTGAAAAGGTGAGGAAGTCATCCTTCATGTCCTTATACTGTCCTTAGTTGAGAATGGTAACATATGCTCTAATAGTTTAGGAACTTATTCACTAAGTGGATGAGTCCACCATATGTGATAATTCTTGGATGGCATCCAAAGCATTGTCTATATGAACACTCATTAAACTTAACATAGGGACAACTTGGCCTACGTCACTACATTTCCAAACCCATCCAGTTTATTGGGAAGATCATTGATAGTTACCTTTTAAAGTTCAGCTCATGAAAAACCCATCAACGTTCAAGAGATCTGACTAAGTTCAACTGCAATGTCAAAACATGCTTTGAATGGCCCCAGATAGCCACAACAAGGTCTGTTGGTAAATGGTATATCAAGCTATAGAAACTCATAGAAGAATCAGTTGTGGAATCCTAAACAGGGAACTCGATGACCTTTCTCTCTCACCAGAATACTTGTAACGTCTGGTTCTCTATTATCTGCAGGTTATGGGACTTGTGAATTTACCAGCTGATTTGGAACTGATGAGGAATGCATCCTGGATGAGTGATTGGCAGCGGCAGCAGGTGACAGTAATTGTGGACTTACTGAATAGACTACCTGCATCTTCCTCTGCAGTCATCACCTCAGCAAGATGTCTCCTCAGTGAACTTTTCAGCAACAAAGGTTAGAATGTAGCATGTCCTTTGCAACTCTATATCGAACTGCCACATTAACATTTTTGAGCCTCATTTTTAAACTAGAACCCAAAATACAGTTTAGTCTAGTGTGGGCTCAATTGGTTGAGAAAGGAGCTGCATTGGCCCCAACCACATAAACGTCTTTCAAAGAACTCTGTCAAATTCTATTCAACACATAGGGAACCTTTGTTTGGCTAAATCTGTGCACGTGTGACAATAAATTTATATAAATGTGTATGTATTATGTACCTTTGTATCTGATATGTATATGGAATGTGTGTATGTTACTATATAGGTTATTGGTTTTGTGAATGAACAGATAGTGTAAGTGACTGAAAAGATGGGAGGCGCAGGCACTTATAGATAATTCTGCTTTATAGCCTTGGTCCATAAACAAGAGCACATCCATTGTTCAGTGATGGGATGGTGGAACAAACATATTGCATTATATCTTAATTATACTATACAGCAATGCTTTAGACGTATTATCAGTGTAACAAAACCAAATTACATATCTGTTTGACACATAGGGTCAGGAACGTTGTTTAAGAACGCAGAACGCATGCTGAGGTTCGACTCCTTAGAGGAAATCGATACTGAGCGTTTAGTCTCATTGGTTAACCGGTCTTTCCAGAAGAAGCTGAAAGAGGATTATATCAAAAGTGTGGGATCACGCCTGAATTCGGTGTATCTTTCAGAAGGGTAAGTCCGCTAAACCATAAGGAACTTTCAGATTACTTGGAATGTGGGATTAAACAGATGGAGGAATTACAAGACAAGACCATTGGGTGGGTGTAAAGCAATGAGTTAGTTGGTTAATGCTCTGACTGTACGACAAGCTCACATGTCTTATAAATGAGGTTACTGGAAGTGTCCTGCATTGGATTCTTGAGAAGTGATTGAGTCATAATACGAAGTTAAGGAGGTAATAAAATATGAAATTAAAGAAGTGATAAATTGATATTTTTCCGCAAACAAAGTTAATTAAGGAAAATATGAACTGCGGGGAGTGGAAGACGAAGGAAATGCAATCTGTGAAATGTCTCTGTATATCACTACTTGTTTATGCCTGAAGCTAGAATGATATTGTTTACGTTGAGCTTCACAATCCTTATGGATAGTGATCGGTTAAAGTGGTCCATTAATTAGCACCATAAACAATGAATTTTTATAGTGACTGCTCGGAGCGAAATGCATCAGACAAGATTGAAGTTCTGTAGTGATATTCTTTATGAACTGAATTATTACATGACTCATACAGATTGCTGCTAATCTGGTTGCTATATTAGGTATTTGATATTTCCCAACTGATCAAGACAGAGGTTTTACAAAATGTTTTGCCTTGTTGTGGAGATAGACCGTGTAGACCCTTGGCACTCCAATATATCACAGCAATCTTAGCCCTCGAGGACTAGAATGACAAATGCTGCCAAGTTCCTTGTTGCATACAAACACTAACCCTAATTTCTGCTTGTGTAGGTACAACGCAGCTGCCATTGTTACTACAGAACCAGTGCTCGGAGGCACGCCATATCTGGACAAGTTTGTTGTCAGTGCGGGAAAACAAGGCCATGGCTCTGGGCAGATGTTATGGGAGTGCCTCAGACAGGACCTACAAACACTGTTTTGGAGATCGCGAGCCACCAACCCAATAAACTCATGGCAAGTTGAGACCAGTTATAAAGTGTCAGTGGCAAAGAATAAGGAAAGGCCATGTAATGAACCGAAACAAAACCTACTTATTCACTCTCAACCACTCCCTTAAAGGTTGTTTAGGTCCCACAGCAAATGTTAAGACAAAGATTAGAAGGATACTATAGTGCAAGGGTTTTCAATTTTTCCAGTGGAACCCTTTGAAATAGTGTATCACCATCGTGGAACCAACCACTCCCCTCCACCCGCCTCCCCTGGGTAAAAAAAAAAGTGCACCATTTTTTTGTGTGTGTCAGTGTGTCTATCGGTGCTTGTATGTGCATGTGTATATCTGACACACAGATACACACACATACTAGCACATAGATACGCACACCTTGACACACAGAATGTGTGTGTGTGTATGTATGTATCTGTGTGTATCTGTGTTTGTATGTGTCTATGTGTCAAGGTGTGTGTGTATCTATGTTTCAAAGGAGCTGAGCAGGGAGATCGCTGCTCCCTCGCCGCCCGCGGCCATTTTCTTTTTAAAACTTTTGTCGGAACCCCAACACCAATTGGGAAATGCTGCTATAGTGTTAGGAATACAAACCTGTATTCCTAACACTATAGCTCCCTCTGCCTCCCAACTCCCGCCCAGTTAACACTGTTTTATTTTAGAATGGCATCATGGGACATGTAGGTCCCCAATACAATACTTATACAACATACAAAACCTACTGATTGCCCCTCGGATTGGCAAAAAAAATAAAAACAAATAAAAACAAATTTGATTGAATACCTAGTATCAAGGTGGGAAGCTGGCCATAAAAGAAAGGAATGTAATGCCTGATACAATGTTCATAGTTATATTGTTATTGACAATGTTTATTGTTACCTACAGGTATTTTAAGAACAGTGATGGCAGCTTCTCCAACAAGCAGTGGATTTTCTTTTGGTTAGGACTTGCAGACATCAGAGATTCTTATGAACTGGTGAACCATGCTAAATGCCTACCTGATTCCTTCTGCAAACCTGTTCAGTCATGAGTGGGGACCCAAGGGATACTAAACAGGCTCTGGATGGACCCGCAGCCCATCCTATCACATGGCAGCAATCAGTAACATTTAACATCTAGCGGCGTTTACAGAGGAAATGCTCTCCTTATTTGAAGATTATCAAGTGGAAGCCAACACAAAACCTTACATCACTGCTGGACATCGTGCCTATATACGTACAGGGTTACATACAAAAGTAGATTTCACATTTATTGAAAAAGTAGCTAGTTAGAATTTTTCTAATTTTGGCTATTTTGATCTTAAAATTTAAATTCTCTCTTTAGTGAAAAACCCTGTTTGTCTCATCACCCTTCTCACAAAAACGCATTGTTACAGAAAACAAAATCGCTGTACTTGCTTTACATAGGCACAACCATCAGATAAATGTGGACACTATCTATTAAAACATAGCAACCCATGCTGTATAACAGAGAAGGAGTTGGCAATCATTGAACAGAGACGATAAAAAAATCATGGCTATATCTTTCACAGCATTAATTGGGAATGTTTAAATTTTAAAACAAATGCTACTAACCAGGTCTAAACCTTACTCACCACTGTAAGCCTGGAGGGATTACAGAATAATCACCAGGGGTAAAGTGAGACCTATTATATTATCACGTTATCGGGAGCATACCTCATGATCTGATTTGCCCCTTAATTTATTTCATACCATTGAAGAACGCTGTTAAGTTGTGCCAGCTTTAGAAAGTAGAGCGTCAAAAAAATTTAGATAAGCCCAGTACAGGCTGGGAGAAAACCATATTTGTGATAAAAGTTCCAAACTGAAGATTTGCACATGCAAAACGATATTTAACGAATAACTCGAAAATCTCCAAACCTTATATTTTTAAACAACTGAAACATAACATGCTTTATGCATTAACCCCTTAAGGACACGTGACATGTCATGATTCCCTTTTATTCCAGAAGTTTGGTCCTTAAGGGGTTATTATATTTTGCTCATGACAGTAACACTGCTGGTTTAAATAAAAAAAATGGTTCAAACATAAAGGGGTATAAGTCTCTAAAACCAGAATGTCAGAGAATTGACAAGGGGATTTCAAATTTTAGGCCAAAGTAGACTATGCTATTTTTTCAGCTTAGCTAAATTTTCCCTAAAATTTGTAATTACATTTGTCAATTTCTCTGCAATTTATTTTGTCAATAAGCTCAAGAAAATATGTTGGGCAAAATTGCAAGTTTCTTTTCAATTTCTGATTTTAGTGAACAACTTTGTATGCCTCATAGGGAGAACCACTTTATACATGATGTTTGGCAGGTTAGATCCATTAAAGAGATTCTATAGTGTAAGGAATACAGGTTGTATTCCTTACACTAAAGTTCCCTCTGCCCCCCTCCCACCCACCCCTCCGGCACAGAAAGGGTTAAAAAAACAAAACTTTTAACACTTAACCTGATTCCAGAGTCGATGTCCCTCTGTGCTGGGTAGGTGCTCCGCCTCCTCCGATGGATGGGGCGCTCATGCACATGCTTACCTATGGGAAGTGCATTAAGCTTCAATGTTTTCCTATGTGGATTTTACGGACGCTGGATGTCCTCATGGAGTGCATGAGGACGTCCAGCGTCAGTTAGGCGACCAAAAGTCGCTTACCCACTAGAAAGTACCTCAAGAGGCTGCCCTTAAGAGACAGTCTTAGTCCTGCAATGTAATTATAGCAGTTTCTCAAAAACTAAGGAGGGCAGGGATCCGCCACTGACTCACAGGGTAATTCATTAAGGTGAGAATTCAAACAAAGTGAATTTCAAATTTAAAATCAAAGTGGCTGAAATAGAAGCAGAGTCGAGTTATAAAGGTTTTTTCCAGTACGGCTATTTTTACCCGATATTTGATATTCACTTTGAATTCTCACTTTAGAGGGAAAAAAAATCATCTTACTCTTTAGTAGTTAAGTCCATTAAAGCACGGGTAGGCCTGGATTTCTAAAATTAGATGTACCATCTTAAACACAAATAGAAGAGCGTTAAAGGACCACTATAGTGCCAGGAAAACATACTTGTGCCCCCACCCTCCGCGCTCTAGGGTGAGGAAGGGGTTAAACTTACCACTTTCTCCAGTGCCGGGCGGGGAGCTCTCCTCCTCTTCGGCTGAAAGTGCATGCGCGGGAAGAGCTGCGCGCGCATTCAGCCACTCTCATAGGAAAGCATTATCAATTTTTTGATTTTCACAGTGAGAAGCACGCAAGCGCCTCTAGCGGCTGTCAATGAGACAGCCACTAGAGGCTGGATTAACCCATAGGTAAACATAGCAGTTTCTCTGAAACTGCTATGTTTATAGAAAAAAGGGTTAACCCTAGCTGGACCTGGCACCCAGACCACTTCATTAAGCTGAAGCGGTCTAGGTGCCTATAGTGGTCCTTTAACAACCAAAATTGGACACCTGTATCTAAACAGGTATCTCTACAAGTCAATAGGAATTATTTTTTCAGAATAAGTTTTATTTGGGTGTTAGGTGTAAGTGTATTAGCTATTGCTTCATCTTCTTCCTAGTAGGAAATAGGAAGATCAGGAGCGCAATTAGTAAGAGGTTAAAAGGACCCCCAAATAAATGCAAAGGTATTCCGACTGAGAATGATACATGACAGTAAAATCTGTATCACAGGAGAAAGATCTCACGGATAGCTTTATTTATTTTAGTACATATATTTCTATATGTAGCATTTATTTTTTGGTTGCATTTTAATAAATTGGCAATATTTAATGCTAACTTGTGAGATCTCCGCTTATTTCAAAGGGGGTAAGAGTCACCCTGAATCGGTACACACATGCTCTATACCTAGAGTCAGTTCTGTTAGGTTCTCCTAAAGGTGAGCATTATACTTGTCACTTGTATATATGGGCATCCTTGTATGAGCGAACTTCCACCATTTGTTTCCTTCACTCATTTTTGTCTTACCTAAACACCTACATTGAAGACCGGAGGAAGAGGTAAGATATTAGCCAATCGATTATAGCCTCCATCCAAATTGAGTATGCTGGTTTACAATACCACACTATAATTTTTTTTGCCATATTACATTTGCAGTGGTGCACTGTATATTTTTCTGTTTTTTAGTTTATTGAGCCTGTATAACCCATACTTTATATGGGTGAGTGTGTATACATTAAGAACTTAACACTGTACCAAACCCACAAGTTGTGCCATTGTCACTAACCACCACGTAATCTAGATTTTCAGAAATATTTGACACTGAGTAAATGGAACAGCTTTTTACCATATCCAAATCGGGTAATAAAAATCCAGATTGAATGAATAGAACTGCCTTCTTCTGGAAACTAGAGAATATTTGCTATGAGCATGCTGAAATACAAATTGGTAAAGCCAATCAGAACAACTTATTCTGATAAGGAATTGACATTAAAAGCAATGTTTTACATGGGAATAGGCAAAGCAAATTGGTAAAAATCCCATTTTAAGGGTGGCGTTACAAAATGTGTTATCACAAAGCTTGGGCCTTGCAAATTAATGTTCACAAGTCTCTGCTTGATTCCTATCTAATCATTGTTTAGATGGGTATCAGAAAACTGTGTTGGTTAGAGATTCCCCCATATTTTGTGACACACAACTAACTAGTGATATACAATATATATATATATATTTTTTAAATACACAACTTTCACTTACACAGTCTGCAGATAAAAGCATGCCATGCGATTAACAAGTCACATACAATGCGATGGTAGACTGGCACAGAGCTAGATGTAATGTACAGTGCTATGGAATTTGCTGGCGCTATATAAATAATAAAATAATAATACTGGAATAGAGTATAATTAACAGCACAGCATTTGGTAAATCACAATTAAATACTCGAGAACATGGCAGAAAGTGAGAGAAGTATTGGTTTTGATCTTTTAGACCCAGGGCCGGCGCAGCCTATAGGCGACAGTAAGTGGCCTAGGGCGCACAGGCCCGGGGGGCGCAAGTTTCGAGTAACCCGGCAGGAGGGAAGCATACAGAGCTCCCTCCTGCCCGTCACTCTGCGTAGTGTGGCCGGATGGCGTGGAACGCGCTACAGGAGCTTGTGTTTCCTGTACCAGACAGGACTGAAGGGAAGTGCTCTCTTAATGAGCACACTCTGTCAGTCCGGCCGGGTACAGGAAACACAAGTTCCTGTACCTTGGTCCACACCACACTGAGGTAGGAGGCACAACTGGGAAGTGAGGAAAGACAGCACAAAGGGACAGACAACAAAGGGGGGAGAGAGACCACCAAGGGAAAGATGGGGGGAGGGGAGGAGAGATCAAGAGCAGGGAGAACTCTAAGGGACCGGCGGGAGGGAGAGACCTAAGGGTCAGGGGAGAGTATTAAGGGAGGGGACAGGGGAGAGTATTAAGGGAGGGGGCAGGGGAGAGCACTAAGGGAAAGAAGGGGGAGTGGAAGAGGAGCCAACTAAGGGAAAGATGGGGGAGAACGCTAAGGGACAGGGAGAGCACAATCGGAAGGGGGGGGCAGGGGAGAGCACTAAGGGACAGGAGGGGGGGGGATCACTAATGGACAGGCGGGGAGGGGACAACACACTACACACATACACAGAAACACACAATGCATGCCTACTCACACAAACACACCATGCATCCATTACACACACATACACAGAAGCACACACCGCTTCTCTCAATGCATATCTTACAAACACTAAATGCACCCATTCCAGACACACACTTCATTACATAGACAGAAACAGGTTAATTTTTACTTTTAGCCCGGCTTCAGGCTAGCAGCAGAGGACCCTACATCGGTTGTCCCACAATAAGAAATCCAGCACAGTGAGCTGCTACATATTATATATATGTGTATTTTAATATATATATATACTACTTATCTGTCCGTCAAACGTGCAGCGCACAGGAGTTGTAAACACCAGAGAAAGTAGCGCACAGAAGTAGAATTGGTACAGGATAAGCCATGAGCAGCGTTCTCTAGTGTTTGTAACCCCTGTGTTGCAGCGCGTTTTCTGGCAGGTGTCACAGAAGGCAGGCACTGGGCAGTCATGTAACACGGGAGCAGAGGGCCGAGGGAAGGACTGCCAGCTCGACTTTCAGGCAAGGCAATTCAGCTCCTCGGGGGACCTGTCCCAGCACTGGGTGACCACCCCACCGGACATCCCCGGCACCTGCAACCTCCACTGGGGGGAGAAAACACCTGTCTTTGGGGGGGAAGAGAGCAGCCTGCCCCCAGCTGGCCTGGGGCAGGAGTGCAGCAGCAGTGGGGGTGAGAGGGCCGTACCTGGACAGCACATGTAGAACGTGCAGCGACAGGTGCTGGAGAACTACAACTCCTATCATGCTTTCTCACCCTTTAGGCTCACAGAGCATCATGGGAGTTGCAGTTTTACACCTCTTTGACCTAGTAATAAATTCAGGTTTATTACTTGGCTGTCAATTGTGAGGAAATGAAAGGAAAATTAAACTGATTTTCTTATTTTAGGCCAAATTAGCAAATGTTCAAAACTATTTTTTTTTTGTTTTTTTCCCTAGTTTAGTTATTATAGCCGGCTAACTAAAAAGTTGAATATTAATAAAATTATCGAAAATACTATTTTAAAATAATTTGGGGAAAGAAGTCAGTTTCGGTTTTCGGCCAAGGGCATCCTGAATTTTCGGTTTCGAATTTTTACATCGATGTGTCCCTAAATAACACATAACCCCTCCCCTACACACATACACTCCACTCCCTGTGAGCGGACTCATGGGTGGGCCTTGTAGGCATAAGGCTTATGGGCGGGCCTTGTTTTAAAAAAAAAAAAAAAAATGGAGCTGCTTCCTGTTCGCTGATTTTGTGAGCACTGCCTCTAGAGATCCTGTTTTAACACCAGACCAGTGGAGCCAGAATGCAGCCAGAGCCCATCATCGTCCTCTTGTCCTCATCTGGGGATAAGTAGACAATCCAGTATGTTATTAGTGACACTAATCCCTAATTTACCTCACATTAAAGGGACACTATGGATATGTGCATTATGGAGACTAGTTGAAGGTGAGTTATGCTCCATTTTTATTTTAACTAAAATAAAATGGACAGATTATGTTCACTGTTACTAGTGGATGTTGGAGCTTAATGTAGTGGTTCTGGTGTCTAACCTGTCCCTGCAGGATTTTTATGAAAAGAGAAAAGACACTGTGTGCAGCACTGGCGTTGGCCCATATTGCAGATCATATAAGTGGGGCATTGTGATTTCACATGGGGGGCAGAACATAGGGGGGCGGCAAATTTTTGTTTGCCTAGGGCGGCAAAAATCCAGATGACCGTCTTGAACATATGCGTGTGTACTATGTTTACATCTTGGCAATTACACTAAACAAGAAGAGAAGAGATTTGTTGAGCTTTCTACAGACTCTAAAAACCATACCTTTTAAAAGCTTTTAAAACCAAAAATAAAAACACATACAGTAGACGTTTCTTTAAAAAAAAAAAAAAAAGAACTTTATCAAAATACATCAGGTGACAGCCTCACTTTAACCCCTTAAGGACCAAACTTCTGGAATAAAAGGGAATCATGACATGTCGCACATGTCATGTGTCCTTATGGGGTTAAGCCATTTACTTTCACAATTCATTTTCAGTAAGGGGGATGTGAATGGATAAGAATAATTTATGAAAATGCACTGATATTGAATATACTGCTGAAGAGATTATAAATTACATTAATAGGTTGGTGGACGGTTATTGAAGTCCCAATCTTCCAAAATGCACTCTCTCATTTTAAAAAGAGGCCAATGCTCTGACAGTAAAACATACAAACATGCTTTTAAAAAGGTGCAGTTTGGTTTTACACAAAAGGTACATTCTTTTTTAACATAATAAATAAAAATCAATTTTTGCTCCTAGTGTTCTGATTATGCTCTTTAAGGCTCTGACAGCATGAGACGTGTCCATAGAATGATTAGATTGTATGATCCAGAAGTCAAAGAACTGGGTATTCTTGCAGGGATTGTTGGTCAGATCTGAAATGGAGAAGGAATAGTTTGGAGAAAGAATGAGATACTGAAACCGTTCTAAGAAGACATCAATGTGTTCTCCTACTGCTGATTGGTGCAGTGCGACACAATGATGACCTAATCAAGAGCCATATTTATCCTCGAGGGTACTGAGGTTCCTTACCACCTATAGTGATTTGTGGAGCATCCATATCAGCCATCCGTGGCTATTATGACAGCAGCACCGAAGATGCCAATGTTCTGTCCAATGAGTCGCATCTGGTTCCAGAATTCCACCCGTCTGTTAGTGTGCCAATAATTCAGGTTGCCATCTACGAGGAGTAGTGTTAAAGGAAGCAGCACTGCTAGAACCTGGGCAGCAATCCTCACGTAATACCCAGATAGGAAAGATAAAGCCAAGATCCCAAATAGGATAAAGACTATTTGCAGGGCGGGTTCGCCTCCCGGCAGGAACTCTAGATACGCCAGGCGATCCTCCTTACTGTGCTGCAAGGTATATGCCTGGTGCGGAATAGGGAAAAAGATACACATTAAAAGCGAAATAGTCTCCATCATTCGTATTAGTAGTAATAATTACTAATTATTTCATCAAAACAAAATGAGAGAAGAAAAGGAAGGAGGACCTTGTCACCTGAGGAACTGTCAAGGTGAGGTCATATTTTGTGTTTTTAGTACAGATATTTCTTTAGTAAAAAAAACCTGACATCAGCCGGAAAGGGCAGCATTACTTCTCCACTCTTCCTCAGCACCAGTCATTTTTCACCAAAATCTAAATCTCTCTTCCCACATGCCCTACAAAACAGGCCATGCTGCCTCAGTCAGTCAGCACCTCCACTTTTCTAGGGGCGGCATGGGCATTACCCGACTGCCACTCTGCTCTCCTGGAAAGGAAGCAGCGACTTTCTGTGCTGTAAAAGCAAAGACTAGATGGGATGGTGACTGTTTACTTGGAGGAGTGCTGGATGGTGAGAACTGCCTGGAATTCAAAGTCAATTTAAGGGCAATGTAGCCAAACTGGAAGCATTGCCGACTTGGGAGAATGTTTTTTAGTTCAGTTTAGCTTTGAAGGAACATTATTTAATGTCAGAAACACATTTACTTCTGACACTATAGTGTTAAAATAACTATTTAGGTCTCAGGCCACCTTCTCAGTGTAGTAAAAAGGTGATTTTACTCACCTTTTCTCCCACGCCAGTCTCGCCGCAGCTGACTCTGCCTCTATGGCAGAGATTATCAAAATTATCCAATAGGAAAGCATTAGCAGGCTATTATACATGCGCAGCAGAACACAGTGCAGCACTGAAGCACTTCTTGTGGCAGTCTGAGTGACTGCCACTATAGGTGTTCCTTGGCAGTTTTGTAAACAGTGTCTTTTTTCTGAAAAGGCAGTATTTACATTAAAAAGCCTGCAGGAACATGCCATGGACACCAGAACAACTACATTAAGTTGCAGCTGTTCTGGTGACTATAGTGTCCCTTTAAATTTGTTAGAAGTGCTTTAAACGTCACAACCTGGATCACGAAAAATTTAGATCAAGATGTATTATCACTATAGTGAACAAAGAAAAGGTGGTAATGTACCATGTAGACAGGACTTTCACAACAGAACAAAATATTTATTTTAAAATCTCTTATAATATATATAAGATTGCAAAGAGAAAATATGTGTCATTTTATATTACCCCCCCACCCCCAACTAACAATCCAACTGCCACGTGGTCTCAGACACACAGCCTACCATGCAAATTAGGTAGATCCCTATGAAGACCTGTCCAGTGGACTGCAAAGAGCGACTCCGTGGCTTCTGTCTGTAGATCTCGCCGGCACCACTGGCCAAAACCAGGAAGCCACCAATGACAGCAATGGTGCGTGAGTACATCCTGACCTGGATTACACAAGGAGATTAGCATACAACATTAGGCATATAGGAGTAGGCTTTGCTTTAATTGTAATCACTTAAAAAAATTAATGATCCATGGATCCAGTAACATAATTCAAACTTTTTCTTAACAGACCTAAAATTTAATTTATTTTTTTCTCTGAATACTTCATCCACCAGTTCTCCTGGGGGTATAACCCAGAGATTTACAACACTTTCCATGAAATTTCATTGCTATAAAAGCACTTGAAAAATACCCCCCCCCCGCCCCCCCCAATACCTAGTGAGCACCTATTGTAGGACTATCTTGGAATATTTACTAAACTTTTACCCAAAATCCACTAGTAATGGTGAACATAATCTGTCCATTTTATTTTAGTTAAAATAAAAATGCAGCATAACTCACCTTCAACCAGTCTCCATAATGCACATATCCACCAACGTGGGCAGCGTAGGTGCCGATTGCCAGCTCCATGGCCGATCCTAAGGCAAACCAGCGCCGTTTAACGCCAAAAGACATGAAACTGGCACAGATTACAGAGGCCGCCAGATAAAAATAAAGATATGGAACAGGGATATCTGGCTTCCTGAAAAGGTATATGGAAGGAAAACATTTGAAAACAAAAAGACAAGTAATATAACAGTAGAGGGAATGATAGGAATAGGGGGGTAGGGGAATAAGAATAATATGGACATTTACAGTGGAAGGAACTCAGAAATTGAGACCAGTTAGTATAATGAGAATAACATTGGTCAGTAAAAATATGGTGTCACCAGGACGGCACAATGTCAAAACCAACAGTGTAATTGAAAATACTACAATGAAAAGTCATTTAATTAGGTGACACATTTAATGTGTGGATGGGGGAAAATCAGTGGGTCCTTCAACTATTCATGTTATGTATATTTTATATCTAGATACATACATAGATTTTAAATACAAGTATAACATTTACTATATATATATATACACACACACACACACACAAATAAAAATATATAATATATATATATATATATAAAAATATAAATATAAAAGCACATTTCAATTTAGTATATATTTTTAACATTTAGTGAGCCCCAAATCCATACATCCCATTCTCAGCCAATCCTAGTGATTTTCCATATGCGTTTGCGTAGGAAGGAGTTTATAGCAGCCACATATATGTGTAACACCTATTGTTTAGATTTTATTCATTGTGGTAAAATAACTGCTTGCTCGGGTGAACGGAAGCCTGTTTGGCATGAATGTAAACTCTTTAAAATCTTCCAAGCCTCCCATAAAAACAGCTGAGATTCAGCTGCAGATTACTTTCCGGTTACATCAAAGCGTGATCATGGACTCCTCATAAAAGTGAAAGAATTCCATCTGGTAGGATCATAATAATTAAAAACTATGTCTTCCGTTTCTTATACTGCGTTAATACTTAAAGGGATACTATAGTACCAGAAAAACAAAGCCTTTTTTCCTGGCACTATAGGTTCCTACGGTGCCACCCTCTCTCGCGATGCATAAGGAGTTAAAACCCCTTCAGTCACTTACCTGAATCCAGAGCAGATGTCCCTCTGCACTGGGTCAGGCTCCGCCCACGCTCCTCCCCTGCTGACGTCAGCCGGCAGGGGAGACCTTATGTGCATGCGCAACAAGAGCCACACCCTCATTAGGATTCCCTATAGGAATGCATTGTTTTAATGATTTCCTTTGGGGATTTGATTGACGTTGGATGTTCTCATGCACAGCGGTGGAATTTGACACACAGGACACACTCAATATGGAGAGACTATGGGGGTGGGGCAAAGGGTGAGACACTCAGGGTAATTAACAAAACTGAGGCAAAAATAGCCATGTTGTCACTATAGTGCCATAAATGAAATTTCCCAATAAGCTGCTTATGCCCTCTCAATGTTCAGGGCTCTGGACAGGGGTCCCAATCTTTGTAGTTGAACTAATTGTGTGTCTGGAAACATAGATCAGATCATTATGACGGACATGTAGGTTGGGCTACTGCCTCAGTCCCATGAACAAGTAAATCTTTTTACAATTTCCACAACCCTGATAAAGTACATTCAGACACATGAATAATGACTGATATCAATTATCAGAAATATGCAGAATATAGTAGGGATGCACCGAAATGAAAATTATTGACCGAAACTTCAGGATGTCTTTAGCCGAAAACCAAAAATGACCCCCCCCCCCCCAACCACCCCAAATGATTTTAGAATAGTTTTTTTTATAATTTTATTAATATTAGACTATTTATGCAAGACAGTAAGGGCTATATAAATTACAGTTCATTAGTAAGCTTTACCAATGCTCTCTCTCATTACATTTCCAACTCCATTAAAGTCTATATGAAGTTGGAAATATAATCGGACAATACTATCACTGTATGAAGTATATAATAATAATACTATCACTGTAAGAAGTATATAATAATAATACTATCACTGTATGAAGGATATAATAATAATACTATCACTGTATGAAGGATATAATAATACTATCACTGTAAGAAGTATCTAATAATACTATCACTGTATGAAGGATATAATAATAATACTATCACTGTATGAAGGATATAATAATAATACTATCACTGTATGAAGTATATAATAATAATACTATCACTGTATGAAGGATATAATAATACTATCACTATATGATGTATATAATAATAATACTATCACTGTATGAAGGATATAATAATAATAATACTATCACTGTATGAAGTATATAATAATAATACTATCACTGTAAGAAGTATATAATAATAATACTATCACTGTATGAAGGATATAATAATAATACTATCACTGTATGAAGGATATAATATCACTGTATGAAGTATATAATAATAATACTATCACTGTATGAAGTATATAATAATAATACTATCACTGTATGAAGGATATAATAATAATACTATCACTGTATGAAGTATATAATAATAATATCACTGTATGAAGGATATAATAATACTATCACTGTATGAAGGATATAATAATACTATCACTGTATGATGTATATAATAATAATACTATCACTGTATGAAGGATATAATAATAATACTATCACTGTATGAAGTATATAATAATAATACTATCACTGTAAGAAGTATATAATAATAATACTATCACTGTATGAAGTATATAATAATAATACTATCACTGTATGAAGGATATAATAATAATACTATCACTGTATGAAGGATATAATATCACTGTATGAAGTATATAATAATAATACTATCACTGTATGAAGTATATAATAATAATAATACTATCACTGTAAGAAGTATATAATAATAATACTATCACTGTATGAAGGATATAATAATAATACTATCACTGTATGAAAGATATAATAATAATACTATCACTGTATGAAGTATATAATAATAATACTATCACTGTATGAAGGATATAATAATACTATCACTGTATGAAGGATATAATAATAATACTATCACTGTATGAAAGATATAATAATAATACTATCACTGTAAGAAGTATATAATAATAATACTATCACTGTATGAAGTATATAATAATAATAATACTATCACTGTAAGAAGTATATAATAATACTATCACTGTATGAAGGATATAATAATAATACTATCACTGTATGAAGGATATAATAATAATACTATCACTGTATGAAAGATATAATAATAATACTATCACTGTATGAAGTATATAATAATAATACTATCACTGTATGAAGGATATAATATCACTGTATGAAGTATATAATAATAATACTATCACTGTATGAAGGATATAATAATAATACTATCACTGTAAGAAGTATATAATAATAATACTATCACTGTATGAAAGATATAATAATAATACTATCACTGTATGAAGTATATAATAATAATACTATCACTGTATGAAGTATATAATATCACTGTATGAAGTATATAATATCAATACTATCACTGTATGAAGTATATAATAATAATACTATCACTGTAAGAAGTATATAATAATAATAATACTATCACTGTATGAAGGATATAATAATAATACTATCACTGTATGAAAGATATAATAATAATACTATCACTGTATGAAGTATATAATAATAATACTATCACTGTATGAAGGATATAATAATACTATCACTGTATGAAAGATATAATAATACTATCACTGTAAGAAGTATATAATAATAATACTATCACTGTATGAAAGATATAATAATAATACTATCACTGTATGAAAGATATAATACTATCACTGTAAGAAGTATATGATAATAATACTATCACTGTATGAAGTATATGATAATAATACTATCACTGTATGAAGGATATAATAATAATACTATCACTGTATGAAGTATATAATAATAATACTATCACTGTATGAAAGATATAATAATAATACTATCACTGTATGAAAGATATAATAATAATACTATCACTGTATGAAAGATATAATAATACTATCACTACATGAATTATATAATAATAATAATAATACTACTACTATCAATGTATGAAGGATATAATAATAATACTATCACTGTATGAAGGATATAATATCACTACAAGAAGCAGTGAGACCACTGCTTGCAAGAACAGACTGAAACAAAAAGGATTAATGGCAAAGGCTAAATTTATTGGTGTTTAAACAATATTACACTATATGTTTTTTCTATATCTTTCTCTTCCATGTTGAGGTCAACATATTTGCAAGTATAATATTTTATAAATTTTTATAGTATACAGGTATTTGCACATAAAATCCCTTTAACTGGTTTTGCACATTTGGACATACAGGTGGCACTGGAATCCAAATGAGGCAATACGTTTGTCAAGAGAGGCAGTATAAAGAGAAGGGGAACAAGAACAGAGCCTTGGGGGGACTTCAACTGAGACAGGATAAATGGGAGATATAGGAGGAAAGCCACAAGGGGACAGTGTACCAGAGACTGATTGACATGAGACACATATATACAAATTATATATATGTATAATGCAGAGTATATTTAGAGACTATATTTGGACACATGCATGTGTATATAGTTTTTACATTTTGAGATTATATATATATATATAGTATATTTAGATGCTATATTTGCACAAAGTGTACATTTAGATATATAATGTATATTTAGATGTTATATTTGGGCGCCGTGTATATTATGATGTATATTTACACAGTGTATATTTAGATGCTATATTTGGGCACAGTGTATATTCAGATGCTATTTTTGCACACAGTGTATATTCAGATGTACATGATGTATAGTTGCATACAGTGTATATTTAGATGCTATATTTGGGCACAGTGTATATTTAGATGTATATTTGCACACCGTGTATTTTTAAATGTATATGATGTATATTTGCAAACTGTATATTTCCATGTATAATTGGACACAGTGTATATTTAGATGTATATGATGTACATTTAGATGCTATATTTGCGCACAGTGTATATTTAGATATACAGGTACAATGTATATTTAAATGCTATATTTGCACAGTGTATATTTAGATATACAGGTATAATGTATATTTAAATGCTATATTTGCACAGTGTATATTTAGATATACAGGTACAATGTTCAGATGCTATTTTTGCACAATGTATATTTAGATATGATATATATTAGCACAGTGTATATATTTACATGTATATTTGCATACAGTGTATATGATGTATATTTGGTCACAGTGTATATTTAGATGTATATGATGTATATTTGCACACAGTGTATATATTTATATGATGTATATTATGTATATTTGCACACAGTGTATATTTAGATGCTATATGATGTATATTATGTATATTTATATGGTGTATATATGATGTATATTTGCACACAGTGTATATTTATATGTACATTAGGGCACAGTGTATATTTAGATGCAATATGATGTATATTTGGTCACAGAGTATATTTATATTATGTATATTTGGTCACAGTATATATTTATATGATGTATATTATGTATATATAGATGTATATTTGGTCACAGTGTATATTTAGATGCTATATGATGTATATTATGTATATTTACACACAGTGTATATTGATATGATGTATATTTGGTCACACAGTGTATATAGTTATATGATGTATATTTGCACACAGTGTATATATTTATATGATGTATATTTGCACACAGTGTACATATAGATGTATATTAGGGCACAGTGTATATTTAGATGCTATATGATGTATATTATGTATATATGATGTATATTTGGTCACAGAGTATATTTATATTATGTATATTTGCACACAGTGTATATTTATATGATGTATATTTGGTCACAGTACATATTTATATGATGTATATTATGTATATATAGATGTATATTTGGTCACAGTGTATATTTAGATGCTATATGATGTATATTATGTATATTTATATGATGTATATATGATCTATATTTGCACACAGTGTATATTTATATGATGTATATTTGGTCACAGTGTATATTTATATGTATATTATGTATATTTATGTGATGTATATTTGCACACAGTGTATATATAGATGTATATTAGGGCACAGTGTATATTTAGATGCTATATGATGTATATTTGGTCACAGAGGGTATATATTTATATGATGTATATTTGCACACAGTGTATGTATATCTGATGTATATTTGGTCACAGTGTATATTTAGATGCTATATGATGTATATTATGTATATATGATGTATATTTGCACACAGTGTATATTTATATGATGTATATTTGGTCACAGTGTATATTTAGATGCTATCTGATGTATATTTGGTCACAGAGGGTATATATTTATATGATGTATATTTGCACACAGTGTATGTATATTTGATTTATATTAGGGCACAGTGTATATTTAGATGCTATATGATGTATATTTGGTCACAGAGGGTATACATTTATATGATGTATATTTGCACACAGTGTATGTATATTTGATTTATATTAGGGCACAGTGTATATTTAGATGCTATATGATGTATATTATGTATATATGATGTATATTTGCACACAGTGTATATTTATATGATGTATATTTGGTCACAGTGTATATTTAGATGCTATATTGTGTATATTTATATGATTAATGTATATTTATATTAATATGGTGTATATTATGTATATGTATATTATGTATATTTATATGATGTATATTATGTATATTTGATGTATATTAGGGCACAGTGTATATTTATATGATGTATATTTGGTCACACACATTGTGTATATGATGTATATTTGGTCACACACAATGTGTATATGATGTACACTGTGACAAAATATACATCATATAAATATACACCGTGACCAAATATACATCATATAAATATACACTGTGACCAAATATACATCATATAAATATACACTGTGTGCAAATATAGATCATATATACATCATATAAATGTACATAATATACATCATATAGCATCTAAATATACACTGTGACCAAATATACATCTATATATATGGTCACACACAGTGTGTATATGATGTATATTTGGTCACACAGTGTGTATATGATGTATATTTGGTCACACACAGTGTGTATATGATGTATATTTGGTCACACGCAGTGTGTATATGATGTATATTTGGTCACACAGTGTGTATATGATGTATATTTGGTCACACAGTGTGTATATGATGTATATTTGGTCACACACACTGTGTATATGATGTATATTAGGGCACAGTGTATATTTAGATGCTATATAATGTATATTTGGTCACACACAGTGTATATTTGGTCACACAGTGTATATATTTAGATGCTATATGGTGTATATATATTTATATAATTGGCTTTCCCTGTATATATGACACAGTGTATATTTAGATGCTATATGGTGTATATAATATGACACAGTGTATATTTAGATGCTATATGGTGTATATAATATGACACAGTGTATATTTAGATGCTATATGGTGTATATAATATGATACAGTGTATATTTAGATGCTATATGATGTGTATATTTATATAATTGGCTTTCCCTGTATATAATATGACACCGTGTGTATATATTTAGATGCTATATGGTGTATATAATATGATACAGTGTATATTTAGATGCTATATGATGTGTATATTTATATAATTGGCTTTCCCTGTATATAATATGACACAGTGTGTATATATTTAGATGCTATATGGTGTATATAATATGATACAGTGTATATTTAGATGCTATATGATGTGTACATTTATATAATTGGCTTTCCATGTATATAATATGACACAGTGTATATTTAGATGCTATATGGTGTATATAATATGACACAGTGTATATTTAGATGCTATATGGTGTATATATATATATATATATTTCTATAATTGGCTTTCCCTGTATATAATATGACACAGTGTGTATATATTTAGATGCTATATGGTGTATATAATATGATACAGTGTATATTTAGATGCTATATGATGTGTATATTTATATAATTGGCTTTCCCTGTATATAATATGACACCGTGTGTATATATTTAGATGCTATATGGTGTATATAATATGATACAGTGTATATTTAGATGCTATATGATGTGTATATTTATATAATTGGCTTTCCCTGTATATAATATGACACAGTGTGTATATATTTAGATGCTATATGGTGTATATAATATGATACAGTGTATATTTAGATGCTATATGATGTGTATATTTATATAATTTGCTTTCCATGTATATAATATGACACAGTGTATATTTATATAATTTGCTTTCCCTGTATATAATATGACACAGTGTATATTTATATAATTGGCTTTCCCTGTATATATCACACAGTGTGTATATATTTAGTTGCTATATGGTGTGTATATATATATATATATATATATATATATATTTATATAATTTGCTTTCCATGTATATAATATGACACAGTGTATATTTATATAATTTGCTTTCCCTGTATATAATATAACACAGTGTATTTTTAGATGCTATATGGTGTATATAATATGACACGGTGTATATTTAGATGCTATATGGTGTATATAATATGACACGGTGTATATTTAGATGCTATATGGTGTATATATATATTTATATAATATGACAGTGTATATTTAGATGCTATATGGTGTATATATAAATATATTTATATAATATGACACAGTTTGTATATATTTAGATGCTATATGGTATATATATATATATATATTTATATAATTTGCTTTCCATGTATATAATATGACACAGTGTGTATATGATGTATATTATGTATATTTGATGTATATTTGGTCACACAGTATATATATTTAGATGCTATATGGTGTATATATGATGTATATTTATATAATATGACAAAGTGTGTATATGATGTATATTATGTATATTTGGTCACACAGTATATATATTTAGATGCTATATGGTGTATATATATGATGTATATTTATATAATATGACACAGTGTGTATATGATGTATATTATGTATATTTGATGTATATTTGGTCACACAGTATATATATTTACATGCTATATGGTGTATATATATTTATATAATTGGCTTTCCCTGTATATAATATGACACAGTGTATATATTTAGATGCTATACGGTGTATATATATTTATATAATTGGCTTTCCCTGTATATAATATGACACAGTGTATATATTTAGATGCTATATGGTGTATATATATTTATATAATTGGCTTTCCCTGTATATAATATGACACAGTGTATATATATTTAGATGCTATATGGTGTATATATATTTATATAATTGGCTTTCCTGTATATATAATATGATACAGTGTATATTTAGATGCTATATGATGTGTATATTTATATAATTGGCTTTCCCTGTATATAATATGACACAGTGTGTATATATTTAGATGCTATATGGTGTATATAATATGATATGACAATCGCGGTGTATATATTTAGATGCTATATGGTGTATATATGGTGTGTATATATTTATATAATTGGTTTTCCTTGTATATATAAGTAATATGACACAGTGTATATATATTTAGATGCTATATGGTATATATATTTATATAATTGGCTTTCCCTGTATATATGACACAGTGTATATATATTTAGATGCTATATGGTGTATATATATGGTGTATATATTTCTATATATGACAAGGAAAGTGTATATATAGTTACATGCTATATGGTGTATATATATATATTTCTATAATATGACACAGTGCATATATGATGTATATTTATAATATGACACAGTGCATATATGATGTATATTTCTATAATATGACACAGTGTATTATATGATGTATATTTCTATAATATGACACAGTGTATATATGATGTATATTTCTATAATATGACACAGTGCATATATGATGTATATTTCTATAATATGACACAGTGCATATATGATGTATATTTCTATAATATGACACAGTGCATATATGATGTATATTTCTATAATATGACACAGTGCATATATGATGTATATTTCTATAATATGACACAGTGCATATATGATGTATATTTCTATAATATGACACAGTACTGACCTCTTTGCCTCTGCCCTCTCGGCATACAGCATTAACTGGCTGAAACAAAACCAGAACGGGCACCGGGTGAGGAGCAGCACCCCAAAGCGGGTCACCAGCTGCAGGAGTTTCCTTCGCCCACCCGCCGCCATTCTGAATTCACACTGGGGAGCTGACAACCCAACCAGCCGGATCCTTACTTCCGCCAACCAAGGGAAACGCGTCACTTCCGTGATTCTATCCCCATACTTCCGCCAACCAACCTACAACCTCTGCCAGCCATTACGGATACTACTTCCGCCATCCACGCTACTTCCGCCAACCAAAACAATTGCGTCACTTCCGTTACTTTATTTTAGCCAACTCTTTTTTTTCCTTTTATTTAAGGGCCAGTCTAAGATAATTCATTGTGCAATTCAGACTACAATAAATGTAGTTATTTGGCTCTAGATTTTGGTTTCTGAATGTCACACTTTAAGTTGTTCCAGAAATTCTAAGCTTAGTAAATTGAAACCAAATCCTCTCATCAATACTTTCCTACTTTAGTAACATATCACCCAATATTTTATATGATTGTATAGTAAGGGGCAGGTCTGGACAGTGATATTTTGATAATCATTGTGCTACAGCTGTGATCTGATTCTGGCAATCAGTCAACCCAACAAGTTTGATATGATATAAAGTTTAGCAGTCAGCTTTAATTAATTAATGAACTTACTAAGTTAAGAGGGCTGTTAGTTGTTTCTGATTTTCCACATAAATTAAATATATGTGAAATAAAAAATGATGTATCTATATGCCACTTCTAGTAGGGCATTTCAGACACTTTCTTCTTTATTTTTTGTTTATTTTTTGAGAACAAAACTCTGCCTATGTGTATATCTTGGCTTAAGGATGTCCAAAACGTAGAACCCCTGAAGTTTAAAGGGAAACTATAGTCACCAAAACAACTTTAGCTTAATGAAACAGTTTTGGTGTATAGATCATGTCCCTGCAGTCTCACTGCTCAATCCTCTGCCATTTAGGAGTTAATTCACTTTGTTTATGAACCCTAGTCACACCTCCCTGCATGTGACTTGCACAGCCTTCCATAAACACTTACTGTAAAGAGTCATCTAAAGTTTATCCTTTCCTTATTGCAAGTTCTGTTTAATTTAGATTTTCTTATCCCCTGCTATGTTTATAGCTTGCTAGACCCTGCAAGAGCCTCCTGTATGTGATTAAAGTTCACTTTACAGAGCAAGAGATACAATTGTTTAAGGTAACCAGTTTTTTTTTTCATGCAGGCTGTGTCAATCAGAGCTAGGGGAGGTGTGACAAGGGCTGCATTAACATAAACAAAGTGATTTAAGTCGCAAGGACCTCACTCTCACATGGCCGGGGGGGCTTCCAGGGGGTCAGACGTGCCGCGGGGGGCTCCCTGAGAGTCCCCCCAACCGCGATTGCCGGTGACCGGGTAAGTAAAGAAAGACCTATTACGCCCGGCGGCGTTTAAAGCCGCCTAAAATAGGGCGTAATAGTACGCCCTCCGGTCTTAAGGGGTTAAAAGGGTTTTTGATATTCGCTCCACCTCTGCTGCCAAATAACTCGTGTCTAATGCACAGGGCATGAGAACAATTGTCGAGTATGCCAGTGAATTCCGTACCATGGCAGCAGAGGTTGGCTGGAACAACAAGACTCTCGTGGCTGCCTTTTCACATGGGCTCTCCTGATCCTGGCTTGTCTGACTACCCGCTTTGGTGTCTGACCCCTGCTTGCCGCCTGGACTTTGCTTTTGGTTATTACTTTATTTTCTATTTATTAATAAAGGTGTTTTTGCATCTAGTTCTGTCTCTGTCTGGTTCCTGGTCCCTAACAGGTGCATAGTCCCAGGTTCCTTAACCCTGCAAAGGTAATTATTGCAGTTTTTAATAAATGCATGAGGACATCCATTGTCATGTAAAACACCATAGGAAAGTATTATACATGCCTTCCTATGGGGGAAATACTAATGCAAGCGCGGTCATTTCTGCGCATGCGCATCAGTAGGGGAGGCAGAGCCTGCACCAGTATATATTGTCTCGTATAACAGTACCACATGTAAAATAATTAATAACGCAAGTAAATTATATATTTATTTGTTGTATTACAAAATACTCATGGCAAAATATAACATAAAATGACTTCAAACTCGACACTATGCAACTTCCTCCAATGCTCCCTGCTTGCTCCTTTCTGTCTTTTCACTCCCCCGCCCTGCCTCGCACTCCACCCCGTCTCATTACCCTGCCCACTTTGGTGATTTGAAGAGGTTGTGGTGCTTGGAGTCTGTATGTGCAGTATTTCAGATTGAAACATAGATAAAACTTGCAGCCACAGGGGTAACTCAGCACATAAAGCATGCTAGTAACAGATGACCAATGGGGATATAGTACCCCCTCCATGTCACCCAAATCCTCCCCTCATCCCATCCTCTGGGATGTTACTTCAACCCCCCGCAGTGAAGAGAAGTGACATCACCAGAGGAGAATTGGGCAGCAGTGAGATCTTGGCTTTGGCATCTGAACGCAGGTAGGTCTTTTCTTTCTTTTTTTTTAACTTTGTGGTGCAAAAACACTGTTTTTGGATCGGAGTAACCCTTTAATATTTATATAGCAACAACATATTCCACAGTGATGTACAATGGGATCATCCCCACCCAACTTTCTCCCTCTGTAATTTTTTTTTTAACTTTCTTTTGAAGTCCAAACCTACCGCTCTATTGGTGACCTACTCATCTTGTGTTCTCTGATGTTTCCCAGTAACTCAGTAACAAGGACATAGAAACTCATTAATTTTTATTATGGTATTCTGTTTTATTTACAGACAGATCTGGTAATATAAACATGAAATATTGACTGGGAGTGTCATATTCAGTAAATATATCTATGGAGCTTTTCAGAACACAGTAGGACATTAATTATCTATATGATTACTTGGGTATTCTGTCCATTGTGTTAAAAAAACAAACAACCTGATCTCTTCTACGGCAACAGGAGAATATATCCCCTCCAGTGTTGAAGACTGATTCTCTTCCAGTGTCATAGGGTTAATTGTCCCCTGCCAGTGACACCGACTAACAAAGTTCTTTCGCCATGATAGCCTCTCTAGCAGCGTGGACTGTACTCTCTGCGATTACACAGGTATGATTGTCCCCTCAAGTGTAAAAGGTTGACATGATTCCTTTAAAAGTTCCAGAAAAATATAAACCCTTTAAAAGTGTATTTCTTATTTTGGCAAAATGCACTTGTTAAATTTTACATATTGATATGGTCAGCTTTTTCCAGTGTTATCGGACTTTTTTCAATCCTCTCCAGTGGTATCGAAATAATTTTACGTCTTTCAGTGTCCTTGGTTGAATCCCAATCCAGGGTTAAATAAAAATATGCATTGATCCAGTGTTCCAGGATAATATATCTCTTTCAGTGTCAACAAAATAATCTTTTCACATAATGTCACTGAATAACGTCCCTCCCCCTCCCCCTCCCCCCCACACCCAAAGTCAATAAGTAGCCTGTACCGCAAAATCCAGTACCGAAGTATAAGATGCTCCTCCCCTAGGCTATTTTGCCCCACCCATTTCCAGAATGTCAGGTTAATTGTATCCCACTCGGTTCTGTCACTTTAATATTTTCCATTTCCTTTAAATTCCAGTGATTACTTTTTTCTACAGAGAAACAGTGTGAGGTGTATTGTGTTGACCATGGAATGTAGAGAGCCTTCTCAGTAGTATCTGGCTGTCTCCCGCCAGCTGGTGACCCAATGCCTTTGGCTGTTAGGAAGTTGGGAGCAGAGCTTCTGTCTCTCTTCCAGCCGGACACACACGGCATTGTGAGTCTGAGCCAGCCGGTAATATCCGACCCGGTGGAAGAATCCAACCTGGTAACGGAGTGAGGTAGGGTACAGGAAATGAGAATGGCCAAGAGAGGGAGAAATGGGATGGGGAAGCAAAGATGGAAAAAGACAGCAAAGATAAAAGGATCAGACAGAGAAGAAAAGTTGAGGAAGGATAAATAATAGCGTCCGGAGGTTGTATGAGAATGATAAAGAAGGCGAAAAGAAATGTTTTAGAGGAGGGTGAAGGGATAACATGAAAGACACGAAGATAATATCACAAACTGGACAATAATATCAGATTCTAAATTTAGCAATATTAGCAGGAAAAAAAAGTTGATGACAAACATAAAAAAAACAAGAGATGCAAGTTGGAAAGACAAGACAGATAAATTAACTAAGAAGAGAAAGCAGATACGGATAATTAATAATTGTATGAAAACAATATGAGAGACACATTATCAATTAGTTTGCTTAAAGAGTGTAAGCAAAGAGAATGTGTCATAGACTGTGCTCTCTATATACCCAGACCAACATACAGATATAAGAAAACAGATATATGTATGTGCGTATACAGAGGCAGTGAAAAGAGCTGGGAGAGTTCCGGCAAAAGAATGTCCGGAATTGATTTTCTGGTTACCCGAGGGGGAACTGGGGTTTGGGGTCAGAGGTCAAGCTCCCTGGTTAAACGTTCCGCCTCCGATGGTTGCATCTTCATCTCGGCCTTCTGACCTCTGACCTCATACATGGCGCGGGTGTTGGCCCTCCGGAAGAATCCACACTACAAGGCAGGAAAGTGATCAGGGCCCAGCCATACGAGGGAGTCAGTATTAGAAACTTAGAGATGAAAGACTTGAATAGTTGCAGGGAAGTACAAGAGTTGACAGAACTCGTCTTTAGGACTCAAGATGTTGACAGAATGGAAGTATATAGGTCAAAAGCCTAATAGTAAGTGACTTAACTGAGTGACAGAGCTCAGCAAGTGATTGAAGAAGAGATTCTAATGGTATCATAGTTTAAGAATTGCTATCTGCAAGAAATTCAACAACCAATCTGTCTGAAGGGAGCCATCACAGAAAAATAACAAAATTGCTGCTTCCTATAGCATTATGTGTCTGAAATTGTTTAGAGCTTCCAAAATAAAATATACACTAAGATTTAATTTCATGTACATAGGTCTGTCCTACTGGGTGTATTTTATTTTTTATAAGGACATCTCTGCGGGGGGAAAAAAGGTTTTGGTCAAAATGTGCTATTTGTGGTGTATGGATATAAAACCAACCTTAGTCTAATGATAAAGAATTTGTATAACAAGTTCTTAAAAAAGTAGAACTAAGAGGGAGCCGTCACCATTGAATAAAACATTGGAAATCAGCTATAAACTGAACTAACCTTTTTTCATGTGATTCTCTGTTTAGTTTTTAAAATAAAAATAAAAATTTAGCAAATTACATCACAATCCAGTTCAGCCCAGGTGCCAGGGCACACAATGCAAATGAGAAAGAGAAAGCTTTTTTATTTTCTCCCCTTCTCTGTATGCTTTTTAAGATGGAGGCACCCAAATGCTGGGAGGAAGGAGCAAGGAGGACTCATACTTAAAAAAAAGCTGTAAATGTTCATTAAAATATGTGAAGAAAAAACTCAGGAATCCTTGAAGTGTCAAATCAGGGCCTACAGTTGGAAGCCAAGGTAACACTTTTGGACTGGCACAATAAATTAAAGGGACACTGTAGGCACCCAGACCACTGCACCACTCTTCAGGACAGCCACTAGAGGCGCATCTGCGATGCTGGAGGCATATTATGCCTCCATCGCGCAGAGCGTCCATAGGAAAGCATTGAAAAATGCTTTCCTATTGACAGCTGGAAAGTGCGCGCAGCACTTGCAGCGCATGCACATTCGGCTCTATTTTGTCAGGAAAACCGCTTTGTTTTCTTGACACTATAGTGATCCTTTAAAAAGCGTGGAAGCAAACTGCACATTTCTCGAACTCAAACTTAAATGAAATTGTTTTGCATGCACTTGTATGGGTTACTTGTATGTGGTAAAAGCTAACAGGATCTACTCTGGAATAAATTTAGCAAAATATGAAGATGAAGATGCTGTACACACTAATAGTCATGGCGACATCAATCTTCCATTCACCGTGGTGTGAGCAATGTTTCACTCCCTGACAGCATTTGTGAATAACAGAATTCCTTGTCTAGAATTATTAAAGTTTCCTTATCTTCTCTCTAAGTTACTCAATTGCATTTAGTAAGAAATAAAAAAAGTCAAATATAAGAACCTTTGCAGGAATTAAATATAAGAAAGGTATATTTAGAAGCAACATCTGAAGTGGTGAGAGGTAACGGAAAGGATAGGAGGTAAATTGAAAGGGTTTTAGGGTGACTAGCGAGGATCTGTACACACAACGTGTTGACTCTCACCTTCCAAAGAAGAAGGATGATAATTCCCAGGAGGAGAATGCCAGATCCCACGGAAACGATGATCAACCAAAGAGGGATCTCTGCTTGCGGAGGTTCTACCAATAATGAGTCAATAGATACCGAGAACTAAAAGATGAAACAGAATGAAACAACAGTTGAATAGTGGTATATGGCAAAACACACACATATATATATATACATATATATATATGAAACAAGGGGGGTTTTGTGTAATATATATATTTATATATATATATATATATATATATAGTGGGATTAAGGGATAGTAGAGAGAAAAAAAAAGAAAGGATAGAAATGGAATGGAAGAGAATGGTGATAGGTAGAGAGAGAGCAATGATAATGATAGAGAGAGATATGATAAAAATGTGTAAGGAGAGAAAAACAAAATGAAAATAGAAAGAAAGGGAAATGATAGGTAGAGTAGTGTGAAAAGGCAGGTGGAAGTGAGTGAGGGAGGAAGAGATAGAATAGAAAAAAAAGATAGTTCAAGGGGAGACTTGGTGTAGCGATATATTTGTAGCTAATGACAATAATGAAATAAAGAGGACACACTCTTCACACATAAAGCTTTTCAGCAAGCTATTGTACTTTACGGGTCTGGAGTGTCCCTTTGGCTGAAGCAAGCAGACATTTACCCCTGGTGGCTATGTTATGGCTTGCAGTGGTAGGTAAGGGACAGTGCCAAGACACTATAACCAGCTTAATGAACTGAAATGGTTATAGTGCCTAGAGTGTCTCTTTAAGTAAATACTACTATGATATTCTCGGCAGACTTTTCACAAGCTTAAAAATAGTGCTCCATGGAAACACTCTAGATCAGCGGTTCCCAAAGTGTGGGTCGCGACCCACTGGTGGGTCGCAGGGTGATTCCCAGTGGGTCGCGCTGACCCACTTATCCAGGGCCGCAGGGGACTCGGGCAAGCAGACTGACACCAGGAGGGAGCCCGGCGGCTTGCCATGTATGCCGCCGGGCTCCTTCCAATCAGTCTACCCAGAAGCTCCGATCTGCAGCTCCGGCTGGGTGCAGAGCTGCAGACCGTGTGATAGAAGTCTCGCAAGCACCCAGAGCGTTACCATGGCAACACTGTGGGAGCTTGCAAGACTTTTATTACATGGTCTGCAGCTCTGCACCTGGCGGAGCTGGAGACCGGAGCATTAACCCACCGGGCCACCAGGGAGACACTGGACAACCAGGGAATTCAATGAAGGTAGGACACAGCCCCCAGACATCCCCCTCCCCCCCATGTAACCCCTTCACCCCCTGCCCTCCCCCGTGTAATCTCTTCACTCCTTGCCCTCCCCCATGTCATCCCTTCACTCCCTGCCCTCCCCCCATGTAACCCCTTCACTCCCTGCCCTCACCCATGTCACCCCTTCCCCTGCCCTCCCCATGTCACCCCTTCACTCCTGCCCTCCCCAATGTAACCCCTTCACTCCCTGCCCTCCCCAATGTAACCTCTTCACTCCTGCCCTCCCCCATGTCACCCCTTCACTCCCTGCCCTCCCCCATGTAACCCTCTTCACTCCCTGCCCCTCTCCATGTAACCCCTTCACTCCTGCCTCTCCCCCATGTCACCTCCTTCACTCTGCCCTCCCCCTGTCACCCCCTTCACTCCCTGCCCTCCCCCATGCAACCCCTTCACTCTGTCCTGTAACCCTTCACTCCCCTGCCCTCCCCCAATGTAACCCCTTCACTCCCCTGTGTAACCCCTTCACTCCCTGCCCTCCCCCATGTAACCCCTTTACTCCCTGCCCTCCCCCAATGTATCTGTGTGTCAGTGTGTGTATTTGTGTGTCTGTGTGTACTGTGTGTCAGTGTGTATCTGTGTACATGAGTGTCTGTGTATCTATGTGTGGGAAACTATGTGTCATTGTGTGTATTGCTGTGTCAGGGTGTGTATTTGTGTGTCTGTGTGTGTCTCTGTATGTGTGTGTATAAAACATGCTTATATTCAAACACACATTCTGTATATGTACATTTTATAAACACAATACACACACTGCATCCACTACACACACACACACACACACTGCATCCACTACACACGTACTGCAAATGCGAACATTACATACAAACACACCCCGGCATTAAAACACTAAAATTATCTACAAACACCCCTTCATTCAAACACCAACATCAAAAAGCACACCTGAATTTCAAGTCCGACACTACATACAAACACCCCTGCATTCAGACGCAAACATTACAAACAAGTACACCACTATATTCCAATGGCAACCGTATATACAAATACACCCATACATGCACACATATACTTAATACAAAATCTGGTATAGCATTGTTGAAGTTCTCCGACAGATGGAGATCTACCTTTTTGGCCACACTTGCACTAGAGGGGGGCCCAGAAAACATATTTGCACCAGGGCACTCTCTACATAAGTTCCACCACTGGGATAATCAATGTGAGGTACCTGGATGAAAGAGCAGGACACAGCACTTCTGAGTCTGTGAGTAAGCAGTTGTATGTCTCTAAAACTGATTGCCATGATGTGCAAAGTTTCTGCCTCTAAAATTGCCATGATATCCCAGAATTATGCCTCTAAAACTGCCATGTTATGCCAATTTTATGCATCTAAAACTGATTGCCATGGTGTGCCAATTTTATGCTTTTAAAACTGATTGCCATGGTGTGCCAATTGTATGCATCTGACTGTTTGCCATGGTATGTCAATTGTATGCCTCTGAAGCTGATTGCCATGATGTGCCAAGTTTATGCATCTAAAAGTGATTACCATGATATGACAAGTTTATGCATCTAAAGCTTATTGTCATGCTGTGTCAAGTTTATGTATTTAAAGCTGCCATGATGTTCCAATTTTATGCCTCTAAACCTGGTTGCCATGGTGTGCCAAAGTTGCCATGGTGTGCCAAAGTTGCCATGGTGTGCCAAGTTTATACATCTAAAACTGATTGCCACGATGTACCAATTTTATGCATCTAAAGCTGATTGCCATAATATGCCAATTGTATGCATCTAAAGCGGATTGCTATAGTGTGCCAATTTTATGCATCTAAAGCGAACATAATGTTCCAATTGTATGCCTGTAAAGCTGATTGCTATGGTGTGCCAATTGTATGCCTGTAAAGCTAATTGCCACGGTGTGCCAACTGTATACATCTAAAGCGGATTGCTATAGTGTGCCAATTGTATGCCTCTAAAGCGGTTTGTTATGGTGTGCCAGTTTTATGCCTCTAAAAGTAATTGTCATGGTGTGCCAATTGTATGCCTCTAAAGCTGATTGCCATGGTGTTCACTTTTTAAAATATGCATTAAAAGCAAGTGGGTCTCGAAAAATTACCGTTTTGAAAAGTGGGTCTCGGCCCATAAAAGTTTGGGAAGCCCTGCCCTAGACGTTTACACATTTAGTAAATGCAAGCAATATTTTACTGTCGATTTACCATTACTTACCATTACAGAGCGACTCTCCATCCTTATGGTGGGAATATCAGTTTGGAGATGAAGTTCAGCTGCCCCTTCAACTCGCACTCGATCTACATTTCGGTAATCCTTTAACAGGGGGACAACAAGGACAACAGAAGAAAATTTGAGAAGATATTTGGACCAAAGGACATAAAACCGAAGGGACAGCAAAAGAAGTACAAGAGGTGGAGGAACAGAAGGAGAAAAAGAGAAAATTAATTATGAGACTAGAGATGAAAAAACGAGGCATGAAGATGAAGTTAGAATAAGTGGGGAAAATAAATACTTGTGAAGACAGAAGGAAGAGGCAAACGGGATGATAAACATCACAGCATGAGGTCACATCTTCAGAAACCAGGGGTGACATCACTGTCAATAAATCTTAATGAACAAGCCAGGAAAAAAAAATGGTCTGATTTTACCAACGAATCAGTTTATTATGCAAACTAGTTCACCATAAAAAAGATCGATTGAGATAATCAAGTGATAATATCAGATCATAGGGCAATATTTAAATCTCGATTACAAAATATACAAACAGGCCCAAAAACTGGCATATGAGTCCGAAAATGGAGATCCCTCCAACCGATAAAAAAAACGGTAGAACTTTATTAGAATATACAACAATTAGAATAAGAAACAGTACTTATGCACATTAAAAAGCCATGATGAAGGTGCAATTTTGGTGCCGAAACGCTCGTCGTGCTCGTTTGCTCCACATTTATTTCATTTATTATTTGAGCACTTTTTGATTCGCTAGTTTGGTCACTGATGGGGATAACGCTTTGGTAAAAAATAAGGGAGTTTGGAGGGTCACTCCTATTAATTATAACCCCTTTACTGAGAGAAAGGGTGAATGGAACTTGCTGGGCCAGACCAACTAAGCAATTTTTATTCCCTCTTACTTATCTTTTTATTTGGAGTATTTGTTAATCAAATATTGTTGTGGCAGATTCTTAAAGGGGTCTTTTAATATTACACCTAAAAATCGATTTTTGTACAGCTAGTCTTGTATCAGGTAAGATTTACTTAAAACAACTTTGGGGGCATATTATCTAAATACGTCTATTGGGACCCGTTTCCTGTCTCTCTAATGGAGAATCTACTATTCTAATATTATTGTGGTTATACATTGTACACAAGTGGATTGTTATTTTATATTTTTTCACTCCACCATTTCCACCTGGTAAAACACTCTAGTGGTAGTTTTTTTTCAAATAAGTTTAAATATTTTTTTGAGGCCTTTTGTCTGGCTCTTTGCGTCATCAGGGGTTATCCCAATTTAAGACCCTGGTGAATTGCTCCTTCTGTGAAATGGTTGGTTCATATGTACCTTCTTAAATCTAAACCCACAGTGTTTAATCCCCATCATGCACCACGACCTCATGGCTTTTTAATGTGCAAAAATATTGTCATTTACCCTAATTTTTGTATATTTTAATAATGTTGTTCTACCATTTATCATTTGAAGGGATCTCCATTTTTGGACTCACACGCCCTTTTTTGGACCCATTCCCTGTTTTGTAATCTAATTAATTGTTGTCGGTTACCCTCACTTGGAGCCTCTTGGGCATGGTTAATTGGTTCCCTAATGGTCCCTTTTTAATATTTAAATCTCACCTCCAGGAATGTGCTATTCCACACTCTCCCTCGCACAGTCACTGTGGCTGTCTTTGTCAAGTTTTTGATCGGACAAGTAAATTGCACACAATTTGCACCACCTCCTGCACATCTCTGGGGATGCAAAGATAAATTGGAAATGTAACAATATCATAAACAAAAACAAGTTCTACGTATCTTCCCAACTACATAAAGAATGATAAAGACAATGTGCTTGACACCAGCGGAAAACAGTCAAGATGTAAGGATGTAGAATGGCCTATGACCAGGGAGGTTGTTCGGGTGGGGGGTTAGACTGTAGCCCCAAATGTAGAGCTCTGTAACCTAAACAATTTATCTCGGGGGGAGTGCAAGTGGACCCCTGAATCTATTATTCCATACTGCTCTCCCTCCATGTGTCCTTGTTAAGCCCCAGTCTTGAGCAGAAGTTATAAATGTGGGAATATGACACTATTGCCATGCTCCCTCCCATGTGTATCACTGTGCTGCTTCTCCTCGCATCCATGGTTCAACAGGGATACTGGGAGGGAGACCAGCTTGAGAGAAATAGTGAGAGTTTTGAGGGCTCTAAACGCATGGAGAACAGCTTTCTGTCTCCTCCCCATTACTCTTCATACGATATAGAGGGAGAGGCTTGTAGCAAATCACCCCCCCCCCCTGCACAGAGTAAAATATTTTCATAGTGTGAGTTTTCCTTGTTTCTGTGTATCCTAAGTGGGCTTTTTGTCTGTTTCTGAATGCATGTGTAGCTTGTATATATTTACCTGTCTCTGTATGCCTGTGCTTGTGCTTATGTCATTGTATCCTGTCTAAGTGTGTCTTTGTATACGTGTGTAATTGTGTGCCTGTGTTTGTGAATCCAGTCTGTGTGTCTCTGTGTACGCCCCTATGTGCCTGTGTTTGTGTCACCCTGTCTATGTGTGCTTGTCTTTATATGCCTGTTGATCTCTGTGTTTACGTATGCGTCTGTGAACATGTGTGTATTTTAATGTGTGTATCTGTATGTCTGTTGTATGTGTCTTTATGAATGTATCCAAGTGTGTCAAGAAGCATTTACTGCAGGTGTAAACCGGTTGTGGAGTTTGATGAGGCTTGTTTGTCTTAAGCACAAGCCAAAGGCGATTTTTTTACCCTGTTATAGCCCCTGTATATCATGTGTTTTCCTTTTAATGGATTGGGACTAAATATGGGTTATAAAAAGAAAGTATACCTATTAAAATAAATTAAAGTAAAATAAGCATGTATTTTTCTCCTTGACTCAATGAAGCAATAGTCCTCTGCAGTTACTAAAACATATTCATACGGGGAACACAAATGAGGAGCCATAGTGAAACCATATTCTCCTACACAAGTGTGGTTCAACCACAAATGTCTTTGAAAAACCCTTACAAGTGTCAACATGGATCTCTCTGTTTTGATGGATGCCAAAGTCTTAACATCAGGGATTTCTTCTACTTCTCTTCGTCTCCTTCCTCCAGACTCCGACTTATTTGAATGCTAGGAGGCAATACACAGTTAATGAATCAAGATGGAGAAACAAATTATCCAACGAATACCAAACAAGGCAATGTCATTTTCAAAAGCATTTTAGAAAACAATTTTTAATGTAGCTGTCAGGAATCCTGACTCAGGATCCTATACTGACAACCAAATATATTTCTTTTAGGCTGTTTTATTTTTTTTCCCACCACTAGTGGCCTCCCTAACCCCTAGTCTAAGTCTCTCACACCTGCCTAAAATGATCATCTGAATTCTGAATTGTGCTATAAGAGGCCACACCAGACTAACTTAAGGGCCTTTACATTGATAGTTGTTTATGGTCTAATACAGACAAGACATCTGTTCCTGGCTCATGCTGATACCTGAGCACCTGTTCAAATCAGATTACCTTTGATCCATCCTGATTCATCCAAACAACCTGTTTTATTTCAGACTGGACATTGTTTCCTAATTATTCCTTATTGCTTTGGACCTAACCTGCCTGAACTTTACAAACTTTCCTATTAATTGCAACTCTCCTGGTCCACCTATCTGGTATTTGCTCTACAACCTCCAAACAAAAGAGTCAGATCACCTAAACTTAGACTAACCTGAATTCCATAAGCCTTTATTATATTCTGTTTATTTCTGTCCCGTTATATTGTTTGCCTGTTGCCTATAATTTCTCTTATGGTTTTCCTGTAAACATGCTTTGAGGCATATTGCCTAAACTTCTATTTCTATAAATACTCTTTCATACTTACCTGTAATCCCATTTATAGGTTCTCCTTCTTTCAGTCTATAATCCCATCTATAGGTTCTCCTTCTTTCAGTCTATAATCCCATTTATAGGTTCTCCTTCTTCCTTCTAGCCTATAATTTCTCTTATAGATTTTCCTCTAACTTTGATACCTGTAATCTCATTTATAGGTTCTGCTTTCTCCCTTATTCCTTATTGTTCCTTTTCCCGTTGTATCCTGTTACCTTGTCTAAACATTCCAAAGATTCAAAATAAAGAACCTCAAGTCAACCCTGGCATAAGTCTCTTATCTGACCTGCAAAAGATCATGACAGTAGCTGAAAATTTACTTTATGGATATGCAGAAAAAGTTTGCTGTTGTGTGCTTGGATCTGTAAGGGTTTTTTTTTTTTTTTCTAAACAGCTGTCCTCAGAAATAAACAAAAATGTAGACTATTTAAGACTAGGCCTTTAAAAGAGCTGATTCTCTTGCTCTCATTCAGTTACTATTATAAAATAACAAACGAAATAATCAACTTGGACTCTGGAATGCATTCAAATCCATTGGAAAGAACTCCACTTCAGTATTGTTACAAGTTTAGATGACATCTACTGGGCAGATATTTCACCTAGAATTTCCAATATGTTTGTATTTTTCTTTGTTTTTCCCCCCAAAGCATTGGCAGAAAGTGGAGTTTGAGATGTTTATGTAGCCATGGAAATGAGTTGCTTAAATTTTCGTATACACTTACCATGAGATTTAAAGGGTCAATGATATCACCGGGAGGATTACACTGTTTTTTATCGTCCTCGCTGATTACTAAAACTTCAGTTGGGTAAATAAGCCACTTCCCATTGCTAACTTCATATGGCCATGTCACTACTACGAGTAACGTACCCAATGACTCCAAAGGTTCTCCAGAATTTAGTACCTAAAAACATCATAAAAGAAATGAGTATACACATAGACAATCTGACTATGTATAACTTCTCCACGCCGCCATTAAATATATTTATTACCAAAAATGAGAACTCTACAGGATTTCCTACGTCTTCAACAGTCTTCATGGCAGACTCTCCCATGACCTCACCACTAAAGTAGGTCTGTACATTGGGAGGAGACCTAGAAGACAAGGTATTGGATTAAAATGCCATAAATGTGTTAAGAGACAAGGTAAGAACAATAGGCTAAAAGTGTTCATTATTCAGATACTGATGCACTGCGCACATGCTAATCCACAGTATAAGTTAGTAGACAAGTATTTTAATACATTGTCGTTTGATTGGTTGCAGACTAAGGAGGTATGTATTCAGGGTACTTACACTGAGAAAGCGGTCTTCAATGTGTAATCTATCAAGAGATATGCATACTTTGGTTCCAGATCTGTTTGTTTACTCAGTCTGGAAGACAAAGGAGAGAGTTCCGATGAGAGATAAATAAAAAATGAAAGTATTGAAAGGGAAGTATTGTGAAAAAAGTACTTTCAAACAGGGAAAGCGAAGTAGATTAAAATAAACCTGGTAAGAATGAACTACAATATTCTTTCTGTACTCTATGTCCCTTTCTTATGTCTATCCCATCATATCTCACTATCGGACCGGAACCAGTCTGCCGTAACTTAGTCAATATTATGATGTTAATGCGGTATGCATTCTAACATGTGATATGGTATGCCATTTATGATCCAAGTTCAGGAATTAAGGCCTAATACGGCATGATATTTAAACAAATCCTTTCAATGATTAGGGCAGGTTGCAAAGGTTTAATTTTGATTATGAAGACAGGCAAACAAGAGAAGCAGAGGACAAAGTCCGTGAGGCAACTCTGAAGTGAAAAAGTCAGTATGCAGATGGAATACAAGGATGAAGGGAAATGGATAAAATGGATGAAAATGATTTATTACAGGTATTTATAAAGTGCCAACGTATTCCGTAGCACTGACACAGAGCCAGCACTACTGCTTCAGAATACATAGGCACCAGATGAGCTGCAGAAGGGCTTTTTACAGCACGGCCAGTGTTCTGGAATGTAACTACCCTTGTACAAATGGTAGATAAGTGCAGAAATTCTACCCGGGACTTGACATGCAAAGCAACACATGTAATATCAGCCAACATACTTGTGGCCTCCAACAGCGAAGGTAACTTGTAACCTTGAGTACTATATGGCACCAGGATCCCAACAATAACTGTGACCATCCTTTTTAATTTACTATTCTATGTTCATTCTCTCTAATTTCCTGTCAGTCAATGCAAAACATTTTGATTGACTTCCATCTCACTTTTTTATCTTCACTCTCCTAAATTATATTTTTATTTCAAAGGCACCTCTTACTGCTTCGATTCTCTTAACCCCTTAGCTACATCCCCATCTTTCCTTATTCCATTGCATTCACCCGCGCCCTTTCTAGTCACTCTCTAAATGCCCCACGACGTCTTTACTCACGTGGAGAGCTGTAAACTTGCAACCACTTCTCTTGTCTTTAAAGAAATACTTTGTACTTCAAATTTGATGTTGATCTCCATCTGTTAAAAGAAAATAAAAGCTCCTGGTTATGTTGGCGAATAAGAAATAACATATGAATACAAAAAAATAAACCATAATAATGTTTACTTTCTACTACAGAATCAACAGTAGAGGATGCAATATGACCTTGTATTAAAGATATTATTCTTACCATTTGTCCTCTTTTAAAAGGATTTCCAATATCGCATGAGACAGTATCGAACAGATCACACACCTGGTTAAGAAAGCAGAGTAAAAAGTCAGGATCTGGCAAATGTGAACAATTTGCAGTAAAAAGGATTGGACCCTTGTGAAAGTGAGAGACAAATGACGTCTTTCACTTGGACAGAAGTGATCGGTATGGCACAGGGAGAAGATGAATGTTAGCTACTCACTGGTTTCACAGAGTAGATCAGGAATCCTGTGGGAATAGAAACATTCAGGGATGCTTCATGGGCGTCATCAGCAGCCGAAGTGGGACTTGGATAGTTTGTTACTGTCACTTTTAGATTCAAAAACTTCAAATCCGAGTCATAATATAGAACTTGCGTTCCGTTCACCCTGTAGTATCAAAAGATATATAAAAATAAAACTATATAACAAATGATAAGAGTTATTACAAAACATTATAGTTAGAGGTTATATGGAGTAATAGGAGGAGTTATAGGGAGAGGTTATATGGAGTAATAGGTGGAGTTATAGAGAGAGGTTATATGGAGTAATAGGAGGAGTTATAGGGAGAGGTTATATGGAGTAATAGGAGGAGTTATAGGGAGAGGCTATATGGAGTAATAGGAGGAGTTATAAGGAGAGGTTATATGGAGTAATAGGAGGAATTATAGAGAGGTTATATGGAGTAATAGGAGGAGTTATAGGGAGAGGCTACATGGAGTAATAGGAGGAGTTATAGGGAGAGGTTATATGGAGTAATAGGAGGAGTTATAGGGAGAGGTTATATGGAGTAATAGGAGGAGTTATAGAGAGAGGTTATATGGAGTAATAGGAGGAGTTATAGGGAGAGGTTATATGGAGTAATAGGAGGAGTTATAGAGAGAGATTATATAGAGTAAGAGGAGGAGTTATAACTGCTTCTATTACTCCATATAACCTCTCTCTCTATAAAGAAATATAATTTAGGGAAAAAAGGAGTTATACTAATTGTAGGATAAACCATATTATAAGCCCTGACCTTGGAAGCACCTCCTGATTTGGTCCTAGATATTCATACTGCAGTTGCAGATTGCTTCTACATACATTATCCGATCCGCACTCTTTCTTAATGTGTATCTAAAACATGAGAATGGGATTAGATTGTGGAACTAGGAATTATAAAGCCAATATGCTAGAAATGTATGAATTACAAGGGTACATTATTAAGCAGTCAATAATGGTTCTAGTTACAAAACCTAAAAAACAGAAAGTAATATTTGTCTCAATCGGACAGCCAGTGATAGGTTGAGACTGAGAGCATCACCTGCCATCCAGATAAACCTTCCTCATACTGCGTGAAGAGAGAACGGAAGCTTGGGGAAGTTGTGTCAGGCACTGGAGACCTTAGTTTGGGGTTTAAACTTTGCAAAACTGAAGTTATTCTGGGTGTGTGAGTGTTCATTTAAATACAGAGTACATATTTTCACTAATGCACAGCTTGAAAGTGACCACTAGGTGGTACCAGTGCACCGGGAAATCAAAAAACAGATTTAGTGCATGTCTTGTGTAACAAAGTGCTCAGCACCCTCTAGGCACTATACTTGTGGGTTCTTGCATGAATTTTTGATGTTTTGAAATTTTGATGATATTATTAGTAGTAGAGTGGATGGGTACAAGCAAGCTTGCCTGTTCTACTACACATATCCTACAGAACATGAGAGAAAAGGGAAACTATTACATGGGTTATAATAGGTGATCAGGGGTCCCTGGGACCCTCACCTGTTGCACATTCGGAGAGGTAATAGGAGGTAGCCCTCTCCCTCTGGGTTACTAATGGATCTGTGGGACCACCACTGTTTGCATTTAACCCCTTATGTGTAACACACAGTAGAGTGGAATGAAAGGAAGGAGTCCACTGTGTGTTTCTGGGGATCTCCTGGGACATTTCTGTTTTATATTGCACATAATGGCCAGAAATACCGGAGGTAGCCGTGGCATGTAAGAATCTCCTACATTTAACGCTCACTGTTGTACAATGGATGAGGAGGCAGGAGGGAACCCAGGGCTCTTTCTCTGGTTAACAGTTGCTGAGAAGACAGGAGGTATGCATCTGGTGTTTGGACGGACACAAAGTAGAATAAAAATATTTTATGGGCAACATTCATATTATGCCACAGTCTGCTACAATGAGGATAATATATACAGCAATAATTTCAAATGTCAAAGTTTTGCAATTAAAGCTGTTTTGTTATCAGAAAATGCTTTCACATCATTTTAAATACTATAATTTTGCATAATCTGTTTAGCAGTTTCTTTATGCCTTTGGCACACTAGGATTTCAATCTATAACTGTGCATATTCTTTACTGTGAAGACTCTGACTTCTGATGGTATTCTGAATTCTCTGCTCATTTTTTCTTTTATCAAAAAAAGGTTTGACAATTATCACAAAATTTACTAAACCTTGAAAAGATGAAAGCACTGTTAATCTAATTGAGAAAAACATTTAAACGTTAATTTACCTTAAAATGACACTGCAGGCACCATAATGACGTCATAATGACGCTATGGCGTCTGGAGTGTGCCTTTAAGGAATTTTCAGGTGACACAGCCTCTTTAAGAAATAATTAAAAGATTTGTAAAAGAGAAAACATATACCAATTTATAATGCACCCGTCATGAAGAAAACATTTTTTATTTTATTTTTTAACTTGTAATTTAGTGAATGTATTGCATTAGCCAATTTGCACTAAATGTATAGACCAAACATTAGGGCTGTGTAAACATTTTATGCTGACAACATGCTAAGCAAGTGGAAGTCCTGCAACAGAATACCTTCAGGTGCTCACATTGCATTAAGGGATTTCAACCATGGCATTGTGGGTTGGATGAGAAAGGACTTCTAAAATGAGGAGAGCCATTACATTCCAGTTAGTCATAATAAAAATGTAGTCACTATCCATCACTCTGGAAGATGTGCATGGCCCGGTGCTGAGTACGCTAAGTCCAGGAATGATAGGGACAAGTGCACATCCCTTAACTGATACAGCGCCTATATTGATCAGCTCTATAACTGACTTTTTGCAGAACAACTACACTCATGACCTGTCTGGTGAGATTTATGGTCCACATGCATGTGTCTTGTTTGTTCTGCAGATAGTCAAACATGGAGTTGATTATTTGAAGATACTGTAAGAGATACTTGTTGAAGAAACGGTTATTAGACGTATCATGATATAAATATCTGTTATTAAATGTACGAGAACACGGGTTAACAAGTTAAACTCACCTCCAGCACTTCAGTGGTGCTCTGCTCTGGGTTAAGAATGGGATAGTTATCTAGAGACTGGACCGCTGAAGGTGATGTCTGCATCTTCTCTACGATGGAGTAGTTTAGGGAGAGTTGGATTGGATGCAGCTTGTCCCGTATATTGTCCTGGTTTAAAGTTAAAGAAGAGGGATATTAATTGTATTAGTAGTGTGACACAAGGCAGTAGCCAAGGAATATAAAAATTAAGACACAAAAGGTGAGAAAGGGATGATCGTAAGAGGAGGGAAGACTAAAGTGTCCAGGTTCTACCGTAACTGAATTGTATTCCAAAGCAGCTTTTGGGGTGTTTTGCTCATTCACTGCTCTACACATCCCCAATGAACAACACACTCACTGTAACTAGTGTTCCTAATTATTTTTGACAGGTACCCATATTAGCTTGGCAAACCCATCTTTAGTTATAAATTAAGCTCAGTGACTCTATTCGTCAATCATAATACCATATGTACCAAAAGTAACTTAATTAAAACACATTTAATTAGAGTCTTCTTGGAATTAGATGGATCTACATTGCACTGCACTGGGGAGGGCAGCACTCTCAGAGTAACAAGATTTATTAAACAGTTAGCTGGTTCTAATAGTTTGTGCCTGAAAACCTGTTAAAATGACAGTAGGATCCACTGGTCTCATGAGCGGGACTGGTTTGACATATTTGGGCAAGTAATTCCTTCAATAAAATTTTGTTTAGCTAAAACCTCCTTGAGACTCTCTGGACACACTGACACCATCCAGAGGACAAGCTGTTATACTTCACAAGGTCTTGGCTGAAGATCTTACACATTTTTGCATGTTAGATTTATGTATCCTTAAATATTTGCAAAATCTTTAGGAAGACATTGTATCATAGAGTATTAGTGTATTGTTATAGAACATTGTGCATCATTTTTTTATATTACACTGTGATTTGGTACTTTGCATTCACTCAAAACACTCGGCTACTACACCAATTCCATCGTATGTTTGACTTCTTGCAGGTCTTTACTGCAGAGGAAAGGGGTTTTAAAAATGCAATATGTTCTATGAAGCTGTCTTCAGTTACACTCAAGTTTGTATTATTTACTGGAGTGTTGCTGTTGATGAAAGATTTTACTCAGTGTTGTTAGTAGTTTGACAGAGATAAAATGATCTAAACACGTATTTGCTGATTTTGTAAAAACACAACAATCAAGAAGTTACAGTATTGTGGAAATGGAGCTCAATATTGACATGAGGATTTAAGTTTAAAGTGTTAGTATAACCTTATTGAGAGATAATAAGCCCTACTGGGGCAGGTACCCCACTCAATTTGCAGTAAAACGTGAAGTAAAAAGGTTTTACTTACCTGAAACCCACGAATGAGCACAGAGGGAGGCATGAGAGTGCACAGAAAGAGGGAGGCGGGAGGGAGTATGAAAGGGGAAGATTTTAATGCCTGTTGTCAGCGTGCACTGTACACTGGCAAACTATGTAATTTATGCACAGAATTCACACGAGGCAGCCCGGAACAGAGTTCTGGACTGCATGGGTCCCGTGTCCTGGGGGTACAACTTGACATGGCACATTATTGAGAATAACTCAAGCTGAAACACTGAAGTGATCATGTTTGTTGGAGTAACCGTTTGAAGTTAAATTGAGTAATAAAACAATAAATTCTGCCATTTTATTTGTTTGCACTGCAAAGTACAAAATTAAGGCTAAACCAGAAATCGGGTAGACTTTGTGTAAAGTAGTATCTTCATATATGAGCTTTAAGCGTTACATCTTCCAACAATGCAGAGTTTGTAATCTTCAATGTGGGATGGAAGGTCACTACATGGTTTTAAAATGCAAAATGTCACATGTCACAAATCCCTACACGTGCTCTTAAAAGCTCTTGTTCCTCCATAGCATTGTCTATTTTGTATACATGCGCATTTGACCAACAATCCAAAAATTGTGGAACAATGACTCCCACGGCACTCAGACAGCCATAGCCATAGCATTCATAATTATTAATTATTTAATACAGCAAAGGTTAGCTGGACTCCCTAATAGCCAAGAAGAAGCCCTGCGATCCCCTATGAGTGACAGATAAGGGTTACATATAACTATCAGGATCCAAAGACCCCACTTGCTTTAGTGCACGTGGAAATCCTTATTACTTCACTAAGGGTTAATCGTCTTCTCATCTGTCCATAGGATTTTTTTCCAGAACTCTACAGGTGGCAGAGGGTGATGGGCCCACGGCGTCACACTGTGTCAGTGCTTCTGCTCGGGCCAAAGTTACAGTGACGCGTATTTACAGGAGTCCATGCCTTGCTAGCAACCAAGTTCTTAATGGTGGATCTACCATTAAGGTAAGACAGTATAAATCAGGATAAAGATCTCATGACAAAAACTGTTCTGAATTCTGAAGAGAGAAATTCCAGAACACTAAAATGAACAGTACAGGATGTTCCTGATGCAAGAATACATTTCATTCTAAAGTGATAGATTGTTGGTAAACCTGCTTTAGTTACTGGAAGGGGGAGTAAGAAAAAGACTCTTCATTCAGTTATGGCTTTCTCCATTAATTCATACCATTACTTCTCACACTTAAGTGTCTATTTATAGGTAACAGAGTTGCTAAATTAGCTACTTTTACATACTATCATCTTTCGTCTTTGCTGTAATTGACCGCATCCTCATTCTCCCTGATATCATAAGGAACTTGATGTGTGTCGTAGTCCAAATAAGTAAATTAATTGTCTGGCTGTCTGTTATATAATGGAGTAACATTAAAGTGAGCAGTATTGGGAATTCATAGTGATTTCAAATTAAAACCCGAAGTACTCAAACATAGCCGACTTGGAGAATTTTTCCAGTTTAATAATTTTGGCATAAAATTAGAAATTCACTTTAAATTCTATAGTGGGCATTTACATTGTTGACATGGGCTCTATCTATAATGTGAATTAGAGACACAGAAAAGGTATAGTGAAATCAGTCCAGAAGATTGACCCTGAGATGAATAGTCTGTATATACTTAAGCCACATCCTCATTCTCACTGATGTTATAAGGAACTCAATGTGTACCGTAGTTAAATGACCACTTCCTGACTGTAAATTAGTTGTCTGGCTATCTATTGTATAATATGTTAACTCTCAGTGTTTTTTCATTCCAATGCCTACATTCACAAAGATTCAGATTTATACTCAATTGACAAGGGCTATAATTATAATGTGAAATAAAAACACAGAAAAGAAACGTTGAAATTAATCCAGACAATCTGAGAAGAATCGTCTGTATGTACCTAAGCCAGGGGATGAGATATCTACTAGGCGTATTGAGTTATAGTCATGAATTAACCTTTAATACTAATAAACAATTAGTGAGCAGTGACTTTTAGATTTAGTACAGATTTTATCACTGTTCACTTTTGGTTTAATACAGAGTGAGTATACTGCGATGGGGAGAGCTTACACTTAAAATGGTCAGATAGAACTGGAACTGAAAACGTTATTAAGACAAGTACACACAAAACGTATGTAATAAATATACCGAGATAGGACAATTGTGTGGTTGAAATATGTTAATTTTAGTGAGGAAGTGATTATAGTATATATAGGATATGAAGGAGGTTTTGAAAATATCAGAAGAGAGAGAAATAGAGAGACAGAGAGAGAGATTTACAGTGTTAAAAAGGAGATGGGATTGGTATGATGGAAGGAATCTCCTTCAGCAGCTGATTAGTACAGGAGAAGGTCAACGTGGCCGGAAGGAGAAACTGAAGATTGTTCGGAATTGTGCAAACCAAGAGAGTTGATGAACCTGCCAGACCAAGGTTGATTGGATGTAAAAAGCTTGGAGATAGGCCCATTAAGATTGGAAGTTAGCAGATGGTGATTAAAGCATGGAAATGGTATGATGCAGACGTTAGAGACAGAGCACAGAAGACGAGGTTGAGAACATTGTCACAGGGTCGCAGCTTCTACTGCATGAGATCAAAGATGAATATTATAGAAAAGAATATGGCAGATTCAGAACTGTTAGGAGTATCAAATATAGCAAGAAGGAATGCACACAGGAATGAGATTGAATGGACACATAGTATAAACTTGAGAAGAGGAGAAGGAGATAGAAGAAATAAGAGGAACAGACAGAAAACAGAGAATTGGAAAACCAGGAAAACTATCACACTAGTTGTCACCAAGACAGTCATTAAGTAGTCTGAAGGCCACCATAAGACATGGAAGCAGCTGTGTCAAATGGTGAAAGTCATCAAGTCATTATTTAAGTTTTCTGAAGATTATATTCTTACCAGTAAGAGGAGCTTGATGGTTTTACATTTTATGTCTGGCATTAAGAAGGTGTCCTTGTGTACATTGGAAGAATTGAAGAACTTTGCACGGTAAGGTCTTCTGTCATAATCTGCCTCTAGGGTGTATTCTAACACTAAAAAGAAGGGGTTAGAAGTGATGTAATATCATATCACTTATAATCATATTACAGAACAACAATATTTTACACATCAACACCATAGGAAAAAGGGTTACATTTATTTCTTGTGAATTGCTGTAAACTTTCTTAAATGGATCGTAAATACTACCTAGAACAGGGGTAATCAACTTTCGGCTCTAGAGATGTTGAGGACTACATCACCCCTGATAATTTGACAGCATTATGGCTGTAATAGTATATGGGAGATGCAGCCCACTGCATTTGGATTAACATGGTTGCCTACCCTTGCCCTAGAATGATGATTTAAAGGAACGCTACCATAAATATGCAACAGATAAAAAAAGCATATTACAGGTCAAAAACATGCAAAGAACAATAACTTACTAAGCATTAACAACATGAGTTCTAACATATATGTTTTAGCATGATGTCTTTTACCCTGCGCGTCCAACTGGCAATCAGCCAATTGTTGAAGATACTCACTGATTTGTCTTTGAACATTGCGGTTTCCAGTACTCAGCAAGTATGAAAAGCAGATCTCGACAGTCATACTGTATAAAGAGACACAATGAGAATTGTTAGCTATTAACAAATAGTGATGCAGAAAGGGAGAGAGGTTGGCTGATGAACAGAGCAAAGGCTATGCAAGAATTAAGGGCATAGAAATATTAATGGTATTAGAAAACAAAAATAGAAAATTGTTTCGGGTATGTCAAGGACCTATTACAAGTTCTGTTAATCAGGACGCTAGTCTCGTGTGTTAGACTGAAATGTTGAAATGTATGCTATAGCCTGCTTTTTCTTGAAATAAAACAGTGAAGATTTTTCTACAGCAAATCCTGTGAGTGCAAGTTTGCCGAGTGTTTTAACTAGCTGGCAGTTGCACTGGGGTAAGAAATAAGATTTTTTAACAAGTGTGGTCAGTATATGTAGTGCTTCAAGGTGCGATGAGTAAATATGGCACCAATTTAAACTATTCCCCATAAAATATATATATTGCCATTTGATGTTGTGACAGGCTTATGCAATGTATGATCATATACTGTAACTAAACCCCCATTATTTTTGCCTAGATTAGTTGTTTTAAAAAAAAAACGAAACAAACTAATAAAATCTGTGAGCTTTGAAGTTGCTGTTAGTGGATGAGCGAGAGCGTTGGATCTTGTGTATTGTATGAATTGGCCCTAGCAGCACCCCATTTATGCATGTTCAGGTGAGTGCAGCCCCCTAGTTTCATATACATATATATATATATTTTTTTCTATATATATATATATATATATATATATATATATGTATTTGGGAGTCTAGGTCAACTCCTTGGTTTTGCACCCCTCCCTGTGCCTCATATTTTTGCCTAGATTAGGTTTTTAAAAAAAAACAAAAAAACTCATAAAATATGTGAGCTTTGAAGGTGCTGTTTAGTGGATGAGCGAGTGCACTGGATCTTGTGTAATATATATATATATATATATATATATATATATATATAAAAACAATTCAATGAGGGAGGCTACTCTCCGGACTTAAAACTTCAATTTATTATAATGGATTAAAAATGACAACCAACGTTTCGGTCCTCGCTTGGGACCTTCTTCAGGGTCAAATACAACTGTTGTATTTGACCCTGAAGAAGGTCCCGAGTAGGGACCAAAACTTTGGTCATCATTTTTAATCCATTATAATAAATTGAAGTTTTAAGTCCGGAGAGCAGCCTCCCTCATTGGATTGTTTGTCTATTGGAGCCTTGGTTTTGCGCCCGGCAGTGGAATGCCTTAAATGTGAGTGCTGGGGATTTATATTTATATAAATATTTATATATATATAAAAGAAAATAAACATTATGTTTTAACATGGGCCATGAGTGCAGACTACTCTATATATGTATATATAATATAAATCCTGGATATAAAAAGTGAGATCCAAAATTTCCCACACTCCTCCACCAGTGCTTAAAATTTGTAGAAAGTTTTGAAAGTCAGCAGAGTAGGCTGCCGATGAAGTGACAGATACAGGAATACATGAATACCAATAAAATCATGGCGAGAGCAGAGAAGAGCGGACTAAGGATTTACTCAGAGAAAGTGTCAGGAAAGTAGGACACCATGACTGAAAGTAAGAGAAAGTAAAGACTAAAGGTAAGACAAAACCACATTAAAAAAAGGAGCACAGATTGGCGACACATAAATAATAATATATCACAAACTAATGGCTATAAGGATGACATTAGTTGTGGGATCTGGGATAGAGAATGCAGAAGAGGCAAATGCTGGAATAACGAAAATGGTTAGGGGGGCTACTGACAGAGGGGACAACAGACATCTCACCACTGTGTAGAGGAACATTTACTGGGATCGACTAGTGATGGCGTCACCTTGAAACTCTTTGAGATATTAATAACTGGACGAGATCTGCACGAAAGACGAAAAAAAAAAATATTACAGAAAGGGTTACTTAAAAATACAGGAATCAGTATAGAACTGCATTTCACAAAGCCCACAATTTCCCTGAAATCTCCCTCTACCTCAGTAGGACAATGCGATCAGTCAGACTGCCCACGAGAATGTCTGGGTACGAATTTTCATCCACATCAAGTCCTCCACTTAGAGAGTAGCCAAAAGTAGATACACTGCCCGCCTGGGCACCATCAATCACCTGTAAGGAGGCAGCACAACTTTATACCATGTTTTTACCTCCAAAGAAGTACTGGCAAGGGACAATAAAAAATATGTGAAATACGTGAAGGATGAAAGAGGAATTGTAAAGCAGGCAACTTTACCTGGTAGGGCTTATTTTGTAGGCCATTAGCCTTGCTGAGGTAGATATACACTTTACCAGAATCTTCGAAGGGAGCCCCGACTGCAAGGTCTGCAAACAATAAAGAAACAGATTTAGGGAAGATTCATTCAAATGCTCTTCCTATTACTCCATATCCCCTCTCCATATAACTCCTCCTATTACTCCATATAACCTCTCCCTATAACTCCTCCTATTACTCCATATAACATCTCTCAATAACTCCTCCTGTTACTCCATTTAACCACTCTCTATAACTCCTCCTATTACTCCATATAACCTCTCTCTATAACTCCTCCTATTACTCCATATAACCTCTCTCTATAACCCCTCCTATTACTCCATATAACCTCTCTCTATAACTCCTCATATTACTCCATATAATCTCTCTCTATAACTCCTCCTATTACTTCATATAACCTCTCTCTATAACTCCTCGTATTACTACATATAACCTCTCCCTATATCTCCTCCTATTACTCTATATAACCTCACCCTATAACTCCTCCTATTACTCCATATAATTTCTCTCTATAATTCCTCCTATTACTCCATATATCCTCTCTCTATAACTCCTCCTCTTACTCCATATAATCTCTCTCTATAACTCCTCCTATTACTCCATATAACCTCACCCTATAACTCCTCCTATTATTCCATATAACCTCTCTCTATAACTCCTCCCTATTACTCCATATAACCTCTCTATAACTCCTCCTATTACTCCACCTATAACCTCTCTCTATAGCTCTCCTGTTACTCCATATATCCTCTCCCTATAACTCCTCCTATTACTCCATATAACCTCTCCCTATAACTCCCTCCTATTACTCCATATAACTCTCTATCTATAACTCCTCCTATTACTCCATATAACCTCTCTCTATAACTCCTCCTATTACTCCATATAACCTCTCCTATAACTCCTCCTATTACTCCATATAACCTCTCTCCTCCTATTATTCCATATAACCTCTCCCTATAACTCCTCCTATTACTCCATATAACCTCTCTCTATAACTCCTCCTATTACTCCATATAACCTCTCTCTATAACTCCTCCTATTACTCCATATAACCTCTCTCTATAACTCCTCCTATTATTCCATATAACCTCTCCCTATAACTCCTCCTATTACGCCATATAACCTCTCTCTATAACTCCTCCTATTACTCCATATAACCTCTCTCTATAACTCCTCCTATTACTCCATATAACCTCTCTCTATAACTCCTCCTACTACTCCATATAACCTCTCCCTATAACGCCTCCTATTACTCCATATAACCTCTCCCTATAACTCCTCCTATTACTCCATATAACCTCTCCCTATAACTATTACTCCATATAACCTCTCTCCTCCTCCTATTACTCCATATAACCTCTCTATAACTCCTCCTATTACTCCATATAACCTCTCTCTATAACTCCCCTATTACTCCATATAACCTCTCTCTATAACTCCTCCTATTACTCCATATAACCTCTCTCTATAATTCCTCCTATTACTCCATATAACCTCTCTCCTATAACTCCTCCTATTACTCCATATAACCTCTCTCTATAACTCCTCCTATTACGCCATATAACCTCTCCAGTGCCACATGGAAACTTTCAATATAACCCCTCTTTTTGGAGTACATAGAGTGGGTACAGATGAATGTGTACAGGTAGAGTGGGAATGCATGCAGAATGAGAGACAGTGGTTACAAGTGTAAATTAAATGGACACAGTAGGAGAAGGACTTTACCAGTGAATCCATCCTGATTGATGTCTCCAATGTTTGCCAGAGCAAATCCAAACCCAGAGGCACTAGGACCGCGCAGCACCAGAGATGACTCATTTTTGAAATACCCTGCCTCGTTGGTATAAATGTAGACTGATCCACCCACTTCCTCCTTCCGGTCAAAGTAATAAGGAGCCCCTACCGCAATGTCCTGCAGGCTGTGAATAAGAGGGGATAGCATGACTGCGTGGTCAAATAATTCCAATGAAAAACAAGAAAAAAACCAAGGGTTTCTGCAACAAGAGATATTACACTACACTACAGACAAACACATAATAATAATAGGCCAACAAAAAGTATACAGAATAGCCACCAAAACCGGGCATCACCTAAAACAGGTTGCACACAAGATCTACCGGTAATATAGACCACAAACAAGATAGGCCAGAGACAACACACAGAATAGATCGATACATGTAACATACAGAATAAATCGATACATGTACCGTACAGAATAAATCTATACATGCCACACACAGAATAGATCGATACATGTAACATACAGAATAAATCGATACATGTAACATACAGAATAGATCGATACATGTAACATACAGAATAGATCGATACATGCCACACACAGAATAGATCGATACATGTAACATACAGAATAAATCGATACATGCCACACACAGAATAGATCGATACATGTAACATACAGAATAGATCGATACATGCCACACACAGAATAGATCGATACATGTAACATACAGAATAAATCGATACATGCCACACACAGAATAGATCGATACATGTAACATACAGAATAAATCGATACATGCCACACACAGAATAAATCGATACATGCCACACACAGGAAAGGCCAATACAGATCACACACAGGATCTAATACAGACTGCAAACCGGATGGACGAGAAAACATCACAAACCACACACAGGAGAGACAGATACAGACCAAATTTAAGCTAGACCAAAGATCAAACACAGGACATTCCAACGCAGACCGCATACAGCATACACCAATACATGCCTTGCACATCTAATCCACCAATATAATTCATATACAAGATAATTAGCATGGATTGTACACAGGGTCCGCCTCTACAGACCACAAAAAAAGATGGGGTTAATACAGACCACACAAAAAAAAAACCCAGAACAAATAATACACGATAAAGCAATACAGAGTAAGCACAGTATAGTCTAATACCGAGCAAACACAGGATACAGCAACACAGTGCGCACACAGGATGGCCCAATACCGAGCAAACACAAGACAAAGCAATACAGTCCATATACAGGACGAGCCAATACTGATTATGCCTGATAAGCAATATAGACTACAAGCAAGATGGACCAACATAGACCACACACAGAACAGCCCAATACAGGCCATACATTAGACACACCAATACAGATGATACGTTATATGGACCTGATACAGACCACAAACAAGATTGACAAATACTGACCACACACAGGTGAAAATAAATGGAGAAAGACCATACACATAAAAGACTAATTAACGTTATGCAGGATAGACAGACAGAATAGACTAGTAGAATAGACTAATTAAGACCACCCAAAGGATGGACTCAAACAGACCACACACAGGGACAATAAAATATTATATGGTCTGTACTCACCCATCATTGTTAACATCCACAAGAGCGATAGCACTTCCAAAATAAGAGCCCACTTGCTCTGAAGTTAGGAAAGTTCTGACCTCCAAAGCGTCCCCCTGGATTTCGAGTAGAAACACGGCACCCCTATGATCCCAGCGAGGGGCTCCAGACACCACTGTCACCTGGTCCTGGTGCAGCACACCCGTGCTAATCTGAACGGAGTATCCTATTGGCAGAGCAGGGTGGGAGATTATGGCAAGAACCAATCAAGGCTTTAAGAAGGAAGCAATCCAATGGGTGAGATTTAACAAATCTTGGAACAATTTATTAAGTCTGTCTGGTTTATATATTTTATCTTTTGCTTCTTTTGCATCCTAGCTTTTATTTTCACATATATGCACTTTTTTCAGAGACGCAAAAGATCTACCAATCTTTCTTCCACTTTTTCAGACAGAAATGTATTCTAATCCACAACTTTTTTTTTCCCACCTCTCTCTAAACTGGTGGAATTTGTCACTTTTTAGATCATTTTAATAAACATATGAGTAAAATAAGGAAAAAAAAACAGGATTGGGGAAATAAAAGGAACTAAAGAAGACAAATAATAACAACCGTGGCTTTACCAAGAATCATATGTTTACATTTCTCTAGTTTTCAAATATATTCTGTGGTATACATATTATTACCTAAATCAATGGTATTCTTTTTTTCTTTTTGACCCTGGATAAATTAAAGGCACTACACACTCTTCTAGTAATATACCCTTTTCTGAATACACCATGAGTAGGTGCTAGGAGCACTGCATCTTCTGAACTAACAAACAAAGGTTTCTCCAATGTAGGACGATTGAGAGAGAAACATAAGACAGTTTATAAGGACTCTTTTACCCATATATGTATTGTACTGTTTGTTGCTAGGATAAGAGAACTCCTTCATGTCCCAGTTTGTGTCTCTCTGTAGAATGAAATCAGTACCTGAAAAATAATAATGAAAATACAACTGATCAGAGGGTACATGACCACAGACAAAAAATACATGCGCAGAGAGGGGAGTTACGTGCCCACAAACAAGAGGTACATGCACAGAGAGAGGGGGTACATTTGCAGAGACAGATCGTACATGCTTAGAGGAAAGGAGAACATGTTCAGTACCAGGGGGTACTGGCACAGAGAGAGAGAGAGAGAGAGAGAGAGAGAGAAAGAGTACATTTTCAGAGACAAGCAGTATGTGCTCATAAACAGGGTGACAGGAGGTACACGAAATAAGGGGTAAAGGCTCAGAGGTAGGGAGTATATGTTCTGAGACAGAGATAAGCATAAGATAGAGATGCAGAGATAAGTATACTCAAGAGAAACAGGAGCTTCATTCTCTGAGACAGGGAGTGCATGTTTAGAAACCAGAGGTACAGTCTCAAATAAAGGAGGTATATGCTCAAAAAAGGAGGCACATGCTCTGAAACAGGAGGTACATGCTCAGAAAGCGGTTTTGATACCCTTCTGGGTGTAGGAAGATTCAATGACCCAATAAAACTGGAATTTTAACTTTACTAGATATTTTAAAATTGAATGACTCACAGCTTAAAGGGCACTATAGCCGCTGTAACTGCTTCATCTCATTGAAGTGATTATAGTGTCTGGACGCACTGTGCTTCGATTAAGCGTTAAACTTTTTTTTAAAGTTTTAATACTAAACTAGAGACCCCAGAAACACCTCCCCTCTGTGCTGCTTGGTCTAGGGGCAGTGCGAGAAGACTCAATGAGATGAAATGGTTATAGTGTCTACAATGTCCCTTTAAAATGCTGACATTTTATTTTTCGCAATCATAATTGCTAGCATTTTCCATAATTCCAATTAGTGTGCCTTACCCTGCCAGTTGTAGGCCCCTGGAGCCCCAAAGTACACCATATTTTTTGTGAAGCCTCCACTCATGCCTAGCTGGCACATTCCTGTGAGTTCATGGTCTTTGTTAGAGTTACACAACTCATTGTGGTATGATTGCCAATCATCCTCGTCATTGAATTCTAAGTCATTCCCCCGAACGTAGCATCTTCCAATCATTCTGCGTTGATCCTCATTGCCAGACCACTGCACTGCAGTATATCTGTGGGCACATACCTGTCATGGGCAGAGAGTCTACAATTAATGCATAAGAACTCAAATTAAAATCTATTTGTGCAAAGTGCCATACTTTGTCTCTTATACAAAATGGCAGAATGCTAAAATAACCCCTAACAGTTCTTGGACTATAACTCCCATAAAGCTTTGCCATGTGTCCCATAATCCTTCACTTCACATGTAGTAAGGTCTTCCAACAATCCTTATGCATAGTGACATACCCACACAGTGTTAACATCACATAATTATTTGCTCATAGGAAATGGCTACGTCCCAAAATTATTAGACTCTGGTAACGTGCCAGTCTAACAGGATTCTCTGCTCACATGCACAACCATTGTTCCTAATTCAGCTTGCTTCTGCTTGCTTCGCATATCTGGCAATAACATGAGGAACGGACGTACAGTCCAAGTTTTAATGCCGACTCTTTTTAAAAAGGTACCAACATAATACATGACAATTTGAGTCTCTCACTTTAATATTGCACCAAAATATTTTAATTGATTACAATATTCCACGTATGTAAATGGCATTAATATTTACCATGTACCTATAAAAAAAAATATATATATATCTAATAGAACAGTCACACACAAGCTTGGCTGACATATATCTAAACACTGGAGTAATATTCCAGAACCTTATTTGCTTTTTTACATCTGTTCACATAGAGAGTTAATGTCCAATAATCCTCTAGTGCTAAATCAAAGAATTCAGCATCATTGATTATCGTGAAGCAAAGCAGATGCCGGGCTGATTCCAGTAAGTTTTCACAGCAGGGCGAAAAAGACAAGAATATACATAATATAATGAGGGAATAGAATTTAGGAAAATGACACAACCGGGATACGTAGGACGTGTTCAGAACTAGCAAACTAGGAAACTAACCAGGAAAGATAAAGAATATATTGCGTGGAATAATATTAGAATAAAATATATTTAATAAATTAATGTAGGATCCATCGTATGATTGCTAGACTTCGATTTGTAAAGAGGATGAAAATTCTAGGTGTGCTGCACGTCCGCACTGCATTCAATTTAGTAATTTGAGTTTGGTAATCCAATAAGCATTTGCTGTAAGCATCCTTTTCCAGAGGGGAAGCCCTGGCTATACTACAAAAAGCAGCACACATACATCAAGGGTAATTAGAATTTAAAGGTTATTCTTCTGCTAAGCAGATGTTCATTTATTTTCACACAATTGTTTTTGTTGCGTAACATACATTTGACTTTGCCATCGCTAGTCTTCAGTGTTGACTTAGTTAAATTTTGCCTTCCTTAGTAAACAGATACCCTGAATTCTACCTGGTCAGCTTATTACCAAGAATCTCCTGCTTCATAAGAGGTGGCCCAGTACGACAAGTTCAAAGAGTTGCATTTGTTACAGTATGCCGTCAATAGTCAGCTGATATCCCACAATCCTCCTTGTTTTCACATAGAGCCAATGGATCCTTAACGGGACACTATAGTCACCAGAACAACTATAGCTTAATGTATTTGTTCTGGTGAGTATAATCATTGTCACATTGCCATTAGGGACATCTCCAAGTGTCGACTCCTCAGATGGCCACTGGAGCTGTTTCCTGGGGCAGTGCTGCACAGTAGGCAGCACTGCTGTTCAGTGCCTCCATGCACTGCATGGGGACGCTGAATTTTCTTCATAGAGATGCATTGATTCAATGCATCTCTATGACGAGGTGCTGATTGGCCAAAAAGGTGTTTGGACCCGCCCCTTGACGATGTTAGCCAATCCAATGTTTTCCTCCAGGCGGACCCGCTCGGCACTGGAAATGAGGTATGTTTTAATTGCTTTTAAGGGGGCTAAGTGGAGGGCAAGCCACCTAAATGGTGGGTTTAGCACTATAGGGTCAGGAATGCATGTTTGTGTTCCTGACCTTATAGTGTTCCTTTAAGTTCTGCTATCATTTTTACTTTGATACTTATAGAATACAAGACATTGTCCACTTACCAACACCCGACCTCCATCTCTTTGTGACTCGACTGTGACGCCCAACCACATATTCTCAATAATATTTTTGCTAGGATCGCCTGATGGGAAAGTAATGAAAGGGCTTTTTTAGAAATTAATCCAAATGTCAACTATGAGACTGTCGCAAGGAGGCATGCACTTTAGAGAAAGTAGGTTAAAACTGCAAGGAGTGATAGGATTAAAAAGGAAACGGAAGCATATGAAATCAAAGCTGAATTCTGATTGTCTGACTGTTGTTCCGGAACCACTTCATAAGGCAGGTGGAATGTGAATGATGATAAAGAATCCATTAAGCAGTGAAAAAAATATTGTAAGTTCTAGATCGGATATAACAGTAAGTGGGTAGGCAGGCAGACAGGTGGACAGATAGTTTAAAAATGGCATTTGTAACAGAGATATAGTGTCAGGCAGTGCATTCTAAGGCAGCCCTGCTCATACTGTAAAAGTGAAACCGGCTCTATTAGGCGTGATTCTCATACTCACTTTCTGGATCGATGGAGATCCTGAAACAGTCTGTGGCGCTGTCCGTAATGGGACAAGCATAGAGAGCGCCTGTCCTGTTAGCTTTCACACCTACAGGTGCGCTGTCTTGTGGAGCTCCTGAGAGAAGCCTGTAAAGGGCAGAAACAATGTTTGTTAAAACAGCCATATTTAACTTCTATTATGTGCAAGGCATTCTGGGATGAAAATGTGAAACACATGCTTGTAGTTTCTATCTAAATGTCTATCTATAGTGCATACACTTGCTCTAGAGCCTCCAGTAGATCTCCCAAAATGAATACGTCTTTGGGTCATCATGCCCAAAGTACAGAGACCAAAATTGGTCCAGAGACCAAAACTGTAGCCATCTGGTTAAAAGCAAACATCCCTTTGCAGCACAACCCCAATTCATCTCTCTCTCTGCAGCCATCTTAACTTGGTCCTGGTTATTCGATAAAGTGTAAATTTAAGGTGAATTAAGTTCATTGAAAACTTAGGGCCAAAATACTCAAAGTGGGAGCATAGTTGACTTGGAGAATGTGTCCAATTCAGCTATTTTGTCCTTAAATTTAAAATTCCATTTGAAGACAGAAAGAAAATACAACAGATGACAACATCAGGCCAATTCGATAAATTGCAGGATTTATGGGTAGCTTATTCACTCTATTTCACCACCAGATGGCAGTTTTGGTGACCTGCAAAGTATGCCAAAGGAGAAACTGCTGAGCAGAGTTTTCATTAGAGCCATGAATAGGATTAAAGATATTCTTGCAGATAGCTTGCATTAATAATTTTTTTGTTCACAGAGTGAGAGATCTCCCCTCTCAGATAAGCCTGATGCAAAATTATGTTAGTTTCTTATAAACTGTCATTTAATATATATATAACGAAATTTTATTTATATTCAAGATATTTCTGTTTCGAAATAAAAGTAGGAGGAACATGTTTTCGCCCGAATTTTCTGCAATTTGTCCATTCGTCTGCATGGGGCGATAAGCGGGGCCTTTCTTTGATTTTTGAATCCTAGTTACGTCAATGCAAGCAGTACAGTGGAGATGGGTTCAAAATAATAATAGATAGTACCAGCTCTATATTACACAAATAATGATATATTCATAAAAATACAAACGTGGATATGTGTTCCACACGTGTTATTATAATTATAATAGCTGCTACCTCACTGTAATGTGCTACCTTTCAACACACAAAAATTTACCAAAAAAGCAAAATAACACAGTGGAGCGCTTTTTTAGTGAATAAGTGCGTGATAAGTGAAACACACACAATACATTTTAGTCAGTGATTTTGGGCTTGAGTTGCCTGCTAGGGACTCTTGTTTTGCATTAAAATATTAAAAATGATTTAATTCTAAATGGAAGGATAGTGCCAGGAGACTCCAGCCATTATAACCTCTTTAATGAGCTGATGATCTTACAGTGTCCCCTGGAGTGCTGCTATGTATGCAAAATGTATGAGTGTGTGTATAAAAATCTCCCCCCTGAGATTTGTCCTCCAGGAAGCCTTTCTCATAGACTCTATTTGGTGCATTTAGAAGTCAACTTTTTGAATGAACAAGGCAACAGGTAATTCCTAAGATTTCTATCTAAAATATGGCAAAAGGGCATCTTTCCACTGAAACATTTTACAGTTCATTGATGTCTGGCTCCTGTGGCTTTCAGCCAAAAGTATAATGGAATTATTTTGAAATTCTATATTGTGACTGTGCAATATTTATAAGAGAAAACCACATTTGCTGTGATATCCTCAAAGTTGATATTTCAGTTTTTTGATAAGATTTGTTTTCTCAAAGGGATTCTAAAGTTGCATTCCTTACACTACAGTTCCCTCTGCTGCCCGCTCCCCACCTTAACCCCTCTCCCCACACAAGCAAAGAAAGGGTTTAAAAAAAAGGGTTTAAAAAAAACTGACCCGATTCCATTGCAGATCTCCCTCAGCGCTGGGTGGGCGCTTTGCCATCTCTGACGAGGGGTGGGCTAATGGGCATTAGGCCCTCCCTATAGGAAAGCATTGGCTCATTGCTTTCCTATACCTAATGCTGGATGACCTCATGCAGAGCGTGAGAGTGTCCAGCATTAGTTACGCGATCAAAAGTTGGTTAGCCACCAGGAAGTGCCTCTGGTGGCTGTCTGATTGACAGCCACTAGGGGCAGTCTTAGTCCTGCAATGTAATTATTGCGTTTCTCAAACAGAATTGGAGTCCTACGCTCTTGCAACTTTAAGTTTAAGCAGATAGCATGGGATGTAAGAAATGATTAGCTAACATTTAATGTTTATAACAGGCTCCTGGGCAACTGTCCCACAGGAGCTTTTTTTCCTACAATAAGATAACCTTGGAGCAGAGACTGGCTGAATAACTCCAGCTACTTCCCTTTTACTATTGATTGAGAGGAGGCATTTCGAGCCATGTTCCTAGGTGATTATCTTTAGGGAATGCATTCCAAATAAAATGGAGTCACCTCTGTCCTCGGTAGATAGAAACCTAGAATGTGACGGCAGATAAGAACCATTCGGCCCATCTAGTCTGCCCAATTTTCTAAATACTTTAATTAGTCCCTGGCCTTATCTTATAGTTAGGATAGCCTTATCCCACGCATGCTTAAACTCCCTCACTTTGTTAACCTCCATGCATAAATTCCCTCACTGTGTTATTCCATGCATCCACTACCCTCTCAGTAAAGTAATACTTCCTGATATTATTTTTGTCCCTCTAATTTAAGACTATGTCCTCTTGTTGTGGTAGTTTTTCTTCTTTTAAATATAGTCTCCTCCTTTACTGTGTTGATTCCCTTTATATATTTAAATGTTTCTATCACATCCCCCCTGTCTCGTCTTTCCTCCAAGCTATACATGTTAAGATCCTTTAACTTTTTCTGGTAAGTTTTATCCCGCAATCCATGAACCAGTTTAGTAGCCCTTCTCTGAACCCTCTCTAAGGTATCAATATCCTTCTGAAGATACTGTCTCCAGTACTGTGTACAATACTCCAAGTTAGGTCTCACCAGTGTTCTGTACAATGGCATGAGCACTTCCCTCTTTCTACTGTTAATACCTCTCCCTATACAACCAAGCATTCTGCTAGCATTTCCTGCTGCTCCATTACATTGTCTGCCTACCTTTAAGTCATCAGAAATAATCACCCCTAAATCCCATTCCTCAGATGTTGAGGTTAGGTTATCAAATATTCTGTACTCTGCCCTTGGGTTTTTACGTCCAAGATGCATTATCTTGCACTTATCCACATTAAATGTCAGTTGCCACAATTCTGACCATTTTTCTAGTTTACCTAAATCATTTGTCATTTGGCTTATCCCTCCTGGAACATCAACCCTGTTACATATCTTAGTATCATCAGCAAAAAGACATACCTTACCATCAAGACCTTCTGCAATATCACTAATAAAAATATTAAAGAGAATGGGTCCAAGTACAGATCCCTGAGGTACCCCACTGGTGATCTTTTGTAAAGTGTAAAAACAAATTCTCCTATTGACCGGAGGTTTGATCTGTAGATTTAGATAGAATCTAGCTCAGTTAAAACCCTTACATTCTTTATAGAAAATTAAACAAAAAATAAACAGGTACCTGGCATCATGGAAAGCAAATCTGGGAGTCTTTTGGTATGGTGCCCATTTTGATATATTGTTAGACTTTGTGCAACTGGAATGTCTCTTTTTATTAAATTAGCAGAACATTTAATGAATTTATACAGCTATTATCCTGATCAGGGATTTCAGAGAAACCCTCTTGTTGAGCTGCACAGCGAAGGTTAGTATAGAATACCTCCTCTGAACACTAACCTTACTCCTGGAAATTCCTGGAATTCACCAATCCCAACGTGCTTTCGCTCTTAGACACTCTTTTGCCATAATGCTGTGCACATGTATGCAAAAGATGCATTGCTCAAAAGATGAGACGTGCACACATACATGTCAACATACTACACACACAGCATCATGTGATACCAGTGACTTCCACTATATCATAGTTATATCTACATCTCAGGTATATTGACAGCTTCCCATATAAAGATAGTCAGCATTTAGCATAAAATTTAATAGAATTTTGAGGGGTGAAAAAAATCTTAAAAGTGACATTTCATCTCAAATGAAGGACATTTGGATGACAAGGTGGGTATATGAATAATCAATATATTATAGCAGAGACAGTGCCAGGAACTATAGGCGTAAAATAAGCAGGTTTGTTTTTCTAAATAAACCTATTGGTAATTTGCCATGAAGAAAATTTACTATAGATATCCTTATTGGGCATTCTGCAACCACAATGTTTTACATTCAAATTCATGTATATAATACAATGCATATAATTTACTGAGACTGTAATAAACACTTGGAAAAGAGCAAAGTGCAACGTTTCTGATAAAATTCTCAAAGCTGACGTGCCGACACTGTTTGCTGTACTCCGCCAGACGCCCCACCTGAGGGTGTGTCTGGTACGAGCAGATGGTAGAAGTTACCCAGATCTGAATATTAACTGTTCATCAAATTCACATTTGTTTTAGAAAATTTAAATCCAAAAACAGCAGATCTGTAAACGATCCCCACTTCCGCTATACTCACAGCGTTTAGCCTCAATTTTGCCATTCAGATTGTAATCTCCTACAATTTGACATTCACTTGTCAATCCCAGACAAATCACAGAGTTTAGTGACTAACGAGTAAAGATTCCAATGATGTTTTATTACTCAACAGGAGAGGTCTGTACTTGAAAAGAAACATGCAGGATTAGTAAAATTACGTAAAGGCATTTATAATAATATTTTAAAAATATAATAATATGTAGTAGGGTATAATAAGGAATACAGCTGTAACATGATAATAAAGTTAGGAGAAATAATGCCGACTTGTATTATAATCGGGTACAGGGTGCTGTGTAAGGCGAAGAAGATGGCAGAAATAGGTATCACTACTCTCTCACACTAGAGCCAACAGTGCCAGGTCAGGTGGGGCATACCCATTTTAGGGTCTCCAGGTTGGTCCACATCCAAAGACACCAAGAAGCTGTCTGCCACAAGCACAGTGTGAAAGCATCATTTGACACAGTCGCACTGTCCCCTGTTCAAGTTTAATACCTCCCAATGTTGGGAGGGATTATTAAAACAGGTATAGGCAACCTTCGGCACAGCACTTTTTGGGGACTACATCTACCCTGGTGCTTTATCAGCATTATGGGACATGTAGTCCACAACATCTGGGTGCCGAAGGCTACTTGCCCCTGCACTAGACTTCCAGAGAATAAAGACATACAAGCTGCCACCTCCCTAAGTTCATTGACAATAAGGGCCAAATGATGGCTGCACCGCATATAACCCATATTCGTACACCACTGCACAATGTTCAGGGTTTTGTGTGTGATTTTTGTTGTGCTAACGGCATGATAATATGATATGTATGCAATAGAGATGAAAAAATGTATGCCAAGTAGAAATGGGGATGTCAAATAAATGTGTATTAAGTAAACAGTGAGGTGTTAGTTTGACTAGTAAATTATTAGAACATAATAGCAAAGAATTTTCGAGAATTCAAAGTGAGAATTTAGGGGGGCGGAGCCTGAACGAGAAAGTCGCAGCTTACCGCCGACCCGATAATAAGGCTAAAACGGAGGCTAAATCCACAACGGGGTCCCGAGAAAACACCCCCCTGCATGCCCTGGACCATGGGGAAAAAAGCAAAAAAGCACAGAGTGGAACCGAGCTCCGGATCCAGAGATATAGGTGCTTTCATGCGCCCGACCCAGCGCCATGAGCCCGCCAAGATAGGGCGGCAGAGGCCTTTACCTCGCAGTCCTCAGACGACGACAGCCTACCGGACACCCTGCCTGCACAGTTTAAGGTACAAACTAAGCCCCAGCAGCCACCAGACCTAGGTGACCTGGCACCATCCACAAAAGCCGATATAAAGGCCATGATGCGATGTTTGACGCCGATATGGCACTTGTTCGAGGGGATGTAAACACGCTTACAGGCCGCGTGGCCTCAGCGGAGGAGACACTCAGAAGCACTAGGGTGGCGCAAACGGCCACAGACGCAACTTTAGGATCCCAACAGAAACAGTGTACTACACTGGCAGCCCAGCTAGCAGGCATGGAAGATAAAGCAAAAGCACGAAATGTGCGTATTAGAGGGGTACCTGAAACGATCGATACCGTGGAATTGCCACACTACTGCAGAAGGCTGATAGCCACTTTGTTACTCCCAAAACAGGCTAAACAGGTTGGAATTGACTCCTGCTTCCAACTCCCTAAGGCCACAAAGGCACCACAGGATGCCCCAAGGGATGTATTACATAAAATGGTTCGGGACTCTGACAGGGGGGCCCTTATGGGAGAAGCACGGGGTTCCCCCACAATTACTTTTGGAGGAGCAAGCCTGACACTGTACAGAGACCTGTCGAGACACACCCTCACATGGCGCAGAACCTTCCGCCACACTACGCAGCACCTACGAGATCACTCTATCCCTTACAAATAGGGTCCCCACAGACTGATGGTGGACCATGACGGAAAGACACACCTCCTAATGAGCGCTTCAGAGGCACCAACTTTCTTCCAGTCAATAGGCATCTCAACGCCAGCGGTGAACACAGGTGCCCGCCCACCATGGAATCTCGCAGAAGTCACCCCCTTAGCACCCAGGGGAACGGTACCAAGGGCGACGGACCAGCCAACTTGAGCTGAGCGAACGCTCACCCCTACAGCATTACATGATGTTCTTTGTAATGGGGACTACAACTCCCAGTTGAAGGCCTCTTAGGCCCATTATATATACCAGTTTTATATGCATGTATACATGACTTCTCGTTACGTTTTACATTTACTCCCGCGTTAATGTTTACTTTAGCTCAACATTCACAGTTCAGATTAGGAGATACTATCTCCACCATGGCTCCGTAAGCGGACAGCCAACGACATGATCTACGTAAACCCCTCACCTCCCCCCGCCCCACCCCCTCCCTTATTCAGACAGAGTGGGGTCTCAACCAACTTGTTTATACCTCTACACCACAAGGTAGGCAAACCACCTGGAAAACTCGGACCGACCAAAAGGCCCACACAAGGCCATGGGCAACCACAGGCCATGCTGTTTAAACTCCCCCAACCTCCCAACACAATTACCCTAGGCAAAGCATGACACCCCACATCGATCAGCAGGGCACACTGAGCTTTTAACCAAGCCTTCCCAGACATATCACTGTACTTCTTCCATACAGATAAGAGGAGGATTAGCCTGACTAACAAAACAAAAACGGGTAGACGCAGCACCTGTGCAATTCTATAACATACAATGATGGTCTAGTATGTAATATGTTACATGATATATCTTTGAGCACATGTTGTAATTGATTTTCTTGACTTGCAAACCCACAAAAATAAAGAATTCAAAGTGAGAATTTAAGGTAAATTCAAAGCGAATTTCAAATTGAAAGTAAAATTAACCAAACTGGAAAAATTTGCTAAGTCTGGCTGTGCTTCCAATTCAGCTTAACAAGTCTTAAAGGAACACTATGATTAAAGAGTTAAACCCCCCCCCCCTTTTTTTTTTTTTAACACAAATTACATCTCCCTCTCCTCTGATGTCAGGGTTTTGGGGGAAACTAATGCGCACGCATGGCGAGGGACGCTGGACGTCCTCATGCAAAGGGACACTGCATTGCAGGGTTAAAGGGACATTGCACCCAGAGCACTTCAATGAGATGAAGTTGTCTGGGTGCCTATAGTGTCCCTTTAAATTTAAAATTCTCCCTTTAGTGAATATCCCTGCAGTTGTTTTTTTTGGCTATTCGGCTTAAAATTCTAAATGTATTTTAAATTCAGTACGAACGTCTTCCGATTTACATTTCATGAATAACCACAGGAAGTGTTTTTCCAGATTCAACAATTTTAGTCGTTTACAGACTCTTTATCTATCCAAACCATAAATTCTATCTTCTACTATCTAGCTCTCGTTCCTTCACTAAATTCACATCTTCCTCCTCAAATGCCTGGCTGTCTGCATCACCCTGACAGTGTTTATACTGAGACCTTCTGGTTTAAATCAGTAAGGTGCATCAGGATCTTTAGCACATACCTGACGAAAATTACAAAATGTAAGCCCCTCCTATCAGACTTTTTATTTCTATCCATGTTGTGCAGCAGAGAGAGTGTTACAGGATTATTTACTAAAGTGAGAATTGAAAGTGAACTTCAAAGACCGAAGTATTTAAACAGAAAGCATCACTGATTTGGAATACTCAGTTGCATACGTAATTTTTATCAGGAAGATTCCATTGGGAAAGATTATGCGCAGTTGACATTTGTGCTGTTGAAAGCTGCAATATCTTTTTTAGCAAACTAAAAATGTGCTAGACTAAAGGAGACTCAATGCATTTAAGTTGTGTTGGTGCCCAGCGTGTGCCTGGAGTATTATTATTATATTACTTATATAGCGCCAGCAAATTCAGTAGCGCTGTGTATGCCTTTAATAAAATAAAAATTAGATAATATTTTATAAGTGGTGCCACAGGTAACTGTGGGCTAATAAAGATATTGCATGTAGGACTGAATTGGGCCCATTGGGCCTGATGCTGACAGTTTTGATTGTCCTAATTACAGAATCCTATTGACAGAAAACACTAAAACAGTCAAACCCCCCAAGCGTCATGTATCTAGTAGAGGTGGTTCCGGATGTAGCTATAAGAAAACACATACTCTATGCCAGTGATGGCGAACCCCGCCAAGCCCTCTCTATGGGCACATGGCCATAGGTCGCCGGGGGGAGGGGGGAAGGAGGGCGCTGGTCGGCAGCAATGCAGAGTAGGCACCTGCCTTTGTTTGTGTTTATGTATTCAGCAGACTGTGTGTATGTATTCAGCAGTCTGTGTGTACTCGGCATTCTGTGTGTGTATTCAGCAGTCTGTATGTATTCAGCAGTCTGTGCGTGTGTATTCAGAAGACTGTGTACGTATTCAGCAGTCTTTGTGTATGTTTGTGTGTGTGTGTGTATTCAGCGGATTGTGTATATGTATTCAGTGGACGGTGTGTATGTATTCAGTAGTCTGTCTGTGTGTGTATTTAGCAGTCTGTGTATGTGTTCAGCAGTTTGTGTGTATTCCGCAGTCTGTGTGTGTATTCAGTGGATTGTGTTTACGTATTCAGCAGTCTGTGTGTATGTTTGTGTGTGTATTCAGCAGACTGTGTGCATGAATTCAGCGGACTGTGTGTATGAATTCAGCAGTCTGTGACTGTATTCAGCAGTCTGTGTGTATGTATTGTATGTATGCATTGTATATGTTGGAGATACTAATAAATATAAGCTTCGTTTTATCTATAATTTATATCATTATTTATCATTTGTATCATTGAACTCTCTGTTGTGTTCTTCTTTTAAAACAAAAGATGTTAACTAGTTCGAGTTGTTTTTTCTAAACTTAAACCTCAGTATTCAGGTTTAATTGCCGAGTTCGCAATTTGAGGAAACAAAGTTGTCATGTATTGCGGTTTAGGCACTCAGGCTCAAAAAGGTTCGCCATCACTGCTCTATGCTAATCTCTCACTTTCATTTCTCAACCAAATCCATATTCTCAGCATCAGCGTCCTGTGAAGTAGGATGTCAGTGGGCGTGGTAAATGGAGGTGGGCCAGTGACGAAAACCTGCACTGCGCAAAGGGGTGGACCCACCAGGGGAAAGGAAGCAGGTCAGTCCGAATAAATGAAAGGTCAGCCGGCTATAAATGAATACCAGGCTGCCTGCCAATCAAGCAGGCTGGCTAACTGAAGGCGGATAAGGCAGACAACGCTGTTTCAGTACCCTGAGCTTGGCGCAAACGCATCTAATTATTAGCTTGCTGTATGCTTTCTGTCTGGGGACTGTGCCCTAGCACTCACTTGTCCACTTATCTCCCTCCCTTCTTACTAGTAGTCAGAAGCTTCTGGAAGGCAGTCTAGGACAAAGAAAAGGTGGATATAGTGAGTGTAGAAGAAAGGGGACATATCACAGTGTTAAAAAGACTGAAGCAGCAAGGGCATGGGCACAGTGTGCAACGTCAGCTTTACCTTAACTAATTTCATAGTCAAATCAGCAAAAATAGAACAAGATGGCGCTATAGTCTAATTCAAAGTGCAAGTGCTCATAAAGAAACAGTTACATAGTGTCACTATTAGGCTATTAGGCTTGCCAAACCCGGAAACAGACTGTGAGGGAGAGTGTCAGAGTGCACTACAGCTATCGGTGTGAAATAAGAACTGTGTGATATCAGTGGACCCCTGAGAAGACAGAGGACTGAGCTGCATATACAGAACTGCTTTCCCTTGTGCAATACAGAGTGGGTTTCAAGTTTGAATAAAGTTTTGGAAACTTAGTTATCAATTGGTGGTGACTGATTTGGATCGTACGCACACATGGGGTTGATCCCCCCCAGAGCCTTAATGTTTGCTGTGGTACTATAACCATTTCATGTTTATTTATGAAAGAACAATATATTTTGTTTGTGAGTGTGTATCTATAGGTTTTATTCGCCAATTACCAATTACCACATTGGTGATTGTGCTACACCTATGTGGATCACGGATTGTTTTTATAAACAGGGTATCTTCGTGATCTCTTATACACATTGTTTCTATTGTTATGATACTTGTTATAGATTGTGATACGTGTATAGAATATTTAAATAGTTTGCGCACCAGTTTATCAAGTAATTTCATAGTCAGCCAGTTCACACAAGTTTTGGTCCTTACATCCTTCATAAGTCCCTATACTTAACCATCATTTATTGCTTTGAATATTGTTCTTTTCTTACTTTAACATTGTGGAAGAAGGGAAGTTTTGGGAAATTAACAATTTTGTCCTCGATTTTACAATTGAACACAATGACAAGAGTTCTCCTCACACCCTAACCTGTGCACACAGCTTAGGTTGTTATCGTTGAATGCCCCTTTAATGGATGCTCACATAACATCATCATACCAGAGGAAACATGGGAAACCTAATTTAGCCTTCACTAAATGCCCTGACTGTCTTTTCAGAAGTAATTTGTGAGATGTCAGAAAAGCATATCTTTAATCCAAATATATAAGGGCTACATCAATATATTAGGAAAAGAGAAAGGGTTGGTTAAAAAATTCTAGAACCTTAATGCACATCAGGCAATATTCACAACACAATGGGTCAAATCTTAAAATGTATGAAACAAACATATGTAATAATATAAAGGGGAACACCATGAGGAACATGCCTATCAATTTTTGCCTATCAAAATTAGATAGGGGTAAAATGTCCTTTTATATAGATATTGTAAAAAAACAAAACAAAAATTTAAATAATAAGATGTTAATAATATACACATTTAAATTATTGTGAAAATACACAGACAACCAGTGGATAAGAGTGATGGGAATAGCAGTGTCAAAACTGGCAATAAAAAATGGGAAATAGTTAATCAATTGTAGATTAGCTCTATAAGCATAATACAGGAATAGAGGAAATACTTATTTTTCACAGGGGGGAGGGGAAGAGAAGACTGCCACTTTAAGGCTCAGTAATGGAATATTGGCTTATAAATTAAAGTTCTGAGTGGTTTAAAGGAAAACTATAGTGCTACGAAAACAAAGTTGTTTTCCTAACATTATAGCTTACTGTAGTGCCTGCCTCCCTCCCGCCTTCAGACCCCTATGGTGCAGAAGGGATTAAAGCTCCTTCTGTCACTTACCTAATTCCAAAAGCCACTTAAAGGCCCAGGAGTGCCTCTAGTGGCTGTCTGATTGACAGCCACTAGAGGTGGAGTTAATTATTGCAGTTTATCAAAAACTTAAAAAATTATAATTGCAAGGTTAAGGGTGAGAGGACACAGCACCCAGACCACTTCAATGAGCTGAAGTGGTCTGGGTGCCTATATTGTCCCTTTAAGGGTGCAGATGTTCTGCAGTTAATTAATTGTGTAAAGCATCGCATGGGGTTAATGTTGTAATGATCTGCAGTGGTGTCATTGTAAGTGGCTCTGCAAGGGTTAATGCTGCAATGATCTGCAGCAGCAGCTAACTGTAAAGGGCTCTGCAGGAGGTTAGCAGTGACTCAGAGAAGCATGTTACCTGCAAGCCTGGAATGGCTGAGACAAAGGAAGATGATTCAGAGGAAGTTGGGAATAATAGTCATAGTACCGCACCCTGATTGGCATAGTCCGGGCAGTGGCCGTGCCAGGCTCCACACATCCATCACTCTACCCACCACAAACAGGTTAGGAGAAGTGCTGGCTTGTATCATTTACCACAACCGCAGATAGGCAAATATCACACTTCTACAATTACCCACAATGCTCTGCAAACTTGTTACAAACAGATACAATAATCAGAGCAGAGTTTGACGTTTCATTTTTTTTTTTTTAATTCTTTATTTTATTTGACAAAGTATTATAGAACAAGGCAAGATGTTCCGGTTTAAGCATAAACCGTGATCATCATTTTTTTTTTAAAACTTTTTTATTTGCTTTGAAATGTGAAAGTGTTTAGAATCAATGTTCACAACATGATGCAACAATTTCAACAGCTTAGCCAAGGGGTTAACATTCTACCAGACTTGTTAACTAAAGTGTGAAATCAAAGTGAATGTCTTACTTCGAGCCAAAACAGCAAAATTGGGAACATTCACCAAGCCAGATAAGGTATCACCAGTTCAGTATCCTTGGTCTAAATTTACTCTACGTTCCAGACAATTCGCACTTCAGTGGATATCTCTGAACTGCAACAAAGAAAAATCTAAACGGCAAAATTAAGGCTGACAAAGTTGATTTGGAAAAAATAAATCTTCAACTCATTAAAGTCACATTCAGAGTTTAAAGCCGGTGCACGTGACAGTGTATGGCAGATTAAAGGAACACTACAGGATCAGGAACACAAATATTTATTCCGGACCCTATAGTGTTTAATCCACCATTTAGGTGGTTTGCCCCCCCTTAGAAAAGGTGAAAACTCACCTTATTTCCAGTGCCACGCGAGTCCGCCGACCCAGTCCCTACCCTCATTTCCCCCATTTTCATCACCAGACCTGCTGATTTTTCCCATAGGGAAAGCATTGGATTGGCTGAAATCAGTAGGGAGGCGGGATGGGGGCCAATTGCGGTTTTAGTCAATCAGCACCTCCTCATAGAGATGCATTGAATCAATGCATCCCTATGAGGAAAACTCAGCATCTCCATGCAGAGCATGGAGATGCTGAACGTCAGTGCTGCCTACTGGGCAGCACTGCTCCAGGAAGCACCTCCAGTGGCCATCTGAGGAGTGGACACTTGGAGGTGTCCCTAGGGGGCAATGTAAACACTCCCTTTTCTCTGTAAATGTAGTGTTTGCATTAAAATGCCTGCAGGCAATGATTAAACTCACCAGAACAACTACATTAAACAGTAAATTCACCTTAAAGGGACACTGTAGTCACCAGAACACCTACGGCTTAAAGGGAAACTCCAGTGCCAGGAAAACAATCCGTTTTCCTGGCACTGCAGGTTCCCTCTCCCTCCCACCCCCCAATCCCCTCGTCGCTGCTTCCTCCTCTGTCGCCGTTCCTCCTCTGCATTGCGTCGGCCGGTGGGCGAGACTGATCCCGCCCATCGGGCGGGGAGACCTAGTGCGCATGCGTGGCAATGCCGCGCATGCGCATTAGCACTCCCTATAGGAGAGCATTGAAAATGCATTTCAATGGTTTCCTATGGGGAAATGAGCGACGCTGGAGGTCCTCACATAGCGTGAGGAAGTCCAGCGATGCTCTAGCACAGGTTTCCTGTGCTAGAAACCAGGAAGTGCCCTCTAGTAGACAGCCACTAGAGGTGGAGTTAACCCTGCAAGGTAATTATTGCAGTTTATAGAAAACTGCAATAATTACACTTGCAGGGTTAAGAGTAGTGGGAGTTGGCACCCAGACCACTCCAATGGGCAGAAGTAGTCTGGGTGCCTGGAGTGTCCCATTAACGTATTGCTTCTGGTGTCTATAGCATGTCTTAGCTGCACTGCCTTTTCTTACCTGGGGTTTCTCTAGCGATCAGCTGACACTCTCAGCAACAAGTATATGGTATAGGGCTATTCCGAGCTAGGAAAATAAGAAATATATAGTATATAGTACTCTCAGCAACATATTGCAGGGCTTAGCTCAAGAGAGGTAACAGAAGTTTCTGGTGAGGAAGTAACGACTAGTGGTAGTGAAGGTATGGAACAGTGCCCAGCAGCTGCCAGGTAAAAAGTCAAACCATTCAAAAAAGGTTAGATTCCTCACGATAGGGTGGTTCCAGGGAACATCTGGCACCATAATCACTACACAACGAGCTACAGTGGTTATGGTGCCTGTAGTGTTTAAATCTATTTTTTTTTTAAAAGTGTTAGGCCGAAACAGCTGACATGAAAACACGGAGAATTATTGCTATGCGGCCTAAAAATTTAAATTTATGTTTACATTTCTGGCAATACAGGTTTGTATTATTAACACTTGTATTGATTAAAGTCTTAACACTTTACTAGTGATGTCCCGAACGGTTCGACACGAACTCATCGTTGAGTAAACTTTGACCCTGTACCTCACAGTCAGCAGACACATTCCAGCCAATCAGCAGCAGACCCTCCCTCCCAGACCCTCCCACCTCCTGGACAGCATCCATTTTACATTCATTGTGAATCTGCATTCTTAGTGAGCTGTCCAGGAGGTGGGAGGGTCTGGGAGGGAGGGTCTGCTGCTGACTGGCTGGAATGTGTCTGCTGACTGTCAGGTACAGGGTCAAAGTTTACTCAACGATGAGTTCGCGGTGAACCATTCGCAGCGAACCGTTCGGCGAACTGTTCGGGACATCACTACACTTTATCTCTCCGAAGTGTGCTGTATAATTAATATTAAAGAGTTTCTCTTTTTGTTTTATGCTTTTATCTATTCCAAATAAAATGGAATTTATCAGATCTTCACCAATATTAGAACTCGAGAGAGCTTAAATCTCAATCAAAATTCAATGAAATACAGCAATGCTGTCCAAAATTGGAGAATTAATCCCTATCAGCTATTTTTTCCTTAAATATTTAAGCATTATTCAGTATAACTCAGAGTTTAGGCAGTAAATCCCTAAGAAGAGAACTTGCCCACCCCTGCACATAGGACACGGCATGTGTACAGAGATGGGCAAGGTGAATCAATGTCAATATACGGCAATACACTAATACACTATGACATGTACACACAACAAACGCTGGGCTTAACGTGTTTACACAGCACAGGTACAGCACTGGCAGGAGAAAGAAACCGCTTCCGTCGACAACTACGATGCCAAGATTAGCCGTGCCAGCTTTGCTGACGAGGAATAGCAGGCATTAAGGTTATTACATTAGTATTCAAGCTCTGTAAGTGAAATGCCAGCAATGATAGCAGCTACAAAATGCATTTGTTCAGCAAGAACAGAGCAGGAATTGGCCAGAGCCATTTATTCCACCACCCTAGCTCGGCCATTATTATTAATAGGTTTGCAGACAGTGTGCTCACTACTAGCGCTGGGCATAGAGCTTTGTACACAGCACAGGAAGAGCATAGACAGTGACACCGACAGTGGCACTGAGCTCTGCAGTTACACAGAGCTCTGTATGGGCAGTAACAAATAGCTCTATATAGGCAATGACACAAGAGCTCTAAACAGGCAGTGACACCAAGCTCTGCACAGACAGTGAGCTCTAAACAGGCAGTGACACCAAGCTCTGCACAGACAGTGACCATAGGCGTGCGCAGCCTATTGCATTAGGGTGTGCACCCTAAAGCACAAACACACGCCGCATGTATATATATATTTATATGTATATATATATATATATATATATACACACACACATATACCGCTGTTTGTGTGTGTGTGTGCTGTTAGTGCGCTGTGTGATGGTGCTGTGTGTGTAAGGGTGCTATGTGTGTGTGTGAGGGTGCTGTTAGTGTGATGTGTGTGTGAGGGTGTTGGTAGTGTGCTATGTGGGTGAGGGTGCTGTTTGTGTGCTGTGTGTGAGGGTGCTGGTAGTGTGCTGTGTGTGAGGGTGTTTGTGTATGTGTGTTAGGGTCCTGTTAGTGTGCTGTGTGTGTGAGGGTGCTGTTTGTGTGATATGTGTGTGTGAGGGTGCTGTTTGTGTTGTGTATTTGTGAGGGTGCTGTTAGTGTGCTATGTGGGTGAGGGTGCTGGTAGTGTGCTGTGTGTGAAGGTGCGGTTTGTGTGTGAGGGTGCTGTTTGTGTGCTGTGTGTGAGGGTGCTGGTAGTGTGCTGTGTGTGAGGGTGTTTGTGTATGTGTGTTAGGGTCCTGTTAGTGTGCTGTGTGTGTGAGGGTGCTGTTTGTGTGATATGTGTGTGTGAGGGTGCTGTTTGTGTTGTGTATTTGTGAGGGTGCTGTTAGTGTGCTGTGTGTGAGTGTGCAGTTTGTTTGAGGGTGCTGTGTGCTGTGTGTGAGGGTGTTGTGTGTTTGTAAGGATGCTGTGTGTGTGTTTGTGAGGGTGCTGTTAGTGTGCTGTGTGTGTGGGTGCTGTATGTGTGCTGTGTGTGTGAAGGTGCTGTTTCTGTGCTGTGTATGTGAGGGTGCTGTGTGTGCGTGCTGTTTGTGTTAGGGTGCTGTGTGTGTGTAGGTGCTGTGTGTGGGTGCTGTATGTGTGTATGTGTGCTGTATGTTTGGAGGGATTGTGAAAGTGGGGGCAGATTAATAAATAACCCCCCTCCCTTCTTACCTTATGTAGGGAGGGGGGATCCTTGCTGTCCAAGGGAGAGTAAACTCTAGCCTGTGGGGCTAGAGTTCACTCTCGCGAGATCTGAGCATTGCGGCGGCAACGCTCAGATCTCGCGAGAGGAACCTGGCGGAGCTTCTGTCTAGAGCTCCCCGGGTCCTCTCCTGCTTCCCTCCATGCTGCTGTGGGCCGGTGAGGTAGATCTTTGATCTCCCCGCCGGCCCATGGAGGCTTAGAGCAGAGCCGGCACTCAGATAGCGTCAGCTCTGCATGAGCCAACAGGGGAGATCCGGAGACCTCCCCTGCCGGCAGGGGTCAAGTCCTGGGGAATAAAGTGTGGGAACTGTCCCAAGATTCCCACCCCCCCAAAAAAATAATATACACTCGTGTGTGTGTATATATATATATATATATATATATATATGCGTACACACACATACACTCAAACACACATACTCAGACACACACTTACAGACACACACTTACAAGCACACACATACATTCACAGACACACACACACTCACAGACACACACACATTCACAAATTATTATTTTTTATAAAAAAAATTGTCCACCCAGCCTCCCTACCTGGAGAGCTGGCGCGGACTTGTCCCTGGGGTCCAGTGGGTCGGGCGCCTATCTCCATACAACAAGCGGCGAGGGAGCTGTGTGATCTCTTCTTCCATCTGTAGGGCTCCCTAACCCTACCCTAATCCCTACCCTTACCCCTAACCCTACCCCTAGCCACACACCCCCTAACCACCACAACCACTTACACATCTATAGGGCTCCCAGTGCAAGGAATTAGCTTATTGGCCAAAATTCCTGTACATTTCCCTCCCTCTCTTGTATTGCAACTTTTCAGAAATCTGAAGCACTTCAGCAATTCGGTTTGGCACCTCCCGAAATTCGGCACTTCGGACATTCTGAAGCATCCGAATGTCCGAATTTCCTGAAATACATCTAAATTCACATTCGGAACTAAACAAATTTCACATGTCTACTGCATACACAAGATGGACAAAGCTCAGACACTGGTAGATTCATAAAAAACAGAAAGTTCTGTACACACCGCACAGGGAAAGTGAGAGACTCCTTTTACTCTACAGAGCTCTGTTCACACCGCACAGGGAAAATGAGAGACTCCTTTTACTCTACAGAGCTCTGTACACACAGCACAGGGAAAGTGAGAGACTCCTTTTACTCTACAGAGCTCTGTACACACAGCACAGGGAAAGTGCAGGCTGTGGCTGAATGCTGTGTAACAATGAGTTTGGTGACAGCTTCATCATCCCTCTACCTTTAGCAAGTTCATTCTTGATAACACAGACAGGAGCCCTAGGCTACAGAAACACCAGAGGGATGGAAAAGGGAGGGAGGGTCCACGAAGGAGCTAAACTGTACATCTGGGCACATGTATATCAACAGAGAAATGTCTCTTCTTACTGTTAAACCACAAGCATTTAGCGAAATAGTCCTGCTGTCTATTTAAACAACTTCTATGGGTCTGACCTCATTTGGAAGCCCCAGGTCAACAGCATCCTGTCTCCTGACACATTGCAATGCGGTAATACTCTAATCTTGAGACTGTAAGCTTGTCTTTAGATTGTAAGCTTATTGGCATAGGGCCCTCGTCACCTCCTGTAAATATATGTCAAATGTGGTTTGTTAGAAAGAAAGCTATGTCTTGTTTACCTATTATACAGCGCTGCCGAATATGTTGGCGCTATACAAATAATTTTAATTGTGATGTCACGACTAAGACAGAAGAAACGTTTTGCCAGGGCTGGATTGTGCAAAATCCACCTATATTCCAGAAGATATATAATTTTATATAAAGATTAAACAAGCTGTTTGGCAGATCGCTGTGTTAAAGGGACACACAAATTAATTTAAATAATAGTAGAAAAAAATATATTGTATTTACCTAACGTTCCTAAAGATTCTGCACTTGCACAGGCAATCTGTAGCAACAAAAAGCCAAAGCAGGAAGCGGCTCCACCAATCAGAAGCCTTTCATTGCATCTCCCGGATCTTATACAAAGTTCCAACCACCATATTGCAGTTACTAGTACTATATCAAGAGAACTGTACACAGAGAGTTATTGTTCAAGGAAAGCTGGGACTTGCATAGTTGTGTACCACCACGTGTATATGCTATACTGAGAAAGTGTACAGATTTGGGTATCAGAGACAGAACTAAAACGTTTTCAGTTGAGATCAAAGGTAGAAGGGACAGACTTTTAGCCGACAGTAATATTTTCATGTTACTGCAATCACAAGCAACTATGTGCAGGCAGATTGTAACAATCAACCTCTTTCACCATCGTTTGTTATGGTGCTTAGAATGTTCCTTTAAGTGATGTATCCGATTGTCTGTGTCTCATTCCTGCTCCTGATATTTTTCAGAGGCTTTGGACGGCACACAGTGTGACAGCACCGCATAGGAGAAGTTATACAAGAGTATACCACAGGTAAATGTGCTTAAAATACACAGATAAATGGAACCAGAAGCTTTCTCAAAGATGATTTTAAGAAGATAAAATGGCTCAGTCCTAAGCAAGATTGTCCGTACAAAGAACAGTGACAAAAAGCCTCTACAGCGTACACAGGGCATTTTTACCCAGTAAGAACCAAATGAGTGAGCACTCCATTACGTGCCTCTCTAATTTTGCAAATAGTTAAACACAGAGAAATAGGATTTGAATTCAATTAAAGAAGACGCTGAATGCTCCTGGAAAAAGTCCTACACAGGCCCAATCACTGCTTAAAAATGCATGCCCACTCAAAAATCACGTCTAGTCATGGAGTCTCTACCATCTCTACTGGAAGGTCATTCAATGTATAAAAGCCAAAATGAAAATGTATTATAAACAGATAGACCAATGCTCAATAGCTTGCCTTATGAGAAAGGATGTCCCAAACAAACATTAGGTTACTTGTGCCTTTACCATATCAGATCCGTCCTAAAGCTGCGGCTACGCATCCCTGAAATAAGAGATTTTTTTCAGCCTCCAGTAGACATTAAAACCAAAGTTTGGCAGGTACCCCTCTCGAAACAATGATGAAGTGGCCCCACATCTGATTTACATTTTAGGCTTATGTCAATAAAATTGTCTTGTACAAGGTTTAAAATCTCCTCTTGCCCACTAGCCATTATTGAATAAAAATTCAATATTTAAGCTTGGCTAGCAGCTTAGGACCTGAAACGTCTATAGCTGCTGTATCTCATACGCATGGGTAACCAATATGAGATTTCAACCCTGGCACATCTCTTGAGTTGGTCCAGTGTGATATGCTAATGGATTGGAATTCAACTACAACTGAACAAGTGGTTTGGCACATGTTTGACTGGCTGTGTGTCTACGTATCTTTTTACATTCTTTGCTTATTTCATGCATTACCTTCTATTTAAAATATATTAACCAAACAAAATAACAACTCAATAGTTACCCTCGTTGGTATTTTTTTTTATATCTGTTGAAATATTGTAACATTACATCATGCCTCCACTATCTTCAAGCTATAAATGTAAATATTTGGCTTAATTTTATTTATCAGAGAATGGCATATGAACAGGAAATATCCTAAAAAGTTAATAAATAAATTTAGGATGTCAGCGGTTTGCCACTCATATCCTGTCTCCACCCCCTGCTTTGCCCAGGTCGTATACTACTGTGCAAACATGTGCCAAATTACATCACAAATACCATTACCTCTCACATGGCAGGGAGCTTCTGTTACATACCTTTTTAAAAAGAAAAGTCATGAAAATTCAGGCCTGGGGCTATTATTTGCTCCAGTTCAAAAACTGAATTTATAGTAGTGTAATGCTACTTGGGATGTGGAATGGTTAGACAAGTTTGCACTGAACAAGCTACAACATTGCAAAATAAAAAAATAAAAATTTAGAGACAGTCGTGTGCCTACCTAGTCAATCCATCCATCTGTTAAATAGCCTTCACAATAGTCTGAATTTAACATGAATTTGGACAGAGATTTCCAAGAGTCTGCTGTGCATATTAAGCAGACTGGCAGAATATGTGGGAGGGTTTACCAGGCCTATAAATTCACAGGCCACCCCTTCCCCTGAGCCGAGACCTCCTGGTTTCATCCAAGCACCGCTCCCTTTATTAAAGGACCACTATAGTGCCAGGAAAACACTAGTTTTCCTGGCACTATAGTGCCCTGAGGGTGCCCCCACCCGCAGGGTCCCACTCCCGTGACGCTGAAGAGGGAGGAATGGGTTAAATTCTTACCTTTTCTCCAGTGCCGGGTTACCTCGGTGCTGGGACTCTCCTCCCTCTTCTGACGTCACCGGCTGAATGCGCATGCGCGTCAAGAGCCCCGCGCGCATTCAGCCAGTCTCATAGGAAAGCATTATCAATGCTTTCCTATGGACGCTGGCGTCATCTCACTGTGAAAATCACAGTGAGAAGCGCGGAAGCGCCTCTAGCGGCTGTCAATGAGGCAGCCACTAGAGGCTGGATTAACCCTATTGTAAACATAGCAATTTCTCTGAAACTGCTATGTTTACGGCAAAAATGGTTAAACCTAGATGGACCTGGCACCCAGACCACTTCATTAAGCTGAAGTGGTCTGGGTGCCTACAGTGGTCCTTTAAGCATTCACTTAATGGGCCCTCTTTAACAGGTCTACCCGAACACTGGTTTCGGCACGCCACAACCAACTTATACCACCACTAGTATAGCTTGGCTTATTGTCCCCCGACTGCAAATAATATATAAAGTTGCCCAAATGAAAAAATACACCTGCAAGTGTTAAAAAAATTTTTTTTTTCAAATCATGGTTTGCTCATTACATATTTCACTAGGTAATTAGTTTAATATCTAATTATTTTCTCAGTTATGTAGATCAAAGCAAATTCCAGAGGTGGGAATTGTACTGAGGCCTCAAAATTAGTGTCTAAACAGCTGTGTGTGCTCTCTTGGTATACAGCTAGCAGAGCATCTCTGTCAACAGAAATGAGTTGGGCTCGTCCTACACTATTTAATGTTCCCACCTCAAACATTCCAAGCACAAAACTTTCAGATTTTTAAATAAAAATGGGGGATGGGTTTTCTTAAGACTACCCATTACAACAACAGATTTAAAGTATACTATCCCTAATACTTTATAGTGTCTATGTGGTGCAACAACCTTTTCGAATGATTCTAAATGTTGATGCATTGTATATAACATTGTTATCACATTATTCTGAGCAAAGGATCAGAATTCTCTATACAGAATGCAGTGAGAGCTGTGGTTGTTCTGGTGACTATAGTGTCCCTCTAAGTATTATTGAGGAATGCCAACATTTCACAAATGATAACCAGTCAAACAGCAGGGGAGTGAGGGGAGTAGGGGGAGCGTAATTGTTTCATTCAACCTTAGATAGCCAGTAGAGAACAAGTTTTGGCTTGACTGATGGAATTTTTACTCATCACAGTACAATCTCGTGAAAAATGATTGCATATATTGTAGGGTTTATATCACGGAAATTTACTTCTACACCATACAGTCAAATGAACACTGCAGCGTATGTGTTGAGGAATCTTAACATAGGCTCTTCCACCCTACACAGCCTGTCACTTATCAACAAAATATATACAAATCAAGTTATATGCTGGTTTGACATTTAATAAAGTCACTCAGCTGAGCTTCTTTCGACCACATACTGTGAAAGAAGATTTTTAACAAACATGTTATAAGATTTCAGCCTGGCTAAAAAGATCACTGTCTGTTGAATCGCGTACACATAAACTCTCTCCAGCTATAACAGAGAGTAATAAAGACTCCAAAACGTGTCAAATGTACAACCAATCAGAAACAGGAGGCCAGATTCATGCTGGGAAAAGCACATAAGGCAAATAATGTATGCACAAATATCTTAAAAGGTACTAAATCATGTTGCAGAATATCGATGCAACATAGCCAGTCTGGTGTTTTTTATTGACTAATGTAAAAGCACTTTAACAAGGATTAGTAAAACACTTATAAACTGTCAGAGTGATTGTCTAATGTCTGAATGGATGGGAAATCAAAGTGATTTTTTTTTTTTTCCCCAAATCATCTATTGAGGCCTAGACTCTGAAATTTACTTAGAATTTCCGACACTGTCGCACTTTAGTGAATAACCCGGAAAATGTAAAAAAAATAAATAAATAAATAACACACCAGACAAAAAAAATAAAACTAGTAACAGAGTGGGGCTGTACAAAATCATCTACTAGACAATGGAGAGTGAAACGTAATCCCTGGTAGATATGACATAGACCCTCTAGGATTGCAGGGGCAATTAACCTTCAGACCTGGCTAGTAGTTTTTTGAGTCCTGCAATAGAATAAACATTCATCTATATATGCTGTTCAGGCAAATTCATTAATTTATCATTTATTTATTAATGGAATTACTTAAGTTCTTTGCCATCACTATAGAGGAACCAGTTACAAATTTAGCATTCATGGCATAGCTGACTTGTAAAGGCATCAATTTTATTTCATTTTAATACCAATCTGTCCTTACTACTATGCCATGCACAGTGGTGTATCTGACCATTTTCCTGATTTTTCTAAATCATTTGCCATTTGACTTATCCCTCCTGGAACATCAACCCTGTTGCAAATTTTAGTATCATCAGCAAAAAAGACATACCTTACCATCAAGACCTTCTGCAATATCACTAATAAAAATATTAAAGAGAATGGGTCCAAGTACAGATCCCTGATGTACCCCACTGGTAACTAGACCTTGCTTTGAATATACTCCGTTGGGAATATACTCGAATATACGAATATAATCCGTAGGCCATGCCTACTCGATGAGTTCACGGGAGGCAGAGAGATGATCAGCACAGAGGGAGCTTTGGCCGTGGAAAAATGTAGGTAAAAGCGTCACTGTCTTAATTATTATTGCACATTTGATGGGGTGGATATATCAAGGCACAGGGGCTCTATAGTGTTAGGAATGCAGGCTTGTATAGTGTTCATTTAATTTGGTGGTTGGGTGGCTCCTTCTTCAGCCACTCCATTTACTTATGGCTGGCTTCTTGGAGAAGGGTTCAGAGATGATCAGACCTTCAGAGCTTCTACGATATGACAAGCTGAGTTGAAAATTCTAGAAGCACTACAACTCATTACATTATACAGGTTGAAAATTCCCCTGAACATGATGCAGAGAACCTGAATAAAAAGAATGAATGAGAAGGATAATTGCAGAAGGACAGCCGTCTGTGTGGTCTGCCATGCTTAACGACCAGTAGTGGGATCACTGGTCAGATGAAACTATGCACCCACTCCTGGCTGTGCTGTGAAATTTATTGTCTAGTCAGCACTGAAGTCAATAGGGATTCAATTAAGCATTGCTTTCATTCATTTTAATTGACCGAGAACTAGAATGTTACGTTTATAAAGTCAGTTCAAACTGCACTGAATTTGAAAATTCCGCTGCAATTCATTGTCAACTATCTCCATAGAGTAACATTAGAGTTTTAGGAATCTCACTAAGTGTTTAGAAATTAGTAAATGTCACCATAATCTCCTATTCACAGAATGAAGCCAGTTCTCTGTACATGCAGCGTTTACTGTAGAAATTCTATATAGCTGTAAGGCAGTATCAAGGAATTTTGTTCCCCCAAGGTATGACTATACGGAGAGGTGAGGTAGGGAGGAGTTGTGTATGTACACCTAGGAATTTCTGGAATGTGTTACAGGAAATGGAAGTTAAGCTCACACACCTACATCCACTACACTCACCCTAAGCCCACCAATACAGGCAGGTATACATTAAACATACTGTACACTAATCATTATGCTATTAAGTGGAAAAAAGCTAATTTTTGATAAATCTCTTTGCCCAAGGATACAAATAAATTCCTATGAGCTATCATACTCTAATCTGGACAGATTAGTTAAATATTAAGCCCAGATGAGTTATATATGATTGTAGCCCATAAATGTCATGTTAAATGGGGAACGATGAGTCGGTTCTAAGTTAATTAACATATTATATAGTGAGAACACATAGAATTATGATTATACTTTGCTTTACTATGACCTTATATATAACCTAGTAGCAGCAGTAGCAATTTTAGGTTCCATCATTTAGCCATAAGTAGGCTCATTTAAAAGTATACAGTTAGTGTCTATTTGACAAAGTTTGAATTGTGAAGCACTGACCAAGGAATTGCTAATGTTTTGCCAAAATAGCTGAGCTAGCTAGAATGTAACGGGGTTGGAGAATAAATCAAAATTGGCCTAAAATGTGTATACCCCTTGTCATTTCTACATGATTCCTGATTAAGTAAATACATCTTGCATATATACTGTAGACTCATATGATAAGAGGACATAGTCTTAAATTAGAGGGGCAAAGGTTTTAAAATAATATCAGGAAGTATTACTTTACTGAGAGGGTAGTGGATGCATGAAGTAGCCTTCCAGCTGAAGTGGTAGAGGTTAACACAGTAAAGGAGTTTAAGCATGCGTGGGATAGGCATAAGGCTATCCTAACTATAAGATAAGGCCAGGTACTAATGAAAGTATTTAGAAAATTGGGCAAACTAGATTCACATTCTATGTTGTTTCTATGTGATTTTACACTTGGAAGGGTGCCAGATTGAGTTTTTACCCAGACATATGCCAGCTAGAGCTAGGCCTGGTCTCACGTTTAATACTCTACATGTACTCAGCTGTGTATGGGCAGAGTACATGCATACCTGTTTGCACATCCGGCCCTGCAAAGATATAAAAAAAATTCCCTCCAACTTATCTGCAGGTGAGATGAATGGAGAGGGGCGGGAGGACAGACTGATAGCTCTGCAGAACACTGGCCTCTCTCAGGGCCAAGAACTACAGAGCCTTACTGATTAACTCCACTTATGCCAGAGGCTGGGACACTGTAGCTCCATTAGGCCTGAATCAGAGGTCTACCCACCATCACTTAATCAACTTTTCTCTTGCCAAGGGAAAGGCAGACATCAGTGCATTAACCTCTCTGCGGCAAGATGCTGTCCCAGAAAAAAAAATCCTTAAGTCACATACCAGAGAGAAATGACTCAGTTAACTCTTCTCCCGCTAGAATGCAGCAAGAAAGACATTGAAAGTCCTTCTTAAATAAAAGGTGCATGTAAACAATACACCATTTTTTCGGGCCTTACCAAGCAGAGCGTTGACTTCTAAGATTGGCCAAAAAAAAATTAATAAAAAAAATAAAAGAAATCTGCAGGACATCACAGATCTGTACTCTACAAGAAATCAGTGTTGATCCATTATATCAAATTCATTTACTAAAGTCTCCAAAGGGAGAGGCTTGAATAACAAGAGTCCATAAATAAACCAGAAAAACATCAGTCAAGAGAATACATTCAGAATATCAATTAGCTTTGTTTGCAATCATGTTTATATTTAGAAGCAACGTTACTGTGTTATAGAATCCCATTGTACAGCACTACGGAATTTGACGGCGCTATATAAATAATAAAATAATAATAATAATAAAGTATATTGATCTGGGAGGGTTTTACCACTATAATTTTTTCATGATTTTCTGGCTGTTTTCTTGAAACCAATGTCAAATTTTGCTAATAGCTAATGTAGCACATCCTATATAGAAGTAACCAGCAGATTATAATTTATTTTTCAATTCTTTACTAAGTTATCAATTAGAAACTTCTTAACCGACGAGCATTCATTATCACTTCTCAGCTGTTTCCAAACTTCCCTAAGTCCTTTTAAAATCTCATCTGCTTTACCTCAAACCAGAACAGCCTCTATAAATTCATATTAAGTATCACATCATTCACACATCCCTAGCAGAGATTTGCAAGGCACCCATTGCTACCCATTATAGATACCACATGTTCTTAATGGAATCTTGAAAAACACACACACTCTCTCTGAATTCTCAAGCTTCTATATAGCACCTGTTACTCAGTATGTACATGTATCACCACTTAACCGCTCTCTAGTCCTTTCCAACAGTTTTCAGGATTTCATTTTTAATTTCCTGTCCATTATTTTCTGCCCCTTCATTTTACCCACTGATAGAATCCTCACATTACTTTGAGTTACTATGACCACTAGAAGAGGTAATTCTGCTCACCAGCCCATACAGTAATTTTCCTATAATAATATTAGAGCCACATTAATCCTAGTAGGCATATGTACCATTCTTAAACACTTTACTCTCATTTGTCCCCATTACCCACACTATTCTGTGTACTCGTATCACTTCTAGGTACCCACACTTACCTAATACACTCCAAAATAAAATAATGCTTTAAAGTAGACATGCTTCCTTCAAATTATTCAACCTTACGCCCACCGCCACCTTTCTCACTCACATTGCTCCCAGGTACTTGTCTGAGATCTCTGCACGAGTACACAGAATCCCACCATCATTATTCACAGGTACCCCCAGAACCACTCACATTACTTCAAGGTAAGCCTCAGTGTCACTCATATTATTCCAAGGTACCATGGATCCCACTACCATTACTCACAGGTGCCCCACTCACATTACTCCCTACAACCCATGTCCCCCTCAGATTACTCCTAGGAGCTTCCTGTCCTCTCACATTACTTCCAGGTACCCCTTGTCCCCTCTGATTACTTTCTGTTACATTAGTTGCAAGACAAATTACAGCCAGATACCTCATGTGTCCTCAGATTATTCCCAGGTATCCCCTAGTGCCACTCACATTACTCCTAGCTACCCATGTTCACTCAGATTACTCCCAGTTACCAACTAGTACCCCACTCATTTCTCCAATGTACTCCTGGTGCCACTCACATTACTTTCATGTACCCCCAGTTCACACACAGTACTCTTAGGTACTACTCCATGTACCCTCACAATGCTCCCAGGTATACCACGTCCCTTGACATTACTCCCAAGTACTCCATGTCCCCTCCTATTACTCCCAGATACACCATGTCCCCTCATATTACTCCCAGGTACACCATGTCCCTCATATTACTCCCAGGTACACCATGTCCCTCATATTACTCCCAGGTACACAATGTCCCCTCATATTACTCCCAGGTACACCATGTCCCTCACATTACTCCCAGGTACTCTATGCCCCCTCCCATTACTCCCAGTCCCTCACATTACTCCTAGGTACTCTATGTCCACTCACATTACTCCCAGTCCCTCACATTACTCCCAGTCCCTCACATTACTCCCAGGTACTCTATGCCCCCTCCCATCACTCCCCGTCCCTCACATTACTCCCAGGTACTCTATGCCACCCCCCCTCCCCCCCCCCATTACTCCCAGTCCCTCACATTACTCCCAGGTACTCCCATTCCCTCACATTACTCCCAGTCCCTCACATTACTCCCAGGTACTCCCAGTCCCTCACATTACTCCCAGGTACTCTATGTCCACTCACATTACTCCCAGTCCCTCACATTACTCCCAGGTACTCCCAGTCCCTCACATTACTCCCAGGTACTCTATGCCCACTCCCATTACTCCCAGTCCCTCACATTACTCCCAGGTACTCTATGCCCACTCCCATTACTCCCAGTCCCTCACATTACTCCCAGGTACTCTATGCCCACTCCCATTACTCCCAGTCCCTCACATTACTCCCAGGTACTCTATGTCCACTCCCATTACTCCCAGTCCCTCACATTACTCCCAGGTACTCTATGTCCACTTCCATTACTCCCAGTCCCCCAGAGTACTCACAGGTACCGGCTCTCGCCCTCGGTCTGCTGGTGCAGGGACACTGAGAAGCCGAACATGCCCCCGGAGATGCCAGCCTGTTTTACCAGCGGGAAGCGGGTGTCCACGTTAAAGCCCAGTCCGGAGCGGACCGTCCCGAGCAGCAGGAGCACCGGCAGCGCCCTCATCCTCGGCCCGGCTCTAAAACGGCTCGGCCCCGGTCCTGTCCCTGGTGCTGATCTGCCTGGTCCGGGCTGGGAGTCCGACAATGCCCACCTCCTGAGAGACTGCCCGCCCCGAGCACTCTCTGAGAGACCTCCCACTGTCACTCCCTCTATCAGAGCACTGCACTCTGACTGTCTAATACCTGCACTCTCTGAGAGACCTTCCCACTGTCACTCCCTCTATCAGAGCACTGCACTCTGACTGTCTGATACCTGCACTCTCTGAGAGACCTCCCACTGTCACTCCCTCTATCAGAGCACTGCACTCTGACTGTCTGATACCTGCACTCTCTGAGAGACCTCCCACTGTCACTCCCTCTATCAGAGCACTGCACTCTGTCTGATACCTGCACTCTGACTGTCTGATACCTGCACTCTATGAGAGACCTCCCACTGTCACTCCCTCTATCAGAGCACTGCACTCTGACTGTCTAATACCTGCACTCTCTGAGAGACCTCCCACTGTCACTCCCTCTATCAGAGCACTGCACTCTGACTGTCTGATACCTGCACTCTCTGAGAGACCTCCCACTGTCACTCCCTCTATCAGAGCACTGCACTGTCTGACACCTGCACTTTCTGAGAGACCTTCCACTCTCACTTCCTCTATCACAACCCTGCACTCTGATATCTGCACTCTCTACGAGACCTGCCACTCCCTCAGAGTACCTGCACTCTGTCTCATTCCCAGATCCCTGCACTCTGTCTGTCACTCCCAGTTGTCCTCAGTCTCTCCCTGATAACAGCACTCTGCCCATGTCTCTCCAGATGCCTGCACTACCTCTCAACTTCTCTCAGACCCCTGCACTATCTGTCTTTTACCTGGGTCCATGCATTCTACTATTCCTGTCTCTCACAAACCCCTGCACTCTGTTCAGCCTGTCTCTTCCAGGTCCCTGTACTCAGTTCAACCTGTCTCTTTCTTATGCCTGCAAACTCACTTTCTCTCCCAGATCTCTACACTGTCCCATTGATTCATGCACTATTTCCCCCAGATCCCTACACTCTCAGCCAACCTGATCAAGATCCCTGAACTCTCTGTCTGTTATTGGTTTCTTCACTCTGTGTGTCTCTTCCAGGCCCCCTCCACTCTGCCCATCCCACCATCAGCACTGTCTTCCTATTATTATTCCCATGTCTCACTCTGCCCAGCCTGCCTCTCCCATGCTGTCTGCCTGTCTATGCACGTTGTCTTTCCTAGATCCCTGAACTGTCTGTCTCTGTCCTAGGTCAAAGCAGTCTCTCTCCCCTGCACTCTGCACTGTCTCTCCTGGGTCCCTCCACTCTGTCTCTCCTAGGTCTCCCCTGTACTCTCTCTGTCTCTCCTAGGTCCCTGCACTCTGTCTGTCTCTCCTATACTGTACTCTCTGTCTATCATAGGTCCCTGCACTCTCTCTGTCTCTCCTAGGTCCCTACACTCTCTCTGTCTCTCCTGCACTGCCTGTCTCTCCTAGGTCCCTACACTCTCCCTGTCTCTCCTGCACTGCCTGTCTCTCCTAGGTCCCTACACTCTCCCTGTCTCCCCTGCACTGCCTGTCTCTCCTAGGTCCATACACTCTCTCTGTCTCTCCCAGGTCCCTGAACTCTGTCTCTCCTGTACTGTACTGTCTGTCTCTCCTAGGTCCCTGCACTCTCTCTGTCTCTTCTGCAATGTCTGTCTCTCTTAGGTCCCTGCACTCTGTCTGTCTCTCTTAGGTCCCTGCACTCCCTCTGTCTCTCCTAGGTCCCTGCACTCTGTCTGTCTCTCCTGCACTGTCTGTCTCTCCTAGGTCCCTGCACTCTCTCTGTCTCTCCTAGGTCCCTGCACTATGTCTCTCCTGCATTGTCTGTCTCTCTTATGTCCCTGCACTCTCTCTGTCTCTCCTAGGTCCCTGCACTCCCTCTGTCTCTCCTAGGTCTCTGCACTCTCTCTGTCTCTCCTAGGTCCCTGCACTCTGTCTGTCTCTCCTGTACTGTACTGTCTGTCTTTTTTAGGTCCCTGCACTCTCTCTGTCTCTCCTAGGTCCCTGCACTCTGTCTGTCTCTCCTGTACTGTACTGTCTGTCTCTTTTAGGTCCCTGCACTCTGTCTGTCCCTCACACTCTCAGCACTGTGCACCCCTCCTCCTTTTTACTTCCTCTCCCCCATTCAGAGTCTGTAACTCTCTGCCAGTTCACCTTCCCTCCCTTCCTCCCTATTCCCCCTCTGGCTTTTCTTCCGGTGAACTTCTCCCTTTACACCCGGTACAGATCCCTGGCAGGTTCTTAAAGGGGCCGCCTCCTGCTGCACCTGCCTGGCCTATCAACAAGCAGGACAGAGAGGGGGGGTCGTGTGAATGCTGAACATGGCCCCTCTCTCCACAACTTTCCCTCTTTAATCCCTAAACTTTTTTATAGCTCACAAGATGGCTGCTACAAAACACACAGCATCTAATACTGTTTATTGATCTATTTCATAATATTTTAAGCAGGGTAGAATGGAACACTCAGTATTCTACTGGAAAATCTTTTTATTCTTCAGAGTTCTATCTACAATGCAGATAATATCTCACATATCAAATGTCCCTAAGCAGTTATCACACACATGATCAAAATCACCTCATACAGTGCATTATGAACTACACCTAGCAGGTGTTTAGTAATGCATTCAAACCTCAGACAGCTGTAGGCAAATAATTCTCAGGTTCACACACAAAAAAATCGAAAACAAATAACGCATTTTTACAATTCTAATCAACTTTACCGCACACTGTTTGTATGTCGAATGCCCTAAGGTACAACAATGAACAGTTTAGTTCAGGATAAAAAAAAAAAGAATGTTTCCAATAGTTTGCACAGTGATTTTATTCCTGTATTTTCGTGAAGGAAATAAATGCCATGTTCTGATCTACATTCTCACATGTGTTTGCGCGTGAAAGAATGACTGTCGTTTGTGGCTATTGTGTGTATATATATCTATCTATATATATATATATATATATATATATATATGTGAGTTTATGAAGCGTGTAAATGTATGTATGTAGTGTGCATACAAATATATTAATTTTACTAATATATTAAATAGACTCTCTAAGCACCATATAACCACAGATGATTGGTGTGGTTATGGGTCAACGAGACCTTGAATGGAGTCACTCTGCTTTTTTGTGAAAAAAAACAAAACACTTTTGTACTACCAGCAAGTTATGAGAACTTTCGCTTCCTCAATATTTATACACATCTAACCAAAAATAAAAGGCTGTGTGCAATGGGAGAGACATAGTCGATTATAGTCTATCTTAACTTTAGAAATTTGCACAGATTATGAGAAAGTGGTAAAATCCCTCATTATCTCGGCCGCAGGGGCGATGAGACATACAGGGTTATTTATTAAAGCGAGAATTAAGTTAGCTATTGTTTGTCATTTTGCCTACTCTGGCCTTGAATTTGAAATTCACTTAGAATTTTTTCTTTAGTAAATAATCCTGATAGAGTTTCGATTTAAAGTGGTACTGTCACCTCCCCGTTCCCCCACTGAAAAATGACTATATTATAGAGATAAGATCTTTATGAAATTCTCATTATGACTGTGTTGGAATTTCACTGAAATTTGACACAAGTGACGGCTGCAGGGAATTGGCTGTGTCTCTGGAGGATGTGTCTCGCGGAATCCCCCATAGACCTCAATGCTGTGCACATGCGTCGGCACCGATGAGAACCCCGTCAGATCAAGATGGCGCAGCCCATGAGGGACAGGTTCAGGTAAGTAAACCCAACTTTATCTGCCCACCCCCCCAGCCACCGGACCACCAACGGCAATGTCACCATCGGGGGACTTAGCAAATTCAGAAAGTCTCCAAACAGTGACAGTGCCACTTTAAGGGGTTAAAGGGTTTCTCCAATAATTTTTATTTTTTTGGTTGATGAAAAATGCATTTTGATGATGCACACGGCATTCCCTGCACATGCACGTCAAGTCCCCAATGCTCCAATGGCGTCACAGGAGGCAGAGAGGTGGGCAACGCTGAGGTAATGTCAGTGTTGGAAATAGGAAAAAAAAAACTTAAATTTTTCTGGAAAAAAGGGGGTGCTGTATACTATATATACTAAAAACAGATTTGTATTTCTAACGCTATAGTGTTTAATAAGAGGTCTTATTATTTGGACTTATAAAGAAAATGTGGATAACGTTCTTTCTACTAAACACAACGTTTTTAATGAATTCTGTTTGCAGGTATTTGAATTACAGGGCTGGCATTTCGGTAATTAACAGAAGAATGCCCATGAATGCCGTATCAAGACCAATTTCCTCCTAACAAAATGTAGCTTAGCTCTCGAGAGTGCCTGGAAATAAGGGAATTAAATAATTAAACGTGGTAGAGATCCCAAATGGAGCTGCAGTGAGTAATTCATTAAGATGAAATTTAAATGCGCCTATTATTGAAACAAGACGTCAAACTTGCCAGTGCAGATACAGAATTGTCCAGGGAAATTTCAATGCATCACGATGTGTCTAAGAGCAGGTTTAACAGAGCCATTATTTGAGTTTCGATGCATGTGTTCCACTCCCACCCCTAGTCATACCTGGGCAGAAGGTGGGGGGGGGGTTCTCTCACCCTGGCTGCAATTGTTAATTGGAAATTTATTTTGATTTAAGCTGAAACATACAGGTGATACTCGAAAAATTAGAATATCGTGCAAAAGTTCATTTATTTCAGTAATGCAACGTTAAAGGGGAAACTAATATATGAGATAGACGCATTACATGCAACGCAAGATAGTTCAAGCCATGATTTGTCATAAGTGCGATGATTATGGTTTACAGCTCATGAAAACACCAAATCCACAATCTCAGTAAATTAGAATATTACATGCAATCAATAAAACAAGGAGTGTACATAGAACAATATCGGACCTCTGAAAAGTATAAGCATGCATATGGACTCAGTACTTGGTTTGGGCCCCTTTTGCAGCAATTACTGCCTCAAAGCGGCGTGGCATGGAAGCTATCAGCCTGTGGCACTGCTGAGGTGTTATGGAAGACCAGGATGCTTCTATATCGGCCTTCAGCTCTTCTGCATTGTTCGGTCTCATGTCTCTCATCTTTCTCTTGGCAATGCCCCATAGATTCTGGCCAATCAAGCACAGTAATCCCACGGTCATTGAACCAGGCTTTGGTGCTTTTGGCAGTGTGGGCAGGTGCCATGTCCTGCTGGAAAATGAAGTCGGCATCCCCATAAAGCTCGTTTGCGGAAGGAAAAATGAAGTGCTCCAAAATCTCCTGGTAGACGGCTGCGTTGACCCTGGACTTAATGAAGCACAGTAGACCAACACAAACAGATGACATGTCTCCCCATATCAACACAGACTGTGGAAACTTCACACTGGACTTTAAGCATCTTGCAGTATGTGCCTCTCCATTCTTCCAAATGAGATGCAAAGTTGCTCTCATCAGAAAAGAGGACTTTGGACCACTGAGCAACAGACCAGGTCTGTTTTTCTTTAGCCCAGGTAAGACGCTTCTGACGTTGTTTGTTGTTCAGAAACGGTTTGAAAAGAGGAATACGACATCTGAAGCCCATGTCCAGGATCCGTCTGTGTGTGGTGGCTCTTGATGCACTGACTCCAGCCTCAGTCCACTCCTTGTGAAAGTCCCCAACACATTTGAATGGTCTTTTTCTGGCAATCCTCTCCAGGCTGCGGTCATCCACTTTTTCTTCCGCACTTTTCCCTTCCACATAACTTCCTATTAATGTGCGTTGATACAGCATTTTGGAAACATCCAACTTCCTTCGCAATTACCTTTTGAGGCTTTCCCTCCTTATGGAGGGTGTCAATGATGGTTTTCTGCACAACTGTCAGATCAGCAGTCTTCCCCATGATTGTGATTCCTACTGAACCAGACTGAGAGACCATTTAAAAGCTCAGAAACCCTTTGCAGGTGTTATGGCTTACTTAGCTGGTTAGAGTGGGACACTCTGAAATATTGCACCTTTTCACAATATTCTAATTTACTGAGATTGTGGATTTGGGACTTATGACAAATCACGGCTTGAACTATTTTGCTTTGCATGTAATGTGTCTATCTCATATATTAGTTTCCCCTTTTACGTTGCATTACTGAAATAAATGCTTTTGCACAATATTCTAATTTTTCGAGTATCACCTGTATGGAAAACCATCAGCTGTATAGTATAGCAGTGTGATCTCTTTCCCTTGTCGTTGTGGAAGAGCCTAGTGAAGGCTGGCCTTTGGAAATAGTTTATTCAAAGAGACTCTCTAGGCACCATAACAACTTCATTTCATTGAAGTAGTTATGATGCATGGAGACCTCTGGCACTGTCCCACTGCTCAGAGGATGTAAAACAAACATCCTATCCTATATAATGAAAGATTAAATATTTGATAGCATTCATATAGGTGGCCCGGCTTAATGTACTTATAATTAGGCAAAATGGTAGTGTAAGTCTTCTAACAAGGAGAGCGATCAGAAACAAATCAAGGACAAGGGTAACAGACTTTATGGAATCGGGAAACAAGCCAAGGTTAGAGTGCCAGAAATCAAGAATAAACAGTAACTAGTCAGGTCAGTACACTTAATTCACAAGAGATACATTGTATAATTAAAGGCTCACACTATAGTGTTAGGAATTCAAACATGTATTCCTAACACTATAGAGCCCTAGTCACCATGTAGGTGACAAGGGCCCCATTCCGCAGCGAAAAAATGGTTAATTAACCATTTATTTGCTTACCTTAATCCAGCGCTGGGCTCCCTCGGCACTGGTGACCTCTTCTCCTCCATCGACATCAGCTTTAGAGTGGAGCTGAATGCGCATGCGCAGCCAGAGGCGCGTGCATATTCAAACCCGCCCATAGGAAAGCATTACTTAATTACTTAATGCTTTCCTATGGGGATCTTTTTTGACTCTGGACTCTATGAGGACGCCCAGCTTCAGATAAGTGCGATTTACTCCGTGTAAATTGTGGAAGCAGCCTCTAGTGGCTGTCAGGGAGACAGCCACAAGAGGCTGGATTAAGCTAAACATCTAAAAAAGAATGAATAAACCAAACTTAGTGTAATACAGTTGGATACAATGTAGCTGCACTTTTTTAAAATGCACTCACAATGTGTTGAGGAAAATGCGCCTTGGGGTGCCTCCCCTGATATAGGCTGGGGGGCTATTACCTTCTTTATGTTCAGCCAGGTGCAGGACTGGTCCATAATAAATTTCAGAGAGTCAGGAAATTCAGCTACGTGAAAAATGTATCTGATACAAAAATAATGATAAAAACAATATAAAATAGCTGTCCAACGCGTTTCTCACACTTTAAGTGGACTTCCTCAGGGACAAAATTAATAATTCAATTATACAAAAGTATAAAAATGCATCAATACACCCTTAGGTGTCAAGCTGCCTATCCCCCCTTAAACCCTAAGTACTTTAAATAAGACTATTCCCTTACAGTCATTGGTGGTTCAGTGGGTTCTGGCTCTTTCTCTTGTTAAGATTGGATAATCTTTGCTAATCACGCTCTTTCCCGAGTTCTCAGCTGTTTCAAGTTTCTCTTGAGTATTCCGTGTCAGCTTGCGTTTCAGCGCCATTTTGTTGCGTGTCACTACATACTTCCGGGATGTCTTTAATTTCCGCGTTCCAACGTCATATTGGAATAACGGATCAATTTCGCTAAAAGAATACTTAAAAAGGCTCTAGTTATAATTACTATACTATACATGTAAATTCATTCTAGCTGAAGGTGGGGCACAAGCTGCAGTGGGCTGGAACCGAGTGGGTTAAAATTCCCTTCCTGATATTGTTGATGTGCACCAATATCCTTACTTTTAAAATTATTTTTGTTCCACGAAGTCCGTGCGGCAATCTACAGAAGATTTAATAAATCATTTTTCACCAGTTTTTGTACTTTCAAAGTGGGTCAATTAATTAATATTTATTGTTTTGCAAGCCTGACAATCGGAACATCCTCTAGAACCACTGATGGAATATCTATGTTTCTTGGTGTCCAATCTCCCCCCTCCCCCCCCCTTTAAAATAACTGGGCGCTAAAAAGCGGAGGTTTATTGGTGATGTTATTATATTTGGAAAGGCACTGGGAATTCCTTTGGAGATTATGTCAACCACCTTAATCAGAACAAATTTAATCTTAAACTTACAGCTGAATGGAATAAAAATACTATAGATTTTTTAGATGTAACTTTCTTTATAAAAGAAAAGAAAATACTCAGTAAATGCTTTTTTTAAGCCAAATGATGGCAATAGCTATGTCCACCAGAAAAGCAGCCATTATGCACCATGGCTGAAGGGGATAGCTGGAAGCCAAATGACACATATCAAACGTAACTGCTCAGATATACAGGATTTTAAAATCCAAGCAAACATAGTAAAAAATAAGTTCGTTCAGAAAGAATACAATAAAAATAACATTGAAAAATAAATTATACTGGCAGAAAAGAAAAATAGAAAAACTCTTTTTGAGAGCAAAGTGAAAGTCACCCATAATGATGTGTTCCGATATGCCTTCAAAACTAAATATAATAAAAACTTTAAAAATTTTTAAAAAGTTTGAATAAACTGTGGCCAATTCTTCGGGAAGATCCATTTTTTAGGAGAACAATTAGCAGAAAAAATACAGATTATCTACAGAAAAGCTCAAAACCTAAGAATCTCCCTGGTTATTTTATTTTATTTTATTTTTTTTTAATTTCAGTTTTTCTTTATTTCGTAAAGACAAGTTATGGGGTACAGAAAAGAAGAGGGAAGCAGTCCGTTGTTACAGATCGGGGTTACATAACAATATGTGCATATAAATATACTTCCATCCCTGCTTGAGTCTAAGACAAACCCGGTTACAGTTAACTTTAGATCTGTTGAATCATCTTGGGTAAATCCTTGCGGATGGTGCTGTTGTCTTTATCTAAAACCTATGGGGGGGTTAAGAGGTAACTCGGGGTAGTAACCAGTCGGGGGGCTGGGGAGTAATGGGGAGTGGGCTGGGGAGGGGGTTGAAAGGGGGACCTGCCTGGTGTGGTGGGTAGTCCTTGGTCCTTGTGTTGGTCGTGTATTCGGTTGTGTGCATTGGCTTATTTCCTGGATCTCTAGGTGATCAATCTAGGAGAGCGGGGTGGTCTTTTCCTCTGGGGCTCTATTCCAGAACCCTATCCAGGGCTCCCATCTTTGGAGATATTTCTGTCGTTTCCCTATTGAAGTCCAGTGGATGTCCTCTAGTTCTCTGGTTCGTTCTACCCTTTGTACCCACTGTTCTATGGATGGGGTGTTGGTATTCCGCCAATTTAGCGGGATAAGGGCGTTTGCTTCCCCTAGTAATAGGTGTAGCAGTTGTTGTTTGTGGGGTTCCGTAAATGTGCGGGGCCAGCTTAGTAGTACTTGGGATGGTGTAAGTCGGGTCGGGGGTTTCAGTATCATGGTTATTTTAGCGAGTATGAGGAGCCAGAAACCCTGAATGTCTCGGCAACTCCACCAAATATGTTCTATAGTTCCTAGACCTGTGGAGCATCTCCAGCATATGTTACTGATTGATGGCCAGATTGAGTGTAGTCGGGTTGGGGTCCTGTACCACCTGGTGACTCTTTTATAGAATGTCTCCCTGTGTGCTACACTGGTTGGGGTTTTGATTCCCATTTCCATGATCCCTGGCCAGTCTTTGTCAGAGATATGTATTCTGAGATCTTTCATCCAATTCTGTTGAAAGGGTAGTGGTTTGTGTTCCTCCACTGAGCCCTGGAGGATGCGGTAGACTTTAGATAAAGGGCGTCGGGGGTCTCCCTCTGGGCCACAGAGGTGTTCAAAGGGCGTGTCTGCTCTCTGTTTCCAGAGGGGAATAGCGGTTCTTTTCAGGAAGTTCCTGAGTTGGGCTTTGCCTATCACCTCAATGAGTGTGTCTTGTCTATGTGGTCCATATATGGCCTTGACCGTGGGTGGGTCTCCCCCTATCAGTTCGGTTATGTCCGGGGTGGGCGTTCCCACGAGGTGAGAAAGGAGTGGTCCACCTCCACCCCCCTGAAAATCA